GTTGTTCCATGTACTGACGTATTCATTGGTTGCTTCTTGTCTGTGCCCTGACCAGATACTGAACTCACAACCTTGGTGTATCAAGATGATGCTCTAACCAACTGAACCACCTAGCCAGGACGATGTATATATTTTTTATTGTAAAATATTGCTGTATTAAAAGGAAATTTAGCCCTGGCTGGTGTGGCTCAGTGGATTGAGCACAGGCCTGCGAACCAGAGTATCGCAGTTTGATTCCCAGTCAGGGCACATGCCTGGGTTGCAGGCCGGTTCCCAGCAGGGGATGCATGAGAAGCAACCATACATTGATGTTTCTTTCCTTCTCTCCTTTCTTTCCCTTCCTCCTCTAAAGGTGAATAAATAAAATCTTTATTTAAAAGAACCAACAAAGTTTAGAGAAAAATACCACAAATAGCCACCCACCAAAATATCATAAAATATCACAGTGAGAGCTGGGGACATGCATAGGTCCCTCCCGACAGGAGTCTTCCTCCCATTACCTGGGCATTTAGTGCCTTCTGCCTACTTCTGAAGGTCTCTTGTCCAGCATGTGCTGCAGCCTCTGTCACACTTGATGAAATGTATTGAAGCCACCACTTCCCAGATGTCGGCTGATGTCCCTGAGAGCCCCAGGGTAGGACAGGTTACTCCTGAGTTGCACTGTCTCCAGGGCCTTCTTTCTTGGTCAGTGGCTGGGTGACCATCCTTCCAGTGCCCATGGTGACTGGGGGATGGGCAGGCTAGGTTGCTGGTTTCTCTCCCCGAACCCAGTCAGGGTGCCTGCAGGAGGCAACTGATCAGTGTTTCTCTTGTCCTCTCTCTCAGCTAGGATGTTTGCCAGGTGGGCAAAAAAGAGAACCAAGGCTTTTGATTTGAAGAGTAGGTTAAATTCTAAGAAGTCAAGATCAGAATAATATGACTTTGATCAAATAGAACCAAAATAGTAGCTGAGTTCACCTAACTAGGATCTTCTTGTGTCTTGGAAGCTGATACTGAAGACCAAACTGGCTTGTAACTTTGGTACTCTTTTTTGGAACACATCACAGAGTCAGAATAACTCTGGAGAATAAAACAGAACTCACTAACAATTCTCTTTTTCTCTGTTCCATTCCTTTGCATGTCTTTATCTTTATTTACTAAATGGCAATGATATATTTATATTTGTGTTTTTCATCCTGACCTGACTATAAGCTCTCTAGGACAAGGTACAGATCTCATATATTTTATGCTTCCTATTGTCCACCATAGTACCTAGGACATAAAGTCTTTCAACATTTTTCAAAATAAAGTGTTAGGGTCAAAAGCATCAAATCATAGGCAGAACTGATACCTAAGATCTAATTATAAAAAGAAATTATCAATGTGTATTTTAACATCAGACTGTTGTAATTTACATGATGAGAATTTATATACATATATTGTCTTTGAAATACAAAAACATTAAAAAGTGTTTATTTGCCCTGGCCGGGTAGTGCAATTGATTATAGCATCATCCTTTGGTTGATCCCCTATTAGGGCACATACCTCAGTTGTGAATTTGATCTCCAGTTGGTGTGTGTATGGGTGGCAAGCAATCAATCTTTCTCTCTCTCAAATCAATAAACATATCCTTGGGTAAGGATTAAATAAATAAAAAATGTTTACTTAGACAATACAATAAAACTTACCTTTTAAAAATTCAAATAATACATAAAAGTCCTGGCAGGATTGGCTCACTTGGTTGGAGTGTCGTCCCATAAACTGAAAAGTTGTGGGTTTGATTGCTGGTCAGGGCACATGCCAGGGTTGCAGAGATCCCCAGTCAGGGTGTGTGCAAGAAGGTAGCCAGTCGATGCTTCTCTCCTCTCTCCCTCCCTCCCCCTGTCTCTGAAATCAATAAGTGTGTTCTTGAGGTAAGGATAAAAATAATAATAATACAGAAGATTATAAATAAAAATTGTAGTTGCCTTTCTGGCCCATTGTACTTTCTTAAACTAAGCACACTTTAACATACATCCTTACAGATCTTTTTAAAAAATATATTTCCAAATATGCACACAGACATACATATATTTATATATTTAAGAGGGCTATTTGTGTGTGTGTATAAATGGGATCCTACTGTATATTCCTTTTTTGCAACTTACTCTTATCAGCATATCATGAGGATAATTCTATGTTGATACATATAGTTAACTCTTGCCTTATTTAATTGCTGCATGTATGCCTTTGTGGGACTATATTACCCTATATTTAACCCATCCTCTTTTTCTAGACAATTATATTGTTTCCAGTTTTTTACTAATCAACAAATATTGGAATGTACATCTCTTTGTTTTCATATAGTTCAGTGTATGTATTCAAGAGTACCTAGGGCTACATTCTTAGAGGTAGATACTCTGGATTGAACAGTATGTGCATTTAAAATTTATATAGATTTTTGCCTAGTGTGGTTCATGTCATTATTTTAATTTGCATTTCTATTGTTACTAGTAATTAACATCTTTTCATATTTTAATTGTATGTTTACTTTCTTCAGTATATGACTATTTCTACTTTTTACTTTTTTTCTATTGTCTTTTCCTTCCTGCTGTGTCAGATACTTGACAGATATTCTCTTAGTTGTGTTTCTGTTTTAAAACTTTTATTTGTAAGTTATATTTTTTGGAATATAATATACATACAGTAAAACCTACCCTCAAGATACAAAACATTTATGTTATCCCCAAAAGTTCTTTAGTTTTCCTTTGTGGTTCTTTCCCCCCGACCCCCAGCTTCTGGCAGTCACTGATCTGTTTTCTGTCTAGATAGTTTTGCATTTTCAGAATGTCATAGAAATGAAATCATATAGTATGTAGTGAATAGTTTTTTTCACTTAGCATAATGCCTTTGAGATCTTCTCATGTATCAGCAGTCTGTTCCTTTTTTTAATCCTTATGCCATTACATGGGTGTGCAACAATTTATCTACTCAGCAGTTAATGAACATTTGGGTTGTTTCTAGGTTTTAAATAAAGCTGCTATAAGCATTCCGATCCAATTCTTTGTGTGGGCATGTTTCATTTCTCTTGAGTAACCTAGGAGTGGGATAGTTGGATTATAAATTAAGTGTATGTTTGGCTTTGTAAGATTTGTTTCTGCATTTTTAACTTGATTTATGCTATTGTTTATCTTACTGATGTTTTCAATTTGCGTATTAATAAATTTGCCATTTAAAAAATGTTTCTGAGTTTTGTGCCTCACTTCTATGGCATTCCCATAGATTAAGATGGTATTTTACCTTCTTTAGATATAGCTTTATTTTTAGTAACTCTGGATGGTCTAGCATTTTTCAGTTTACTATGTATTTGAAGGAAGAAATATTGATTTGTATATTCTAATTTTTTTTAGTAATTTTGTTCTAGTGGTTACCTCTGTATAATAATTTTTATATTACCCATAGTTTCTTTTATCTCTTTTCTTACTTTTTATTGTCAAGTCTGTCAGTTCTTTAAAAAATTTTATTTATTTATCTTTAGAGGGGAAGGGAAGGAGAGAGGGAGAGAAACATCATGTATGGTTGCCTCTCGTGCATCCCCTGCTGGGAACTGGCCTGCAACCCAGGCATGTGCCCTGACTGGGAATCGAACTATAATCCTTTGGTTCAAATCTGTCAGTTTTAATAGTATCTTTGACTCCCTTCTATTACCTGTACAGTAGTTGATGATCTTATGTTACCTTCTCTTTTTCCTTCTCTCATTTCTTAGATGTAGTCTTTCTGTTTGTGAAATTATATGTTTACATTTTTCTGCCCATGTTCTCACCTTTGATTTGTTCTTAGTCTTACAGTTAAATATATAAAATTCATCATTTCTCTGTTTTCTGAAGGTTCCCTAGTCACCTCTTTGTCCTGTAGGGGTCAATAAATTTCGGTTTGTAGTTCAAATCTGGCTCACTGCCTATTTTTGTATGGCTTAAATGCTAAGCGTGGATTTTACATTTTTAGATGGTTGGGATAAAAGACAGAAAAATCATATTTTATGATGCATTAAAATTATATTGAAAATACCTGGCTGGTGTGGCTCAGTGGATTGAACACCAGCCTGTGAACCAAAGGGTCTCTGGTTCAATTTCCAGTCAGGGCACATGGCTGAGTTGCAGGCCAGGTCCCCAGTAGGGGGTGCATGAGAGGCAACCACAAATTGATGTTTCTCTCCTCCCTCCTTCCCTCTCTTCCCTTCTATCTAAAAATAAATAAATAAAATCTTTAAAAATATTATATGAAAGTCCTCCTTTGTTCTCTTGAATGAAGTCTCTCAAGCTCACTTGTCTGCCTCTACAGGCTTAAAGTGATGGGCAATGGGAATTCTGATAGAATGTCATTTGAAAGTTGAGGTGTTTATTTTTTGTTTCCTTGTTTTATTGCTCCCCTTGTTCATTGTATGTTTTAGAGAGGGAAATTCTGGGGAAAATTAAAAATCAGGGCATTGTTATCTTTCTCTATCTGGCTTAGTATATTTTAGATGATTTTTTTTTTTGCAGCAATCCTCACAGGAAAAATGTAAATAATTTTAGTTGCTGTAGGACACTAAGTAGATGAAAATACTTTATACATTTTAAAAATATATAAGTATCATTAGTATAACGATTTTTAAATTTCTGTTTAATTAGAAAATCTCATCACTCAAGCATTCTGGGTATTGTATAGATTATGCTTTGCACACTCTATAATCTGTTCTTCTTCATTCGTATACAATTTTAAAAACTATTATTTAGGCCCTCCCCTCTTCCTCCCTTTCTTTCTTTAAAATCAGTGTTAAAAATATTATTTAAAAATTAGACTATGTTTAAAAATTTATCAATTTTGATGCTCCATTTCTATTGTGGTTAATAGTTAGATTTTGATATATCTAGTTTCCGTTAAATTAAATGGAATTAAGGTTGAAATGTTAGGAAACCTTTATTATTTGAATCATCTGTATCATTTTTTCGTGCTTTGTAATATGTTTTGAAATCAAGACCCACTCATTGTTCATTTACTAGATGCACACTTCTAGTGGAGGAGGGTTTTGTGACTGTGGAGACACAGAGGCCTGGAAAACTGGGCCTTTTTGTGTAAGTCATGAACCGGGAGCAGCAGGTACTACAAAAGAGGTAAGAATATTAGTACTTTTTTTAATGCTAACTACTTTAAGCTTGATGAAATTAGGTAGAAATAAATGTTATGTGTATGGGTTAAACTGAATTCCATTGAGAATCTTGATAATGAATTCATAATGAAAAGATAATTCAGAAAACTTTTTGTTGAGCAATTTTATAAGTAAGAATAAATAATACCTATTTAAGCCTAAAAGAGCAAATGGAAGTAATTATTGACAGAAGCCAAGTGCAATACATTAGAAAACAGTAGAAGTGACACATAAATTTAATAATTACTTTTCTTTAAAAAAAGTCAACAAATTGATTATTCACTGTGTATCCTAATCAAGGAAAAATAAGCCAGCTCAAATATATATAATTAGAAAGGAGAAGGAGGAAATAGAACCACAGAAGGTGTTAAAAGGATTATAAATTATTCTTATATGACTCTATAAATACATTTGAAAATGAATTATTCCATTAAACAAAGTGCCATAATTTACTCAAACACAGAACACTTGAACAATTTATAACCATTGAAGAAATTCAGAAAATCGTCACGAAACAGTACTTTCTAAAAAATGCCATTTTCAAATAGTTTCACGAGGAATTCTTTTCAAAACTTGAAGAACAGATTTCATACTCTTTAAACTGTTTATCTTTAGCAGTGAACATTGCTAGAGTTTAAATTTTAATCTCTTTCTTATTGCTCCCCATTAAATGAAATCAGGAATTTCTTGAAAATACTAGATTCTAGGTCTGAGGGAATAGGTAAGCTTGTGGAAATGAGTTTATGTAAAAAGAACCTAGGACCCAGCTTGATAGGTCTGTCATTGACCTGAGTTAAACAATTGGAGCTTAAAAAAATAATAACAAAGAACCAGTGTAATTGATTGACTCATACTAAATATATAAAAATCCATAAGTTCCTGGCGGATAGGTGGCTCAGTTGGTTGGATCATTGTCCTCCACACCAAAAGGTTGCAGATTTGATCCCCAGCCAGGGTGTATACGGGAGGCAACCAATTGATACTTCTTTCTCACATAGATGTTTCTCTCCTTCCCCCTTCCTTTCTGTCTAAAAATTAATACATACATCCTTGGGTAGGAATTAAAAAAATCCATGAGTTTCCAATGATACTTAAATGAAAGCTAAATTAGAAGTTTTTTCGCCATGGCAGTGGTTATTATATCAATTCTTTATTCTAAAAATTGGTAGGAATTATGTTCCATGGTGAACAACTATTTCCAATTGATGAGGTAAAGCTCTTTATAGATTAACATCAGCTAATAGAGAAGGGACAGTATAAGAAAAATTAACATTTGGCAAGCCCTAAGTAAATACATGATAGATAATGATCATTAATGGATGCTTAAACCATTAAGACTTGAATTGATGAGGAACAATATTCACATGGTTCTAAATTGTCATCTCATAGTTTAGTTGCTAGTCATAAAGAAAAGAAATGAAACTTGACAATAGAGATGTCCAGTGATGAATATTAGCAATATCACTGGTCGTGTGGCATAATGAGCATTATCTGATGTAAAATGCAATACATAGTTGAATGTCTGAAAATCAGTTAATGTAATAGACCATATAAATAGAATAAAAACCAAAACTACACAATCATTCCAATAGATGCAGCAGAAACATTCGACTAAATCCAACACACTTTCATGATAAAAAGACTTAATAAACTTAATAGAAGGGAATTTCCTTAACCTGCTCAAGTACATCTATGAAAATTTCACAGCTATAATTATACTGTATACCGTTTCCCTAATATCAGAAACAAGACAAAGATTCACCTCTTGCCACATTAGTTCATTATTGCGCAGGAGATTCTAGCTAGGGCAGTTAGGCAAGAAAAAGAAAAAAAAGGCATCCATGTTAGAAAGGAAGAAGTCGGTACATTTACACAATGGAATTCTATGCAGCAGAAAGAAAGAAGGAGCTCCTACCCTTTGCATCAGCATGGATGGAACTGGAAAGCATTATGCTGAGTGAAATAAGCCAGGTGGTGAAAGATAGCATATGATCTCACCTTTAATAGGAACCTAAAGAGCAAAACAAACAAACAAGCAAGCAAAATATAACCAAATACACAAAAATAGAGAACAAGCTGACAGTGACCAGAGGGGAGGGGGAGGGAATTTCAGGGGAAGTGTTTACAGGAACAAGTATAAAGGACACATGGACAAAAACTAAGGGGGGTAGAAATGGGAGTGAGGTGGGGAGCACTGGGGGTGTAGGCTGGGATGGGAATAAAAGACAGAAAACTGTACTTGAACAACAATTAAAATAAATAAATTTTTTAAAAATTTAAAAAATAATTAAAAAAGGAAGAGGTAAAACTAGCTCTATTTACAGATGACATGATTTGTTGTATAGAAAATCCTAAAGAATCCACTAAAAAATTATTAGAACTAGTAAGTTCAGCAAGATTACAGGACACAAAATAATTATACAGAAATTATTTGTATTTCTGTACACTCTAATGAATAATCTGGAGATGAAATTAATGAAAAATTCATTTTACTATAGTATCAAAGAATAAAATATTTAGTAATAAATTTAAAAGACAAAATTTATATTCTGAAAACTGTAAAACACTATTGAAAGAAATTTTTAAAAGATCTAAATAAATGGAAAAACATCTCATGTTTCTGGATCAGAAGAGTTACTGTTTGTTACTATGGTAGCTCTTTCTGTTTTTTCCAATACACCAAGGAATTAACTCAGCTCTCAGGTGTCTCACAAATTTATACTGAATTTCTGTTGGATTTTTTTCTCTCACAAATAGCTACTATAATTTTCCCCCTGTTTAGTCCTCTGTTTAAATAGCTTGTTGTGATTTAATTTGCATTCCATAAAAGAAAATTCACCCATTTAAAGTGTATGGTGTTTTTTTTAGTATATTCACAGAGTTGTGTAACTATCATCACAATTAATGCTAGAACATTTTCATCACTCCCAAAGAAACCCTGTATTGATTAGCAGTCACTCTTTATTTCTTTCAAACTCGCCACACTTAGATACCTAGATTGTCTCTAAAGATTTGCCTATTCTGGACATTTTATGTAAATAAGATCATACAATATATATTCTTTTATGATTGGTTTCTTTCACTTAGCATGTTTTCTCGGTTCATCTGTGTTGAAGCATGTAATTCATTCCTCTTTATGACCAAGTAATAGTCCAGTGTATAACTATACACCACATTATACTTATCCATTTATCAGTTGATGGATTTGGGCGTGTTTCCACTTTTTGGCTGCTATGAATAATGCTGCTATGAACATTTGTATACGTTTTTGTATAGACATATGTTTTCACTTTTCTTGGATAGATAGTGTGGAGTGGAATGCTTGGGTCACATGGTAACTATGCTTAATGTTTTGAGTGTCTGTTAGACTGCTTTCCAAATTGGCTGCCCCATTTTACATTTCTACCGACAATGTATAAGGGTTCAGATTTTTTCACATCCTGGCCAACACTTGTTATTTTCTGCCTTTTTAATTATAGTCACCCTAACGAGTTTGAAAAGGTATTTCATTGTGGTTTTGATTTGCATTTTTATAATGGTTAATGCAACAGAGCATTTGGATGCATTTTTTAGCTGATTGGTTTGAACAAGACTTTTATTAAGGAGGCAGTGTTCTGTAATGAACTGTTTTTAATGGGAGTCAAAAGACCGAGGTTTTAGTCTTCTGCTATTTATAGGCTCTTTGACCTTGAATGGATTTCTTACCCTTTAAGTGTCATTAATTTTCTGCCTTTTTTACAGAGTGGCTTTGAGGATCATTTGAAATAAATTATGACAGTTTTTGTAAGCTGTGAGGGATAACCAGTAGTTCTCTGATATTATCATAATGAGGCTACTAAGAAAGGCAGAGACATTCATATAGGAGAGCATCATTAAAAGGGGGGCATGGTTTTGCCTCCTTTCCTTTCTGTTACCTGTAGCACTAACTTGGCCACAGGGAGTTAACCTAAACTGGTATGAATAGCAGCCCTCTTGAGGTCAACTTGATTGCATTCCCAGAGGATGGTATAATGAACTCATTATAATAATTATTCTAAATTAATAGCATTATCTTCCTCATCCATTTATTTTTATACAATGTTGGTAGTGTGGTTTTCTCTTTCTTACAGAACTTACGTTGTCCATTGAATGAAGAGGTAATTGCCCAAGCCAGGAAGCTGTTCCCTTCAGTTATAAAATACATTGTAGAAATGACTATATGGGAAGAGGAAAAAGAACTGCCTTCTGAACTCCAGATAAGGTGGGCAGATTTTTCAAAAGGTAGAAGTTTTAGTGATGGTGATTTATATTGCAAAATAAATGTTAGAAAAAATGTTTTTGTTATTTACTGCTTAATTTATTGTCATTACAAAAATTTTATAGACAATTATGTCTTGGGAATACTTTCAAAATGTCCATTTATATGAGATGCTCTACTGGGCACTAACAGAAATTAAGCCAAAAAGAAGAGCATAGTCAGGAGCTTCTGGTTTTTAAGAAAAAAACATTTGGGGGGTCTCGTTCTAAATGATTTATAAGTCCCTAGCAGCCACTCATTTCAGTAGGCAAGTACTAAATTGCCTAGTCTGATACTGGCCTGAACCAACCTCCAGGTTTCCCAGAGGTTTGTGAACAAAACTAGGGTCTTCAGCACAGTGTGTCTTCCTTTAGCCCGGTTTTTTATGATCCAAAAAAGTTTGATAATGGGATGAGGAGGTGGCCCTCTGCCCTGTGCTTTGGCATCTAGGATTATTTCAGTCGTAGATATTTTACATTTTTAAGCTTAAATCCAGCAATTCCTGACAGCCATAAATAAGTCTGTCAGTGACAATAATATTTGCTTTATTTATTGATTTATTTATTTAGAGAGAAACATCAATTTATTTAGAGAGAAACATGCATTCATTGGTTGTGCCCTTCTTATATGTGCCCTGACTGGGGATCAGAATGACACTCTAACCAACTGAATTACCTGGCCAGGACCAATAATTGCTCTTAACAAATGCTAAAGGGAAATTCCAGACCTGATATAAAGATATAATTTGGGCCTTGCGAGAATTTTTTTTTCTGAGTCTTAGCAAGTTCACAAAATTATATCACAAATATAAATACCATTTCTATTTTGAATTTACTAGGTTTTTTGGTGGTTTTATTTTAGGAGAGAGAATTAAGAATTTCAGTTTATGAAGACAATAAACACATTGTTTTGATTCTTGTTGGGCCATAAACTGCTAAGGGAAGTAAAGTTCATTAGAAATTGTGTCCATAAAGTTTTTAATTTCAAACATGTAATAACATCAGTTAAACCCTTTAAGAAATTGTGTTGGTCAACATAATATTAGTTAGCAATTTGCCTGCCTAAAAAGGGAGAGTTGAGTGTGGGTGTGTATGTAGGTGGCATCAGACTTCAGATTCACAGATCTGAGTTCTAGTCCTTCTCACTGCTTATTGGCATTGTGACCATGAAGAAGTCTTTTTGAGCTTCTGTATCCTAAGCTATGAGGGCCAAGAAAATCTGCCTCTTAGAGTTACGAGAGTCGATAATTGAGTGTATTGTAAAAGCTTATTGTAAACTGTTTCAAACTGATGACATCTAATTTTGTGTAGCTCATAATAAGTGTTTTCACATATTTTATAAGATCTTCACACCACTCTCAAATATAGACATCATACTCTTCTTAGAGATGGAAGAGACACTGTCGTCTCAACAAGGTCAAAAAGCTTAAGCTACCTACGTGTCTATACCAGTCCCTCAGTCAGTCAAATGATAGAGCTGGCATTTTAAATTTATATACACTTGGAAAAAAAAACTTAAATGTTCTCTGGCTAGGTGGCTCAGTTGGTTGGAGTGTCATTTTATACACCAAAAGGTTGTGAGTTCCATCTCTATTCAGGGATCAGGGGTACATACAGGAGGCAACTGATCAATGTTTCTCTCACTCTCTTTCTCCCTCCCCTCCCCCCACAAAATTAATAAACATCCTCAAGTAAGGATTAAAAAATAAATAATTTAAATGTATTATAATACCAGAAATGTAAGGTAAAACAAAAATTCAGTAAAAACTAAATGCTAATCTTACTATGGTTGCCTGCTTTAAGGTTCTGAGTCTGAGGCCTGTCTGCCTTTGTAAGGAGGGGAGGTGAGCAAGAATTAAGAGTGGCATTTAATTCGTACTGTCAGTAAACTGAGGGTAGTGATTTATTGTATATCTGGAAGTGGTAAAAAAAAATTGAAGAAAAAACATGGAAAAGGCAGTACTTTTATTAGGGTTTAAAAAATTTCCACAGTACTATTTTACTTAAAAGAATTCCCAATATCTGTGCTATAGTGGTATTTTCTTATTTAAGAACTTACATGGTGCTGCTTTGGTACAGATGTCACATATTATTTTAGCCTGTTTTTCATATTTTCCTTTGTTTATTTGTTACAGTATCTCAATGTCTATATATCTTTTTTTTAAACAGGGAGAAAAATGAAAGGTACTATTGTGTCCTTTTTAATGATGAACACCATTCATATGACCATGTCATATACAGTCTACAAAGAGCTCTTGACTGTGAACTTGCAGAGGCCCAGTTGCACACCACTGCCATAGACAAAGAGGTTTGTGGGCTTCATTTGAATTATTTTGCTGTCCTACATCAGCTTCCCTGGAGTCAGGTGTTGACAGAGCCCTTGCCAAGTACCTTAGTATGGTGTTAGGTACAACTATTCTCTTCACTCGTTCCTTATATCCTACATGAACTGGTTAAAACTTGATTTATCTGTGTGTGTATCATAGTTGTAGATAACTATAACTTTCCCCTTTTAGTCTAAATAATTAGAAAACTGCTGAACGTGTTTGGCAAAGAATAATTGAGCATGTAAACTCACCTTCAGTTTCTTTCTGTAATTATTTATTGAATAAATGAGTAAATGTGTGAATTTTGAAAAGTTGGTCATTTCTGAGATTTTAACATTTTTAAAGCTACTTTTAGAATAATACTGATTTATGGCTCAACTTTTATTTAATATCCATCCAAAGTAAAATGTATTCCTCAGTTACATAGAATATTTCATATAATTCTGCCCTTGTTGTAGAAGAAGCAGCATGACATTAGTTATTAGGCATTAGTGTAGTGATTCTAGGGCTTGAGGAAACAACGTTCTGGCCACGCTTCTGTTCCACTAGTGGACCTTTAATGTGTTATGGAACACATGCTGAGAAATTTTCAGTTCATTCATGGGAGGTATTTAAAACATATAGTAGGAGTTTAGTAAACCTAAGTTATTATTATCAGATAGAAGTAGAGTACACTATAACAAGTAAAGAACTGACATTCTTGCTAAGTAGGAAATCCAAAATTCTAAAGTATAGAAATTCTCTACTAATGGTATTAAAAGTTCTGAAGTCACATAAAGGTGTTAAACATTTATCTTTATCTTCCAGGATTTGCCCATCTTTTGACTTTTAGTCAGTCAACAAATGATTACTAATTAACCTGTCATTTAGTTTTTGGGCTTAATACTACTTACAGATTGGGATTGTTATTCTGTGGCTTAATTCTCATGTTTGTTTATTATTAGGGTCGACGGGCTGTTAAAGCAGGTACTTTTGCTGCTTGCCACGAAGCAAAGGAAGATATAAAGGTAATTTTCTGAATTGGGGACAAACAGAATTTAAGAGGAATATACATTGTAAGAACCCAAGTAAAAGAACAGTATTTTTCAAACAGTTTGGCATACAAAGTAAAGATAGGATTGGGGCATTTAGTTCCAGAGATTTGGAAGTACAAAGGTTATGTAATTTCTCCTTTTAAAGAATAGATTATTCAGTTAAAACAAAAATTTTAAAACTTGGTCTTTTTTTCTTTGCTTAATATTCCTTTTATTTGTAGAGTCATTCAGAAAATGTCTCTCAGCATCCTCTTCATGTAGAAGTATTACACTCTGAGGTTATGGCTCATCAGAAATTTGCTCTACGTCTTGGCTCCTGGATGAACAAAATTATGAGCTATTCAAGTAAGCATATAGTCTACTTCTGGGTTTTTTAAACAGCTACAAATTTTAAAATATTGAGTATAAAATAAAATTTTCTCTTAAAATACCTTTTGATTAATTTTCAGGAATGCATTTTAAGTACTGTAACAGTTTATTGGCTCTTGATTTTTTGATGTTGACAGAATTGTTATATCAGGTGTGGGAAGATTAATGTTAATTTTTTCACATTATAGAAAACGTACTATACTTTTGGGAGAAATATTCTAAGAATAAAAATTATGTAACTTTTTTTGTAGGTGATTTTAGACAGATCTTTTGCCAAGCATGCCTTAGAGAAGAACCCAGCTCTGAGAATCCCTGTCTCATAAGCAGGTTAATGCTTTGGGATGCAAAGCTTTATAAAGGTAGGTGGATCTTTGCTTATGCTGTTCACCATGAGGCAAAGGAAGATTGTGACCTTACAATGGAGCTATGATCTTTTGTTTATTAATATCAGTGATCTTGGTTTATAAGTTATTATACCTTAAGGTAAGGTTAACGAATCAATATGTATTCTTCTGTGTTAAAACCCAGGGATACTGCCTTTGAACTATAGTGCCTTTTTATTTATTCAGGGTCAGTAAAAGGGGTATGACTATATATTCATGTAGCAGTACCATTAATAAGTTGTGCTAATACTTCATTTTTTAAAATCTAAACAAAGAACAAAAACGGTGAGAGAAAGGCTAGAGGGAAGAAAAGGGAAGAATATGGAAAAGAGTTGTTTTGAGTGAAAAGAAATGGAAAGGATTGGAGAAAGGTTGGGAGAGGTAGAATGAAATAAGATAAAGTAGTGAAAAGGGTACAGAAAAAGGGAAAGGGCCATATATGTATGTATTTTAACTTCATCTATTAAATATTAATATAATAAACTCTACTCATAGTTGAGTCCTTGAGGTCTACTACTAGCATGTGAAATATTTTTATAATATTCTGCCACTTCTAATAGCTGGATTTTTTTTTTTTGCCTTGGTGATGCTCCCCAACTTCCCCCCAAAATGATCTATAGGTGCCCGTAAGATCCTTCACGAATTGATCTTCAGCAGTTTTTTTATGGAGATGGAATACAAAAAATTCTTTGCTATGGAATTTGTAAAGGTAATTGCTCTTTATAAATAGATATCAATAAATAGAAATAGAAAACCATTTTTGTAAATGAAGTAATAGAAACAAAGGGGATAATTATGAGTCAAGAATTTTACAGTTCATTTTTGTCAGTTTTTTAAAAATTTTTTACATTTGGTAGTATGGAGAGAGTAGCCTTGGAGAATAGAAAAGTGGAAAATGACCTATTATTTGCCTAGATAGAACAATAGGGACGTATTCATTCATCCTTTCTAGTCATTTGCCTGTTAGTAAAATTATAATAAGTAGAAGTGATTAGTTGAAAGGTATAGCAGGGAAAGGAACATACATGAATGGTAAAGGGAGGCAGAAATTAGATGGGGCAAGAGTTATACTTAGCTGTTTGAGGCTAAATATAACGACTAAATTTATAGCATACTAATATTGTTTTATTGAACTATTATATATCCCTTTCATTGTTACATATATTTTTTGTCGATTCCTAAAGTTAGATTGCAAGGTGATACAGAACAAGGACTTCTTTGAATGTCTCTACTTTGCCTTGTACAAGATATCCAATAAATAAATACTCATTGGTTTCCTCTGATTTTAAGTTGCAGGCAGTTCTACAGACAGGACAGAGCTAGGACTCAGAATAGAACTGGAAACAGAGAAATAATGGTTGTCAAAGGCAAATGATACTGTAGGGTAATACCTCTCACTCCCTGGATTTTAGAAGTATATTGTTAAAAGTAACTTAAGACATTTGGTTTCTTGAAGGGTGATGACAACTCAGGTTGTCAATATTCTTCTAAAACTCCTTAGAGATACAAGATTGGATCATATGTGTGATCCAAATTGATTTTTTTCTTATACAAAATCAGTTCTTCTAACTAAGATGATATTTTTTATATGCAATGGTTACCAAGAGAGCTTTGTGGAAATTCTGATGGTTAAGATTAAGTAAGTAGATCAAGAATCTTTGCATTGTGCTTGATTTATGACTGCATGTATTATTATTTTGTTCTTCCAGTATGTCAGGGTTTATTTTCAGCTGGCATGCAACAATATGGATAAGAAGCTATATGTACAGCCAGCTCCCATTCTGTTTAAGGCTGGATTAAATCTGATTGGTTAGTTTTCTGGGTTATATCAGTTTATAAAAACTTGGAATGTAGCCCACATCCTTGGGATAGAATTTGCTAATGATTACCCCAGATTGTTTGGAGAAAGACTGTACTGTACCACCGCAGTCCTCTGTGATTTTTTTTCACCTGTGTTTGTGCACTTTAAAAAAATATTTTATTTACTTATTTCTAAGACAGAGGGGAAGGGAGGGAGAAAGAGAGGGAAAGAAATCAATGTGTGGTTGCCTCTCATGTGCCCCCTACTGGCCCACAACATAGACATATGTCCTGACTGGGAAGCGAACCGACGACACTCCAGTTCACAGGCTGGCACTCAGTCCACTGAGCCACACCAGCCAGGGCTTTTTTTCTTTTTTAGTAGTTCTCACTTTCAGCTCTGCTAGATTGGGCAGCTAAATTCATGTTTGGTCTTTCATTTGTTATTCTCTTTCTAATATATTTTCATTTACCATATTATCTCCCCTTAAGAAATAGGAATCATAATGCTTCACATCTTATACATAGAAACAAATTTGCAGCAGCTGTTAAAATTGGGATTTTAGGTTTTCAGTAGTCATTTTTAATTGATTCTCCACTTATTATTTGTTATATCTTTCAGTATTATAAACAGCTGCAGAAAGAGTATATCAGTGATGATCATGACAGAAGTATCTCTGTAACTGCACTTTCAGTGCAGATGTTTACTGTTCCTACTCTGGTATGTATTATTAATTTGTAGTATTTCTAAGTAAAACTTGTTTTTTAAGAATTTCACATAGTGTTAAATCAAAACAATGTTAGAATCACTATGTTGGGCTAATTTCATCTGGAAAGTTAATACATAAATGGTATCTGCATGTAAATTTTACATTAATAAATAATAAAGACGAGGTAACTTGTGAAGTGGGAATGATAGTACTACCTTTGTCCTAAAGTCCTGATACCTGCAGGTGAAGTCTAAAGCTGTTTCTCAACTTCGAGAGTAACTTAAGAGTAGTGCATTTTCAATACCAAACAAATTTCTTTGTGGTTTTTGGGGGTTGGGTGGTGGTGGATAGATTAAGGTAAAGCAAGAGTCCAGTATAACTCCAGCATTGCATGAGATACAGTGCTGCAAGTCCTGAGAGGAGAGTGGAGGATTCTTCTTCCTTTTTTGTACTACTTCTTTTTCTGTTTCTTTTGGACAGTTTGGCTGACTGTTTCTACTTTCCCATTTCAAAATCCAGAGATGGAGAAGAGACATTGGATTGGGAGTTAGGAGGGGTGGCCACAATAAATAATGATGTTGTGAAGTATATCTGTGATTGTCGTACTTTTACGCACTGTGTGATTACCGATGATGAATATTAGGTAACCTGAGTAATGGGCTTGGGGTGTCCAGGCAGGGATTTTCTAGTTATTGTGGAGTAGGAAATTTTTACTTTTAGAAAATAGCTTCTCAGAAATTGCTGTTCTGTGAGACTGAGGGCTGTGTTTGATGCTTGGTAAACATTTTAAAAATTACTTACTGACCAACCAAGTGAGTTAGTACTAAAGACATTATTCTTGAAATATTCTGCAGGCTCGACATCTTATTGAAGAGCAGAATGTTATTTCTGTCATTACTGAAACTCTACTAGAAGTTTTGCCTGAGTACTTGGATAGGAACAACAAATTCAACTTCCAGGGTTATAGCCAGGACAAACTGGGAAGAGTGTATGCTGTAATATGTGATCTAAAGTAAGTTATTTGTCAGAAGGTGAGGCTGCTTACTAAACACAGTGAGCTTGTTTGTTCTCTTATAAATAAACCTCCCATGCTTATCTAAGATTCTAAACCTCCCATGGTTATCTAAGATTCACTTTATAAAGGTGAGGAGTATAAAGAACTGTTACTGTCTCATGTCAGTAAATGTTTTCAGTGAAGACATAGTTCAGAGTTAAAACCTGGTTAATTAAGAAGATACTGAGGAGGAGGCTGTCACAGGAACTTAGGGTCACTCAGTGAATCTCCGTGGTAATTACCCTGCCTTCCACTTCCACTTCCACTTCCACTCGTGCACGTTGGTTCTGTCCCTCTGGTATAGTCTCTTTGGTCGTAGTTTCAGATGATCTAGTTGATGTGAATTTCTTTTTAATTCCTTTTTTCATACCTATAACCAAGTTATTGAAATTCATCAGTGGTTTCTTAAGTTTTTTTCCCTGAAGAGAGTGGAGAGTTTCCTTTTAAACTGAAGTGGGGATCACATGATAGATCTCAGGATTGTTGGACCTAAAAAGAAATTTATTTTATAAATAAATTTATAAGGTTTATAAGGTGTATGATATCAGCTATTCAATAAATCATAAACTCCAAAAAATTCTTTTCTTTTAAGAATATATTAAGACAAAATATATTTCAGTTTGTTATTTAAAATGAAGGGCCTCAAGGTATAGAATTTTACCTACCTCTAGTCCCTAGAGCAGAAAAACCGTTTTGTTCTCTTCTTCTAGTGACCATGTAGGGTATAGAGAGATGGAAACCAATAGGCTTCCAAACCAACCTAGAAACAGCTTAATCTATTTAAAAGATACATTCAATAGATTTCTGGAAGTATGCATTGGATCCTTGATATTACAGAGGAAAATGCTTCCAGACCTTTTAAAATTCCTCTCTAACTAATGTATACCACTTAAGGACATAGAAATCTTTCTTTAAAGTTCAGTAAATTATTATGTTATCACATCTTTTAGTACAAGTAGAAATGGTGGAAGAATTCCGTAGTGAATCACCATTTAGCTATTGTGATTCACAAATTATGTTTGAATTATGTATTACGCAAAACAAATAAAAATACCTAAACACTCTAATGGCAGTGCGTAAAGTTACCAGTGTTAATGTATTCATAATTTTTTGGTTTACTGTACAGGAAAAAATCTCTTTACTGAGTCTCTCATTATTGTGAAGTCTTCTTATAACTGAGTTATTTTTATATCCAGGGAAGTGAAACATAATCATATCATTGTTTTATCATATTTTGTAGAACTCTGACTACAGTGAATAATGTAGAGTCAGTACATCTCTAGATACTTACCCATATGGTAAAACTTTAGGGATCCTGTCTGGAAGGTAACTTTAAAGTTCTCCTACTCTACTGGTGCTTACAACTTCTTTCCAATATCCTTACCAAAATAGAAATACCTCTGATGACAAGAAGAAAGGAGAATGAACATATTTTGAGCACCTGTTCAACAGATACTGTGTACCAGGTTTCTCATGTAATTCATGCTCATGAGGATCCTGTGTCACTTTTTTAGTAACTGTTATGTGCCAAAGAGCTTAACTTATTTAACCTTATTTTATTCTTGCAAGGTTTTCATGAGGTACGTGATATAATCTTTATTTGTAGATTATAATTATTTGCCTAAGGTCACGAAGCTAGAACTTGGATTTGAGCCTAGCACTATTTATCTGGAAAACCTGAGTTCTTTACATGACATTATGTAGCCTCGCAAAATAAACATCGGCAAAAGTTTCCCTAAAACCTAGCCTAAAACATCAGTCAGATATACCCTTCATTTAACAAATAATTATTGAGCCTCATTTTCTGTCATTTATGGTAGAAATTTTGCAATTGTATCTTATTTTTACTCTTTCCCCATATACTTATTTATTCACTACTTCTTTCTGAAACCCAGCTTTTAAATCTGTTAGAAATAACCACAGATACTTAATATGTTTTACTTGTTTCCAGAATAAAGTCTGACTTCTTCCAAAGTTTATAGCTCTTTATAGTCTCACCTTATGTGCTACTTACCTGACTGTAACTGAGCATTTAATAAGTTTGCTGGTACTAAGAGAAGCTGTGTTCAGTCTGTCTCAGGAAATCTTCATTCTCTCAAACCAGTGCATTCCAACCTTTGAGTAGCCCCTTCCAACTGTTAAAATTTTATTTTATATTGAATTCTGCCTTTTTGTAGCTTTCATGCCATAGTTCTGTTTCCTTTTTTCCATTAGGAACAACTTCAGTTCTCACTTAAGTTGAAAACAGCAGGTATACCTACCTGCCAAATCTTCACTATGTGAAGTTTTATTAGTTTCTTTAACCATACTCATTTCACATTTAAAGTTCCTTCTAAATCACTGTTCTTCTCTACTGAACCTGTTTTAGTTGAATGTATACCACTTAAGGTAGATGTCAAGAAATGAACGCAGTATTCTGAGGTCTGCCTAGTAGAAAGAAGGGATTATTATACCACAATAAATTTAAATAATAAACCTCTATTAATTTAGTTTCATTTGTCACTCACTCTATGGAAGGTATCTGTTGGGAGGTATCTGTTGGGATACCTTGTTTCTCAATTGCTAATTCACTGTGCAAATGAAACTTAGAGAAGAGATGCAGTTGAACTTTCATTCTATGAAGTGAATATTATCCTTTCATTACTCTAACCTGTTCCTACCTATTTCTGAAAGGGATAGCAGACTCCTAAACCAAATTGCCTCCTTACTCTCCCATCGTGTATTTGCTTTTCTTTTCCTTCTTCTGCTTTTGCCACCTGTTTTTATTTACAGATCCCTTTTCTTTCCTTCATCATTCTTTAAAAAAACTTTTTTATTGTTCAATTACAGTAGTCTTAATTTTTCCCATACTTTCCTCTGCCCTACCCACCTCCTCCCCTCTGGTCACTGTCAGTTTGTTCTTTATTTCCATGTCTGGTTCTGTTTTGCTCATTTGTTTGTTTTGTTGATTAGGTTCCACTTACAGATGACATTATATGGTATTTGTTTTTCACTGTGTGGCTGATTTCACTTAGCATAATACTCTCTGGGTCTATCCATGCTGTCAGGAAAGATTGTCCAACTTGGCAATTGTAAATAATGCTGCAATGAACATAGGGGTGCTTATGTTCTTTCGAATTTTTTGGAGGGGAGGGATTCCTTCAGGTGTATTCCCAGAAGTGGGATCTATGGGTCAGAAGGCAGGTCCATTTTTAATTTTTTGAGCCCTTTCTGTGCAAAAGGGTTCTCCTTTCTCCACATCCTTTCCAGCATTTATTTGTAGATTTATTGATGATGGCCATTCTGACCAGTGTGAGGTGATATCTCATTGTGGTTTTAATTTGCATTTCTCTGATGATTAGTGATGTTGAGTATCCTTTCATATGTCTATTGGCCCATCTGTATGTCCTCTTTGGAGAAGTGTTTATTCAGGTGCTTTGCCCATTTTTTAACTGGGTTGTTTGTTGTTTTGGTGTTGAGTTTGGTAAATTCTTTATAAATTTTGGATATTAACCCCTAATCAGGTGTATTGGGGAATATAGTCTCCATTACAGGGGTTGTCTTTTTATTTTGTTGATGGTTTCCTTGCTGTGTAAAAATTTTTAGTTTGTTGTGGTCCCCTTTGTTTATTTTTTCTGAAGGCAATTTTAACTGGCCTTTTGGGTGAAGGGTATAAACAGTTCTAGGAAATCTGTACCGTGGCTATGCAACAGTGATAGGCTCCTGGGTTATTTAATCAGACCTAACTTTTAAAAAAAATTATTTTTTAGAGAGAAGGGAAGGGAGGGAAAAAGAGAGAGGGAGAAGCATTGATATGGGAGAGAAACACTGATTGGCGGCCTTCCCCAACTGGGGACCCAGCCTGTAACCCAGGCATGTGCCCTAACTCAGAACCAAACCATCAGCCTTTCCATTCACAGGCTGGCACCCAATCCATTGGCCCACAGCAGCCAGGACAGAACTAATTTCTGAGAGGAGGACCTGGGCTTAGCTTTGACATCTGCCTCTTGTGGAACATGCATGTTTTGCTGGTATAATTCTATCTCTGCCCAGAGCTTCTAATTATAAGACATTAGAATACATAATTTTGATGAATCAGCACTGTTTATAGCCCTGAGTAGCTTAAACTGTCTCAAAATAGGGAAGTCAGATATTTCTTTGTCTCTTAAAATTATAGGTATATTTTAATCAGCAAGCCCACAGTATGGACAGAAAGATTAAGAATGCAATTCCTTAAAGGTTTTCAATCTTTTCTGAAGATTCTCACCTGTATGCAGGTATGGTATAGTTATATGCATCAGTAAGATAAATTTATTTTTTAAAAATTTAATCCTAGTCTTTAAAAAATTTTTAGCAAATTTTGGGTTTTATTTGAGGTAAAATATATCTAGCAAAGCAGAAATAAAACATAAACAATACCTCAATGATCTTGCTTTAATAGCTTTTTCTTTATACCTTAGTTAACTACTAATATTGCTGTTAATGCTATTGAATGCTTACCATGTGCTACAGTAAAAGTACTTTACATGCATTATCTCTTTTGAGCCTCGTAGCAATTTCATGAGGTAGTTATCCCCTCATTTATCCCATTATTTATCCCCTTATTTATATATAAGAGAATTGAAGCTTAGAAGTAATTTGATATGGGTCATGCAGCTAGAAAGTGACAGAGCTGGGATTTGAACCCATGCATTCTGATATAGTATAACAGCCTTGTTAAAAAGCTATGCATGTATGAATATGAATCCTGACAATTTTATATTTTGCTAGTAGAGTAGTGAAAAAAAGACCCATATATATATGTTGACCACTCTTTCAGGGAATGGAAGAAATCAGAAGACAGGTTGGACAACACATAGAAGTGGATCCTGACTGGGAGGCTGCCATTGCTATACAGATGCAATTGAAGAATATTTTACTCATGTTCCAAGAGTGGTGTGCTTGTGATGTAAGTGAAATTGTTGGTAGGAGTTGTGCCTTTTTAATTGCTCTAGTGGCTATAAATAGTATAGTTTCATGTTGCAAGTTCCTTGATGTAAAGTGTTGTTATCTAAGTAGTTTCTTATATATTTGAATTTGTCTTTTTACTTTTAGGAGGAAAATTCAGTTTTTTACTCTTAATTAGAAAATGTTCTCCATGATAGTTTCATTTTCCTAAGGAATAGTGGGGTTTAAAAAATATAATACATTTATTTATATATATTTATTTATTTGAACATTAATATAAATGATACGGAAATTGGGACCCACATAACATAGACTTTTTTTAAGATAAAAAAAATGTTTTTTTAAGTGAGGTGGGAGAGAGAGAGAAACATTGATTTGTTGTTCTACATACTTATTCATTTATTGTTTGATTCTTGTATGTTCCTGGACCAGGAATCAAACCAACCACCTTTTGCTTTGCCCAACCAACTGAGCCATGCTGGCCAGGGCAATGTGCTAATTTCTAAGAGGGATAGTCCCAAAATTTATTTGATCATAGTTGTTTTTCAAGGTAGAATCACTATGAGAAACACTGTGTTTAAAAAGTGACCTTTGACTTGTCTCTCCCTGCCATACTCACCCAGATTTTAATCTTCCTTATCCTTAATTTATTTTATAACCCTAACTTACTTTTTTATGGGTTCATTTTTTTGCCCTGACTTCTCCTACTGTAGTTGAGACCCTTATCACCTTACACTTAGAAATCTACCTATTGTTTTCCTTGTTTCCTAACATTTCTTTCTCTACTCTGTTGACACACATTACTTCTTCTTTAAGCCATGAGTTGACTATATTATTATACTTCAGACACCATCAATGTATTTACATGCCAAGTTCAAGCCATATTTTCAGTTTAATTGCTTATTAATTTCATCCATAAATCCTTTGATTTATCTAGTTTTTATTTCTCTCTACTGCCCGAACAGGAAGTGTACATACTTCCCTTTATTTTTTTCTGTTTATTCTGTATGTCTGCTTACAATGCCAGTGTTTTCTCATCTTTTTCCTGTACTTAAATTCTATATATTCTTTGGACCCCACTCAAAAGCTGCTTTCACAATATGTCTTCCCAGCTGTTTTTTATTCTTTTTTTTTTTTGCCGTCTTACTGTAGTTAGTTTTTATCATTTATGTGGTGCTTACAATTTTTCACTTTAATTGTAAGTGTGTGCATGTGCACGTGTGTGTTTCTTTCTATATTTCTTTCTGGTCTGCTGATCCTGGTTTGTGGAGGTAGGCCTAGTAATACATAGAACAATTTTGTGTTTGTATTTTAGTAAATGTTTATTGTATAATGTGGTGAAGTAGACAGTGTGTCAATTTATTCGCATTTTTCTTTTAGGAAGAACTCTTACTAGTGGCTTATAAAGAATGTCACAAAGCTGTGATGAGGTGTAGTACAAGTTTTATGTCTAGTAGCAAGACAGTAGTACAATTGTGTGGTCATACTTTGGAAACTAAGTCCTACAGAGTATCTGAAGATCTTATCAGCATACATCTTCCACTCTCTAGGACTCTTGCTGGTGAGTGTTTGGGCTTTTTGTTTTGTTTTGTTTTATTTTTTGGCTTCTTTTGCATGTTTCTATTAGCTTTATTTCCTAGATATTCAGAGCAGTAGAATCATTTGTTTTTGTTTTGTGCTCAGTATGTATAGACATACTCGGATCAGATACTGCAGTTAATATCTGTCACTGTCTTTTAAAGAGCTGTCACCCAACATCTAAGGATGCTTGTCTTTGTAGGCCTTTTGTGATCTTAGTCCTATAGTGTACAGTTAAGGACTAACTTGATAACCCATCTCCCACCCAGATTTCAATATAGGAAAATCTTGTTGCTGGTTTTGAACCTTTTTTTCTGCCTAATTGCACAAGTGTATTGTTGGAATCACTGTTTCTTTCACCACTGAAAGAAGAAGGTCATAGATTTTCTTTATTCCATCTTTGATTTGCATTTACATGTAAACTGGCCTTGTCAGGTTTTTTTAAAACAACTTTATAAAAGTGCTTATATTTTAATTGTGATAAAATATACATAACATAAAATTTACCATTTTAACCATTTTAAATGTTCAGTTCAGTGTCATTAAGTACACTGTTTTGTGTAGCATCACCAACATCCATCTCCAGAATTTTTTATCTCCCCAAACTCAGATTCTGAATCCTTTCAGCACAACTCCTCATTCCCACTTTCTGCAGTCCCTGGCAACTGCCATTTAACTTTGTCTCCATGATATAACTACTCTAGGTACCTCATGTGAATGAAATAATACAAATATCTTTTTATAATTGGTCTATTTCACTTAGCATAATGTTCTCAAAGTTTATCTATGTGGTAGCATGTATCAGAATTTTCTTCCTTTCTAAAGCTGAGCAATATTCTATAATATGTATATATCACATTTTGTTTATCTATTTATCTGTCAATAGATGCTCCTGTTATTTTCCACCTTTTGCCTTTGTGAATAATATTGGTGTGAATGTAATGTACAAATATCTGAGTCCTGTTTTCAATTCTTTGGGGTATCTACAGGGCCCAGCAAAAGTAATGCCTGCTTGAGAGTGGTTGGTAGGGTACATGAATGTCTCCCACAAGATGGACAGCAATTTGAACATTTCACCTAAAATGTCATGTGGTGTGCTTGAGTGTGATATTGTTATGTTACAGAATTACATGCTTATGATTTTGTATTAAAAAGGGGGTGTTATTTGCACTGGACTCTGTATCTGTAAGTGGAATTGCTGAATTGTAAGGTAATTCTCCTTTTTAATTTTTTGAAGAACTGCCATACTGTTTTTCATGGCAGCTGCACCATTTTACCTTCCTGTCAGCAGTACACAAGGATTCCAGTTTCTCCACATCGTCATCAACACTTATTTTCTGTTTTGGGGGGTTGTTTTTTAAGATTTTATTTATTTATCTTTAGAGAAGAAGGGAAGGAGAGAGGGAGAGAAATATCAATGTATGGTTGCCACTCGTGGGTCCCCTGCTGGGAACTGGCCTGCAACCCAGGCATGTGCCCTGACTGGGAATCTAACCTTGATCCTTTGGTTCACAGGCTGGCACTCAATCCACTGAGCCACACCAGCCAGGGTTTTTTTTTTTGAAATAGCCATCATAATGAGTATGAAATGGTATCTCATTGTGGTTGTGATTTCCATTTTTCTGGTGATTTATGATATTGAGCATCTGCTCCTGTTCTTAGTGGCCATGTGTATATCTTCTTTGGAAAAATGTCTGTTCAAGTTCTTGGTCTGTTTTTTAATCAGATTTTTTTGTTGTTAATGGAGTTGCTGGAGTTCCTTATATATTCTGGATGTTAACTGCTTATTGGATACATGATTTGTAAATATTTTCTCCCATTCTGTGGGTTGCCTTTTCACTCTGTCATTAGTGTCCTTTCATGCACAAAAGGTTTTAGTTTTGATAGTCTAATTTATTTTTCTTTTGGTTACCTGTGCTTTTGGTGTCATATCCAAGAAATTATTGCTGAAACACTTTCCCTGTGTTTTCTTCTAAGAGTTTTATAATTTTAGCTTCTGAGATTAAGGTCTTTGATTAATTTTTAGTTGACTTTTTGTATATTGTGTAATTGACATGTCATTTTATGTCACTACTATTTTTATTAAAAGAAATGTGCAAGTTTTCTTACACATTTGAAACCCATCAAATGGATTTTATTTCATGCTTCATTAAGAGCAAAATAAGCATGCCTGTCTTTTGAGAGGCAGGATGTTATTTTTAAATAATGTATAAGCATACCTTACACAGTGCAGGGTCTTAAATGTATCAATAACACTATTTCGAAATTAGAAATCAAAAGTTTACATTCTGAGGTGTCATTTCTAATTGCAGTAAATGTATATTTAAATCTCACAAGTTTTTAAACTTGATGAGTTAACTAAGAAACAATTTTAATTGGATTTATTGCTTTCTCATCTTCCTTCTTTTTTTAACCCTTAGGTCTTCACGTGCATTTGAGCAGGCTGGGTGCTGTTGCAAGACTGCATGAATTTGTGCCTTTTGTAAGTGACTGTATTAAGTGCTGACTTATTTATATCCTATTCTAAACATCTCTTGGTTAATGAGTGGGGAAAAAATATTTTGAAACCCACCTGAATAATTCCCACTTAGTAATTTTACATCTACATATAGTATATTGAAATCTGAATTATGGGGATTTAGAGTCATCTAGTTCAAGCCCTTCCTTTTTACAAATGAAAACACTGAGGAATATATACTACCATAACTTCGAGACATATCCAAGCCTTCTGAGAAATAATGAACTTGACTTCACTCTGTTTTAGGAGGACTTTCAAGTAGAAGTTTTAGTGGAATATCCTTTGCGTTGTCTGGTACTGGTTGCCCAGGTTGTTGCTGAGATGTGGCGAAGAAATGGGCTCTCTCTCATTAGCCAGGTATGGCAAGGACAATTATTCACATTTATGAATGTGTTCATTTTCTAATGTAAAAAATATATGTAATTTTACCATGTCCCTGGATTTTGCTGAGTATTTGTTTTCTCTTTTCTCATATAAACTCAGAAGTGACAGTTGTAGTGACCATGTAAACATTTCTCCTTTTTTCCTATTGATTAGATACATTAGGTGAAAGCCGGTAGTACCACCAGAAACCTTTCCATTATATTAACACAGGTCTTTTCTGAAGTTTACCTTACTTGGGGACCTGTATTTTTACTGCCTCCTGTCTTAATGGAAGGCCACCTTATAATTTTTCCTTCTATTTTAGAGAAAATAACGAGAAGTGTGTTTCCTAAGAGGTGGGGAAGTAGAAAATTTAAGTATACCACTTGGGAGAAAATAGGTGTTCTGATTGATTGTAGAAATTGGTTTACTTTTATTTAAGTGGGTATTTTAAACTTAGGGGAGCCCTGGCTGGTGTGGCTCAGTGGATTGAGTGCCAGCCTGCAAGCCAAAGGGTTGCTGATTCGATTCCAGTCAGGGCACATGCCTTGGGTTGTGGGCCAGGTCCCAAGTTGGGGGTGCACAAGTGCAACCACACATCAATGTTTCTCTCTCTCTCTCTCCTCTTTTCCCTCTGTCTAAAAATAACTAAATAAAGTTTAAAAAACCTTAGGGGAAATAAATATTTTTACTATTCATGTTGAGAGTAATAACTAATATAGAGCATTTTTAACTGTGAAATTTTTTCATGCCTCATTTTCTTGCAAAGTTATAGCTAACTTTTTTTTTGACACTAAGGAGTTCTTGAATTTCTAGTTTGGAGGGAGTTTTAAGAATAGTTGAGACTTCTGTTTGAAATAAAATCATTATTGTAGCTGCTAGTCTACCTTTTATTTTATAGGTATATTATTACCAAGATGTTAAGTGCAGAGAAGAAATGTATGATAAAGATATAATCATGCTTCAGGTACCTATTTAAATTACTTCTGATATTTATGTCTTAACTTTTCTTCTTAGATCCCTTGTAATAAAAGAAGATACTGTAATTATTTTTTATTTATTTACTTAAGTTTTTTTCACTGGCAAAATATGGTTATCATAAAAATGTAAGGATCTACTACATTATCTTCTGCAGACTTACTTTATAATTTTTCTGACAGTATTACCGGAGACAAAAATTTTTCCCATTTAATACATAAGAACTGTGATGCTGGGTGTCTTTCACAGATTGGTGCGTCTTTAATGGATCCCAACAAGTTCTTATTACTGGTGCTTCAGAGGTATGAACTTGCTCATGCTTTTAACAAGACCATATCCACAAAAGACCAGGTAAGCAACAGAAACTGAGAAGTGATTTAATTCCAAATAAAGTTTATTGTTAATGATTTTAATCTTATTTAAGATTTTTATTTTTTATATGAACAAAAACCACACATTTAACATGTGTATATATATCTTCATATACATACATATACTTTACACATACATACATATATTCTTTTTACTCTATAAACATTAGAATATATAAAGGGAGAAAAATCACACGAAACACTGACTCCTAGAAATTATCACTTTTAAAGTTTTGATTTCTTGTTTGTTTTTCGAGCAAAAATTGGATCTTTTTATGTGCTATTTTTTTCCTTTATTAATTTTGTCTTTATTTACCAACTCGCTGTCTTGACACGATTACTTTACATTGCCTTACAACGTATAGTTTTCCGTCTGTCATGAATGAGTGTCATGGAACAGCTGTATGTCTCCCATGAAAGGAAGCATTCTACTTTTAGTTTTATTATCTTGTATTAACTGCTACCTAGGGATATTTCCCTGGATTCCTCTTACATTTTTTCTTTCTTTTTTTAATTAATTTTTTTATTGATTATGCCATTACAGTTGTTCCCCCCTTCATTCCCCTCCACCCTACCCCGCGTCCCCCCCATTACCCCCCCTTTAGTTTATGACCATGTGTCTCAAGTTCTTTAGATTCTATATTTCCCATACTATTCTTGCCCCCCCCATCTATTTTCTATTTACTGTCTATGCTACTTATTTTCTGTACCTTCTCCCCCCTTCTCCTCCTCCCACTCCCCTGTTGCTAACCCTTCATGTGATCTTCATTTCTATGGTTCACTCCTGATCTAGCTGTCCTTTTAGTTTGCTTTTGTTTTAGGTGTGGTTGTTAATAACTGTGAGTTTGCTGTCCTTTCACTGTTCATGTTTTTTTAACTTCTTTTTCTTAGGTAAGTCCCTTTAACATTTCATATAATAAGGGCTTGGTGATGATGAACTCCTTGAATTTGATCTTATCTGAGAAGCACTTTATCTGCCCTTCCATTCTAAATGAAAGCTTTGCTGGGTAGAGTAATCTTGGTTGTAGGTCTTTGGTTTTCATGGCTTGGAATACCTCTTTCCAGCCCCTTGTTGCCTGTAAGGTCTCTTTTGAGAAAACGCAGCCAAAACACAGAAAATTGAACTTTTCGGGAGTCTGATAACAACGAATTCTTCAGCCCTACCGGTAAGAGGGTGAAGCCAGCAGCTGGCAGAGCGGGTTGCACAGGAAAACTCGGTCAGATGTACTCAGGCACGAGGATCCCAGGTGTGAGGTTGCAATGGGCGGACCCAGTGAGCGATAGGTAGACCCAGCGAGGGCTAAGGGCATCAGGCTGAACGTGGTTACACATTCGAGTGCAGATAGACCTGCGAAGGAGTGAGCAGTGAGACAGACCAAGCAAGCCCCAGTGGGGGGCAAGCAGCGAAGGGGGCCCGCTATTGCCTCGCTCTGACCATGCTCCCACATACAGCATCACAACCCAGCAATCTGGGCGGCCCCACCCTGGTGAATACCTAAGGCTCCGCTCCTCATACTTAACGGGCATGAACAAACCGAAAATGGCTCAAGAAGATCTCAAAGCCCCAGAGCCCATAACTCTAAGCAATGAAGAAATAGCAAAACTTTCAGATGCATAGTTCAAAACACTGGTGATCAGGATGCTCACAGAACTGGTTGATTTTAGTCAAAAATTAGAGGAACATATGAAGGCTAAACTAATTGAAGTAAAGGGAATTGCACAGGAAACCAATAGTGATGGAAAGGAAACTGGGATTCAAATCAAGGGAGAGGACCAGAAGGAAGAAAAAAATGACCAAACAGAAAAATATGAAGAAACAAGAATTCAAAAAAAAAATGAGAGACTTAGGAACCTCCAGCACATCTTTAGGAGCTCCAGTGGCGCAATTGGTTAGCGTGCGGTACTTATACAGGACATTTTTAAATGCTCCAACATTGAATTATAGGGGAACCAAAAGGGGAAGCCACGAGTGGAAAACTTATTTGAACAAATAATAAAGGAGAACTTCCCCAATCTGGCAAAGACTTCCCCAATCTGGAAATAGACTTCCAGGAAATCCAGGAAGCTCAGAGAGTACCAAAGAAGTTGGACCCAAGAAGGAACACACCAAGGCACATCATCATTACATTAGCCAAGATTCAAATGAAGGAGAGAATCCTAGAAGCAGCAAGAGCTAAGGGGACAGTCACCTACAAAGGACTTCCCATCAGACTGTCAGCAGACTTCTCAAAAGAGACCTTACAGGCAAGAAGGGGCCGGAAAGGAGTATTCCAAGTCATGAAATCCAAAGACCTACATCCAAGATTGCTCTATCCAGCAAAGCTTTCATTTAGAATGGAAGGGCAGATAAAGTGCTTCTCAGATAAGATCAAATTCAAGGAGTTCATCATCACCAAGCCCTTATTATATGAAATGTTAAAGGGACTTACCTAAGAAAAAGAAGTTAAAAAAACATGAACAGTGAAAGGACAGCAAACTCACAGTTATTAAGAACCACACCTAAAACAAAAGCAAACTAAGAGGACAGTAGATCAGGAGCAGAAACATAGAAATGAAGATCACATGGAGGGTTAGCAACGGGAATGGGAGGAGGAGAAGGTACAGAAAATAAGTAGCATAGATGGTAGGTAGAAAATAGGGGGGAGGGCAAGAGTAGTATGGGAAATGGGAAATATAGAATCTAAAGAACTTGAGACACATCATAAACTAAATGGGGGGAATGATGGGGGCAGGGGAGTGCAGGGTGGAGGGGAATGAAGGGGGGAAATGGAAAAAGTGTAATGGCATAATCAATAATATTTAAAAATTTTTTATTTTAAGCAATTGTGAACGGGATTGTTTTCTTAATTTTCCTTTCTGATAGTTTGTCATTGATGTATAAAAATGCAACTGATTTCTGCATATTTTGTATTTTGCCACTTTACTGAATTCATTTAATGAGTTTTAATAGTTTTTTGGTAGAATCTTTAGGGTTCTTTCCGTATAGTATCATATTATATGCACATAATGACAGTCTCACTTCTTCCTTTCCAGTTGGATGCCTTTTATTTCTTTTTGTCTGGTTGATGTGGCTAGGACTTCCAGTACTATGTTGAATAAGAGAATTAAAGTGGACATCTCTGTCTTATTCCCGATCTTAAGGGAAACCACTTGTAGTGTTTGTCCATTGAGTATTATGTTGCCAGTGGGCTTATAATGTATGGCCTTTATTGTGTTGATGTATGTTCTTTTATTACACTCAGGTATGTTCCCCTCTTTTATTATGGCTTTTATTATTACATTGAGGTATGTTCCTGCTTTTCCCACTTTGCTAAATGGGTGCTGGATTTTATCAAGTGCTCTATAGTGTCTTTATCTGGTTTCGGGATTAGGATAATGCTCATAAAATGAGCTTTGGAGTCTTTCCTCCTCTTGAATTTTTTCTAATAGTTTGAAAAGGATAAATGGTTGTTCTTCTTGGAATGTTTGGTAAAATTAACCTGCAAAGCCATCCATTCCAGGGCTTTTGTTTGTTGGAACTTTTTTGATTACTGCTTCAATTGTAGTAATTGTAATCTGTCAAGATTCTCTTGAGTCATCCTGATTCAGTTTTGGAAAATTGTATGTTTCTAGAAGTTTATCCATTTTGCCCAGATTGTCCAATTTATTTGCATATATAGTTCATAATATTTTCTTATAGCCCTTTTTATACTTTTGGTGTTGATTGTTACTTCTCCTTTTTCATTTCTAATTTTATTTCTTTGGGTCTTCTCTCTTTTTTTTTTTTTCTTTTTGAGTCCGGTTAAAGGTTTGTAAAACTTCCTCGTCTAGTGTGGCTTAGTTTGTTGGGTGTTGTCCTGCAAACTGAAAAGTCACTGGTTCAATTCCCAGTCAGGGCACATGCCTGGGGTGCTTGTTCAGTCCCAAGTTTTAGGATGCATGTGGAAAGCAACTGATGAATGTTTCTATCTCACATCAATATTTCCCTTCCTCTTCTTCTCCCTCCCTCATCTCTCTCTAAAAAATAAGATAAATAAAGGCTTGTCAGTCTTGTTTATCTTTATCTAAAAGAAACAGCTCTTGGTTTCATTGAGCTTTCATATTTTTTAGACTACTTCATTTATTTCTGCTGTGATCTTTATTATTTCCTTTCTTTTACTCACTTTGGACTTTGCTTTTTGTACCTTTTCTAGTTTTATTAAGTGTCAAGTTAGATTGCTTATTTGAGGTTTTTTTTTCTTTGTTTTTTGAGGTTGGCCAGTAATGCTATGAATTTCCCCTTAGGACAGCTTTCTTTGTGTCCCATAGATTTTGTGTTGTTATGTTCTCATTTTCATTTGTTTCAAAGTATCTTTTCTTTCTTGATCCAGTTGTTAACCCATTCATTGTGTAGTAACATGTTATTAGCCTCGATGTCTTCGTGTGTTTTCACTCTTTTTTCTTGGGATTGATTTCTAGTTTTATGCCATTGTGGTTAGAGATGCTCCATATGATTTCACTCTTTTTAAATTAATGGGACTTATTTTACATTCTAACTTCTGCTCTGTTCTAGAAAATGTTTCATGAGTACTTGCACATAATGGATATTCTGGTGCTTTGGGGTGAAATGCTTTGAAGATATCAATTAAACCCCTCTAATCTAGTGTGTCATTTAAAACCATTGTTTCCTTGTTGATTTTCTGCCTGTAAGATCTATCCATTCATGTCCATGAGGTGTTAAAATCTCCTATTATGACTGTATTATTGTCGGGTTCTCCCTTCATCAAGATTTGCTTTACACATTAAGGTGCTCCTATGTTGCGTGTGAAGCATCTATTTAGATAATAATGAATTACCTTTTAACACCACACTGCATGTAATTTGGCACCCACCAAAAATAAGCTGCCTAACAGCCTGAAAGTGTGGGCTTCCTTTGAAAATGAAAAACAGTAACAATCAAAAAAGAGAAACCTGTGTGTAGTAAATAAATATGAATTTCAAAAATGATACCATGAAATAGCATGTTTAAATTACATATAGTTATAGTTAGTAAAGCAGTAATTGATCCCTCCTTTTTAGCAATAATACCAATTGACCTTTGTGGGCCAAGCAGCTAAATTGAGTGTAATAAGTAGTAGGTACTTGTGTAACAAATAGTAAATAAATTTCTACAGTTTTTATTAGTGAAATTAAAAATATAATAATAATTGAGTTCAAGTGTTTGTAATACAAGTCCACTAATGAAAAGAATGAATTTTTTGTTGTTGTTGTAAACATGTTACTTTATAGAGGCTCAATACTAGTGGTCTCTGTCATACAATTGATGACATATGTTTTTCTGTAAAAACCATTCCTAGCTCCTGGGTCTATACAAAACAGGCTTTTGGCTGGATTTTGCCCACTGGCTATAAATTGCACTTATCTGTGAGGTTGACCATGTTGTCATGATTATTGGCCTTTCTTCTTTCCTTTTTGGTAGTGAATTATCTGATCCTGTCCTTTGCCCTTTTTCTGTTTTTCAAAATGTTTCTTATTCAGTAAGGAAATTCTTCCTTTATTGTATTTGTTACACTCCTCACAGTTTATAATTTGCTCATGGTGTTTTGTCACATCTTCATTGTTTTAACATTTGATACCAGCTTATCAAGTAGCTCTTGACTACTTTGAATTTATGAATCATGTTAATTCTTTCAAATAAGAAGTCACTTGTTAAGGGCTAAAGAGTATGATATAAAATACAAAATTAATTTTTTATTCATGTTTTATACTTAGTAAAAATAATATCTAATGTATAGTAGTGTTTAATGAGAGGTGTATTAGGGAAGGGTACTCTCACCATATGTGTTTGGTATCTATTTGAAGTCACTGCCTCACCATCCCAGGTAAGAAAGAAGCCAGTAGTAGAGGAAAAGTTAAAGATGAGAAGTAGTTTGTTGAGTTGAAGCTCTGTGGGGAATAATTAACACAATAATAGTATTTAACAGTTGTCATTAAGTTCTTTTGCATGCTGGGTATACAGGCCTTGTTTTAATTTAGATGTCCAAAAGGAATTATTCACCTCATAATTTCTGTTGCTATGATATGAAAGAAAATACTGGACTGGAGGGACCATGGGTCTGATCCAGAAATGTATGTTGTATGAAAGTTTCTGGTTCTTATGCAACTAATTTATTGTTTATTGATTCTATAGGATTTGATTACACAGTATAATACTTTAATAGAAGAAATGCTTCAAGTCCTCATCTATATTGTGGGTAAGATTAAAGCATGTTTTGAAATAGGACATGGGTTACTTTTTAGAGAGAACATTGATAAGAGCTATAATTTATCATTTCACTCTTCTCCCAATATAGCGTAGAATTTTTATTAAGGTGACTAATGTGATAAATATGTTTAGAAGCCCATTTTTTAATAAAAGCACAGCTATTACATTTTTACTTTTCAAAATCTGACTTGTTTGTAGATGTCTTCAATATAATTATAGAAATGTAGGTGAAAAATACCTATACATTAAGTACTAAAATTTTTTTATATATATGAAATTTTAATGTAACATAAGTCTAAGTAAAATATATTTTATTGTGTCACTGTATTAGATTACTTCATGCAAATATTGGCCACATTTTTACTTTTGTATGTCCCATGTTATGGTCTCTGTTGATTTTACCAGCTAAGTAAAAGTCCTCGATACTCATTCTGATTCTCGTTTCTTACTTTACTGCAGCAGACTGTGCTTTATAGTACTAGTTCCTAGTGAGCATTCTAGCCATTCGCTAAATCTGAAAACATGGGCTCATTTTACTAGTTTGTCAGAGTTAGGTGCTGGACTAGCTCCTTAACTCAACTGGAAGTATGGTAAGCCTCATTGCTAAGTGAGATGTATAGCTTCCTGTCCAGAATATTCCATATACAACTGATGACAAAAATGGAAAAATTAAAATGTGCAAAAACATTTTTAAAGTTGGTAATATACTTTATGAAGTTATAAAAACTTGAGGGGAATTTTTTTATTTGTTCTTGGACTGTTTGATAAAAACATTTCTCTTATGCTGTAATTTTTCTGTTTTACATTTTTATACTTTATTATTGTCCTTTTATTGTATTTACTCATATTTTATTGGAATTTCTTCTCCTATGTGATTTGAATTTTAGTTAATACTTGCTATACACCTAAATTTATTAATTTCAGGAGTCAATATTTTTTAGAAATTAAAAAAATAAAAATGTATATCATCTCTGACTTTGTAATGGAGAAAACATTAAAAGTAGAAAAAGGTTCAGATTAGGAGTCAGATAATCTAGTCTTGACTTTACTACCAAATATCAAGAGCATGCCATTTACATTCTTTGGGTCTCAAATTCCTGATTTGTAAAATGTGAAGGTAATCGATGTGATATTTATGGTTCCTTCTAATGCTATACTTCTAAGGGATACTGTTTTGTTAAAAAAAAAGGAAAGGAAAGAAAGAAAATTACAAAGTGCTTTGCAAATATAAAGAGAAATGAGTCTGTTGGAAATAAATTTGTTTAACAGAAAGTGATTTTTCTCGGTAAATACGTAGAATTAATCAAGTCCGTTAGGCAAAGGATTACTGTCTTTGTAATAAACCATAGTAAACCTTTGTTATGTACCATAGGAGTTTGTACACATGATGTTAGAGTATTGAAAAGTATAGTGGTGTTACAAGGCCAGGTATTCTAAATCTTGAGGCAGTGGGAATTAGATGCAATTAACATCAATGAAGTTCTCATTAATTTATCTATTTTCTCTGTCCATTTGGTAGTTTACTAAGATGGAAAATGGAAATCTGATCATGTGGGCATTTGAGCAACACAAATCATTCCTGATATATAAAGACATTTTTAATTACTTTGTTTTTCAGTTTTCACTTTGTTCTTTCTTTAAATAACAAGTTAAGACAAAATTGAGGAAGATCTCAAAAGAAAACCTGTTATTCATTGATGGCCACTGCTCATTCAATGCTATCTGCCTTGTTTTCTGGACTAGAAACACGTACTAATTTAATTGAGGGGCCTTGTTTATAATGTATGAGTGTGTGTGTGTGTGTGTGTGTGTGTGTGTGTATGTAAAAGAAAGAGAAGGCACGGGTGTTTTAGGTTTCTTCATTTTTCTTCCTCCTTTCTCTGGACATTTGTTCAGTTTTAGGAACGTGTCCAATAATTTTTAGTCCCTCTCTCATAGACTTAACTTAATGCAGTGTTCTGTGCATAATTGCTCCCACCAGAAGGTAGGAGATTTAAATAGAAAACAATTAATTGTTTTACTGTTTTTTTCATTGTTTGTATTAGGAGAGCGTTACGTACCTGGAGTGGGGAATGTGACCAAAGAAGAGGTCACAATGAGAGAAATTATTCACTTGCTTTGTATTGGACCCATGCCACACAGTGCCATTGCCAAATATTTACCAGAGAATGTAAGACCAATTTTCTTTTTTACTCCATTCATTTCAAAATGGGATGTTTTTTTTTCTTTTTCTTTCATTGGAAGCTACTTTTAAGTTTTAGAAAAAGTTGTTTAGCAAATTATGCAGTGAAACTATCACCATTCATTCTGTAGTGGTATAAACTTTAACTCTGGACTTTTGGGCATCAGGAAACATTTTGAAGACATTCTGGCTATTTAAAAGACATATTAGAGCAAAAAAACTATAATGAATTTCAGATAGTGGGGGCTATCTGAAATATTGAGATTATTTGGGTCTTCTGAGAAGCAAATACCAAGACAAAACATTGAAGAATTTGTTAGGAACAATGCTTAGGAGAGGAAGGGGTGAGGAAGCTTCCAGAGGCTGAGGTATTCGGACCATCAGACTGTGATTTGAGTCTGACTCCAGGTGAAAGAAGGAGGTAATAAGGAAGGTTAGGTAGATGTGTCCTGGACTGCTGGAGAGCCTAAAGAAGGGTTTTTTGTTTTTAATTATATTTTATTGACTATGCTATTGTGATTTTCCCAATTTTTCCCCCTCTGCCCCCCTCCACCCAACACCCCCAACTCTCTCAGGCAATCCCCACACCTTTGTCCATGTCCATGGATCACGCATATAAGTTCTTTGGCTACTCCATTTCCTATACTGTACTTTACATCCCTATGGCTATTCTATAACTACCTATTTACACTTTTTTAAAAAGATTTTATTGATCTATCTTTAGAGGGGAAGGGAAGGAGAGAGGGAGAGAAATATCAGTGTATGGTTGCCTCTTGTACATCCCCGGCTGGGAACTGGCCTGTGACCTAGGCATGTGCCATAACTGGGAATTGAACCGTGGTTGTTTGGTTCTCAGGCCTGCACCCAGTCCACTGAGCTATACCAGCCAGGGCCTATTTGTACTTCTTAATCCCCTTATCTCTTCAACCATTCCCCAACACTCCTCTCTCATTTTTTAATCATCTTCTGGTTCTTAAATAAGTCATATAATAATGGTTTGGCGATGATGAATTCCATTAATTTATTTCTTCTCTGGGAAGCTCTTTAGATGCCTTCCCCTGTCTCTCAGAGTAGGCCTATAATAGTATCTCTTATTTCCTCTAACTGGGGATCTGTAGGTTACATTTTCATGGCTGCCGTGGGTGATATTTATGTTTTTTGTATATACTAATATTTAAGTAATAGTTTTAAAAGTTATGAGTCTTGAGGACTTCCGCCAAGATGGAGGCGTAGGTGGAAACACTGTGCCTTCTTGCACAACCAAGTTTAAAAACAACAAAATTTTAGCAACAAACACCCAGCCAAACCACAGAAAATTGAACTATACGGAAGACCAACAACAACGAACCGTTCAGCCAGACCGGTAAGAGGGGCGGAGCTGGTCCAGCAAAAAAGATCCCCTGACCCAGGCACGCAGGCAGCCTACGGCAGATCTCAGGTGTGGGGGAGCAACGGGTGGACCCAGTGAAGGCGCAAGGTGGCCAGCTGACTGGCAGTCACACATTCCTGCGCAGATAAATCAGGCAAAGGAGGGAGCAGTGAGACATCACACAGGCTCCAGCAGCAGGAAGCAGCAAAGGGGACCGCTATTGCTCCCTCACTGACCCCGTCCCCACATACAGCATCACAAAACAGCAACCTGGGTGGCCCCACCCTGGTGAACACCTAAGGCTCCCCTCCTCATACATAACAGGCTCGAACAAACCAAAACATGGCTCAAGAAGAACTCAAACCCCCGGAGCCAATAACTCTAAGTGACCAAGAAACAGCTAACCTATCAGATACACAGTTCAAAACACTGGTGATCAGGATGCCCACAGAACTGGTTGATTTTAGTCACAAATTAGAGGAACAAATGAAGGCTAAACTAATTGAAATGAAGGGAAATGCACATGAAACCAATAGTGATGGAAAGGAAACTGGGACTCAAATCAATGGAGTGGACCAGAAGGAAGAAAAAAATGACCAAACAGAAAACAATGAAGAAACAAGAATGCAAAAAAAACGAGGAGAGGCTTAGGAACCTCCAGGACATCTTTAAACGCTCCAACATCTGAATTATAGGGGTAACAGAAGGGGAAGAGGAACAGTCACAAGCGGAAACCTTATTTGAACAAATAATAAAAGAGAACTTCCTCATTCTGCAAAGGAAATAGACTTCCAGGAAGCACAGTGAGTCCCAAAGAAGTGGGACCCAAGAAGGAACACACCAAGGAAGGAACATAGAAGGAACATAACATCATTATGTTAGCCAAATTTCAAATGAAAGAATCCTAGAAGAAGCAAGAGATAAGGGGACAGTCACCTACAAAGGAGTTCCCATCAGACTGTCAGCTGATTTCTCAAAAGAGACCTTACAGGCAAGAAGGGGCTGGAAAGAAGTATTCCAAGTCATGAAATCCAAAGACCTATAACCAAGATTGCTCTATCCAGCAAAGGTTTCATTTAGAATGGAAGGACAGATAAAGTGCTTCTCAGGTAAGATCAAATTCAAGGAGTTCATCATCACCAAGCCCTTATTCTATGAAATGTTAAAGAGACTTATCTAAGAAAAAGAAGATAAAAAACATGAATAGTGAAAGGACAGCAAACTCACAGTTATTAACAACCACACCTAAAACAGAAGCAAACTAAGAGGTCAGCTAGATCAGGAGCAGAACCATAGAAATGAAGATCACATGGAGGGTTAGCAAACAGGGGAGTGGGAGAAGAAGAAGGGGGGAGAAGGTACAGAAAATAAGTAGCATAGATGGTAGGTAGAAAATAGGGGGGAGGGCAAGAATAGTATGGGAAATATAGACTCTAAAGAACTTGAGACACGTGGTCATAAACTAAAAGGGGGGAGTGGTGGTGGAGTGTGCAGGATGGAGGGGAATGAAGGGGGGAAATAGAACAACCGTAATGCATAATCAGTAAAATATATTTTAAAAATAAAAATAAAAGTTATGAGTCTCATATTTTTTCTCTTGAAATTTAATTATGAATTAGAACAATGATTCTTAAAAGGAAATTAAACTTGTCTGTACTATCATGACTATGAGAGAAGTAGAATAGAGATAAGCTTTTACTATTGGTCTTGTCAGCCTCACTTAAAAAAATTAATTTACTTTTCAATTACAAAAATAGTAGTTTCAGGTGTACAACATAGTGATTACACATATATATATATACCTTACAAAGTGATCACCCTGATAAGCCTAGTTGCTGTTTTAATGTTAACTAATTCTTAAACTGTAAACATTTGGCATATTACTTGTATAATTACTGCATATCCATTCACCAATTTTATAATTATGAATACATTTAAAAATCAATTTAACATATTTTGCTGTGTATAATGAGTTCCCTTATATAATGTGCACCCACTGTTTTTGGACCAAACTTTCAGAAAGAAAATCTTTTTTATTAATTTTTTAAATTTGATTTATTTATTTATACTTAGAAACAAAACCAATTATATTCCAGGGTATTATTTTGCATATGGGTATTGTTATTCCTTTCTGGAGTTACACTTTTAACTCATAGGCATAAGTAAAATAATTAAAAACATTTATATAGGTATGAAAATGCTACCAGTGTATAATGCACATTCTTATTTTTCCCTCAAAAATTTGAGCAAAAAACTACATATTATACAGGACAAAATATGGTACTTGCATTTTCCTTAGCATCCTTCTAAGCAATAATAGCAGTGAAATAGTAGGCTTGATGTTTTAATTCTTAAAAAGTATATGTTAAAATAAGTGAATATTTAAAATTTTAAAATATATAACCATGTAATTTCACATACTGCTAGTAATATACATGCCGTACTATGTGGGAACAAAAAAAAAAAGCTTCAAGGTATACCTAATCTTTCACTGCTTACCCCAAGTGTGTATGTGTGTGTGTATGAGTGTATATACATGTATATATTTATATATATATTTTTAAAGACTTTATTCATTTATTTTTAGAGAGAGGGAAAGGAGGAAGAAAGAGAAGGAAGAAACATCAATGTGTGGTTACTTCTTGCATGCCCCCTACTGGGGACTTGGCCCACAACCCAGGCATGTGTCCTGTCTGGGAATTGAACCAGTGACCTTTTGGTTTGCATGTTGGCACTTAATCCACTGAGCCACACCATCCAGGGCCCAAGTATATTTTTTTAATGGAGTCTTTCTTTTTTTTTTTGTCCTCACTTGATATGTTTATTGATTTTAGAGAGAGAAGAAGAGGGGGAAAGTGGGATGGATGAAGAGAGACAGAAACTATGATGTGAGAGAGAAACATCTGTCTGTTGCCTCCTATATGGGACTTGATCAGGGATTGAACCTGCAACATTTTGATATACAGGACAATGCCATCCAACCAGGATGCCTTTCTAAGGAGTCTTTCTTAATTTTTTGAAAGACTATAGGAATCTATCATGTTAGTTTAGGTTGACTAGGTTCTTATCATGATTTTAAATTACTTCATTAAAAAATTCTTCTTCATTTGGCCAAGATGGAGGCATAGGTAGATACACTTTGCCTCCTCACACAACCAAAAGAAGGATAACAACAAATTTAAAAACAAAAACAACCAGAACTGCCTGAAAATCGAATGGTATGGAAGTCCGATAACCAAGGGATTTAAGAAGAAACTTTCATCCAGATTGGTAGGAAGGGCGGAGAGGGGCAGCCAGGACAGAGAGGATGTGCAGCAAGATGGCAGCTGGCAGTCCCACATTTGCATGTGGATAAACTGGGAGGAAGAACTTGGGATCGAGGTACACCACATAACCAAGGGTTCCAACGTGGGAAAAGAAAGCCTAACAACTTCTGGCTGTAAAAATCTGTGTGGGTTGTGGTGGTGGGAAAAACTCTGAGCCTCACAGGAGAGTTTGTTGGAGAGATCCACAGGGTCTTAGAACATACACAATCCCACCCACCCAAGAATCAGCACCAGAAGGACCCAATTTGCTTTTGGGTTTTGGAGGAAGTGACTGAAAGCCAGACAAGAGCAGAGCAAGCATCATTGTTCCCTCTTGGACCTCTCCCACATATAGCAGCACTACAATGCAACAAAGTGGCTTGCTCCACTCTGGCAAATACCTAAGGCTCTGCCCCTTATAGCAGGTGCACTGAGACAAAGAAATATGTCCCAAATGAACAAACAGATCTAGACTCCAGAAAAACAACTAAGCAATGAACAAATAGCCAACCTGTTAGGTGCAGAGTTCAAAACACTGATCAGGGTGTTCACAGAAATGGTTGAGTGTGGTTGCAAATAGAGGAAAAAGTGAAGGCTATGAACAGTGAAATAAAGCAAAATATAACAAAAACCAGCAGTGAAGGGAAGGAAACTTGGACTCAAATCAATGATTTGGACCAGAAAAAAAGAAATAAGCATTCAACCAGAACAGAATGAAGAAACAATTCAAAAAACCGAGGAGAGGCTTAGGCACCTCCGGGACAACTTGAAATGTTTTAACATTGGAAGGGTGCCAGAATAAGAGGAAGAACAAGAAATGGAAAATTTATTTGAACAAATAATGAAGAAGGAGAACTTCCCCAATATGGCGAAGGAAATAGACTTCTAGGAAGTCCAGGAAGCTCAGAGGGTCCCAAAGAAGTTGAACCCAAGGAGGAACACACCAAGGCACATCATAATTACATTACCGAAGATTAAAAATAAGTAGAGAATCTTAGAAGCAGCAAGAGAAAAGGAGACAGTTACCTACAAAGGAGTTCCCATCAGACTGTCAGCGGATTTCTCAAAAGAGTCCTTACAGGCAAGACGGGGCTGGTAAGAAGTATGCAAAGTCATGAAAGGCAAGGACATATATCCAAGATTACTCTATCCAGCAAAGCTTTCATTTAGAATGGAAGGGCAGATAACATGCTTCTTAGATAAGGTCAAGTTCAAAGAGTTCATAATCATCAAGCTCTTATTATATGAAATGTTAAAGGCACTTATTTAAGAAAAAGATCAAAACCATGAACAGTAAAATGACAACAAACTCACAACTATCAACAACTGAACCTAAAAATCCAAAAAACCAGAACTAAGCGAACAAGTAGAACAGGAAAAGAATCACAAATACGGACATCACATGGAGTGTTATCAGTGGTGGGGGGAAAGAGGAGAACAGGGTAGGGCAATGTACAGGGAATAAGAAGCACAAGTAGTAGGCACAAAATAAATGGGGAGGTTAAGAATAGTATAGGAAATGGGAAAGCCAAAGAACTTACATGTATGACCCATGGACATGAACTAAGGTAGGGAATGTTTGTGGTAGGGGGGTACATGACAGAGGGGAATAAAAGAAAGGATAAAATGGGACAACTTTAATTGCATAATCAATAAAATATAGTAAAACTGTTGAAAAAATCCTCTTTCAAAGAAAAGTTCAGGCCAATTAGGAAAATACATATATATAATAAAATTGCAGAAGCCAGAGTACATTTGGACATCTACATAAGTGTTTTTCTATAGACCCTATTTATTTTGTTACTTTGATTTTAGGAATTAGTACATCAAGGGCGTGTGCTTAAATGGTTTGGGTTATGAACATACCATCTAAAGAAAGGTTCTTTGAACTATTGATTGTGTGTGTGTGTACATGCATTTGAAGGCAAACTTAGACAAAATTTCTAAGTATCTTATGTATAGCTCTTACTTCTGTTAAGAAATTGTTCACTCCATACAAAGCTAATTTGGTTAGAACTAAATTTTTAAAAGATTTTATTTATTTACTTTTAGACCAAGGGGAAGAGAGGGAGAGAAACATCAGTGTGTGGTTGACTCTTCTGTGCCCCCTCCTGGTGACCTGGCCCACAACCCAGGCATGTGTCCTGACTGGGAATTGGACCTGCAACCTTTTGGTTCACAGGCCAGTGCTCAATCCACTGATCCACACCAGCCAGGACTAGACCTAATTTCTTATATTGGAAATTGATCTTTTATTTATTGTGTATAAAGTACTTAAGGAATGTTACTGAAAATGTATTTTAGTTCACAGTAAGGAAAGAAAAAGTTATTACATGAAGGTAAACATAACAAAAATATTGTTTTAACAGGAAAATAATGAAACTGGCTTAGAGAATGTCATAAACAAAGTGGCCACATTTAAGTAAGTACTTAATGGTTATACTTATTCTGAGAGTAGAGGAACTTTGTTCTTGTACTTTAGGTACTAGGTAGAAGTTCTGAAGTTCTTGCCTGAACTCCCAGGAACAAGAATAGAGTACAAATTAGAAGGAGAACAAGCGACAAGACTATAGGCACTTACTACATACTGTTGAAGAAATGAGGATTTTGGGCAGGTGAATGAGAAATACCTGTATGTGTGATATTAGGTGACTTAGTACATCATAAAGAAACCTTTTCCATAGTCTCTCCCATCAACTAAGTCATGATTTACTTATTCTATGCATGCTTTTTTTTTCTGTTTCTAAAATCCTCACTTGAGGATTTGTTTTGATTGATCTCTTTTTAGAGAGAGAGAAAGGAAGGGAGAGAGATATACATAGAAACATCAGTGTGAGAGGGAAACATCGATTGGTTGCCTCCCATATACACCCTGACTGGGGATCAAACCTACAACCTAGATATGTGCCCTGACTAGGAATTGGACCTGCAGCCTTTTGGTGCACAGGACGAAGCTCCAACCAACTGAGCCACCTGGCCAGGGCATGACTTATTTATTCTAGAAATTTTATTCTGTTAAATATATTTTATAAATTTTTATTTTATGTATTTATTTTAGACTTTAGTGGGTTCATTTTTGGTTTTTTGTTTGCTTGCTTGTTTGTTTGTTTGTTTGTTGTTAAAAAGAATTGTTAGTGAACCTGGAGCATATCTGATACATAACCACTCTTTAATTTACATATTTTAATTCAATTTGGAAATGTTTTCTCATATACACATACATAAAAAAATGGCATGCAGCAGTTGTCCTAAGGCAGCAATTTTCAACTGATGGGCCACAGGAATTTGTTACGAATCTTTATTTATTCATGTAGTGAGTGAGTAGGAGAGAAAGAGAAAAAGATTGATTTGTTGTTTCACTTATTTATGCATTCATTGATTGATTCTTGTATTTTTGTATGTGCCCTGATTGAGGATCCAACCTGTGGCCTTGGCATATAAGGATGATGCTCTAACCAACTGAGCTACCCCAGCCAGGGCCATCAAAAGTGTTTAAAACGTGCAATACCTGATCACTTAAGAGCGCTGACCAGTTTCCCCTGGGATCGTCAAATAAGAACCTGACACCAGCCATCACAACAACAGCCATCTAGTGTGAATAAGTCAAAATTATTCCTATTTTTTTGTCAGATGGGCAAAAAATGTATTTCTTTTGATGTGCCACAGAATTTCATAATTTCTTTATGTGTGATATGAAAGATGAAAAAGGTTGAAAATCTCTGTCCTTAAGGTAAAATGTAGTGACCTTAAACTGTTGTATTTCCACCTAAGGTTGAAAAATTGTTTATCATGAAAACCCTTAGTAAGTTTCAAACAGTATTTTATAATCCTTGAAATCTTTGAGAGCTATAAAATGGAAATACGATTTTAAGTGGGTAAATTTCTGAAATTAAAAAAAATTGAAACTGGTAGGGAATTTGTACTTGTTACAATATTATATTTATGGATAAATTACTAGTTTCAAATCACTTTAAAAATACAAAGTAGCTTTTTTAGTGCTCTAAATATGTTGAATGAAATATTTCGATTGAGAATTAGATAGAAATGAAATGCAGTTTAAATGTGCAGAGGAAATACTGTGTACTCCTTTTGGCCTTGATGCTTTTCCTAGTGATGTATAGAGGATTCAACACTATATTTTTATCTACTATTTGCTGAGGACATGATGTCTTACTACCATTTTAGATTTGATTTTAAGATAATAAAATGTGCTTTAGTTGAACATACAACTAGGCTTCAGAGGCTAAAGAAGAAGCCTTAGGGATTTATGAAGGGTGTGGTGTAAGTTTTATGTAGTATAAAATAAACTTCCTCAGATTTGTTTGAACTCCATAATTATGAAACATAGCTTAGCTGTTGTCTGGACTTTGAGCATGTGGTGTGAGTTTTTAGTTTTACTATTGGAATGAAAATTCTCATTTCAATTTAAGCAAGCTGAATGAAATATAATTTTCTTCCTCTAGATTTTGCCTTTTAGGTTAAATTTCAGGTTCTTGTTTTGTCTGTATTCTATACCTGAACAACACTGCAGTTCATCTCTGTGTTTTCTGTTTATTCAGGAAACCAGGTGTGTCAGGCCATGGAGTTTATGAACTGAAAGATGAATCATTGAAAGACTTCAATATGTACTTTTATCATTACTCCAAATCACAGCATAGCAAGGTAGGAAGAGGTGTTCTCTTCAGAAAATAAACCAAAAATGTTTTATGCTCTCGACTCCACAGATAGATTTCTAATTTTTCTGTAGCTTCATACTGGTTCTCATTAATAGCGAGCAGTATCTCACCCAAGAAGTTAAAATCGAATCATTAATATTGAGAATATAGGCAATATTCAGATTTTCATGATTATGCCAGAAACAGACTCTATGTGAATATTATTGACTGGAACAGTGGGCACTAATTCTTGAGGAGGGATATTACCCATCTATTTTGCAGTGGCCTTCCTTGGGACAGACATTTTGTTTCTAGAACAAGGTAGCATTTTGCATGTACACTCAGCATGTAAAATATTTTGGTAGGTTGATGGATCTTTCCTTCCTGCTTCACAGTATTCCATTTATTTGATGCTTGACAAGCAGTATATTTAAAGATAGACTTTTTCTTTTAATATATAGGCTGAACATATACAGAAGAAAAAGAGAAAACAAGAAAACAAAGATGAAGGTAAAAAGTGAGATTCTGAATTGACTCATTTTTACTATTTTCTATGGTTTCATTATCAGCCAAGTGTATAGTGTTTTGTTGTTTATTTAGAGTGAGCAGTTAATGCAAGTGCAAAGAAGCATTTGTTTCTTATTCACATCCTAAGATATGGCCTACGTCAGTGGCAATAGAATTTTAAATTTATAGCAAATGGAGTTTATTTTTGGGTGATTGACATAGTGACATACTTTATTTTTGACACTGATGTTTTCAGTGCTTTAAACGTAACAGAAATCATGTGTTGTTTTTGCATGTAATCTATGATTTTGACATTTGTAATTTAGCATATAGAATAACCCAAATAAAAATGTACCTGTTTGTCTCTTCTGCCATCCATCTCCCACCCACTGTAGCATTGCCACCACCACCACCTCCTGAATTCTGCCCTGCTTTCAGCAAAGTGGTTAACCTTCTAGATTGTGATATCATGATGTACATTCTCAGGACCATATTTGAGCGGGCATTAGACAAAGATTCTAACTTGTGGACTGAACGGATGCTCCAGATGGTATGTATATTCTGAAATATTTTCTCTACTTCAGCTGTTTTCTCTACTTTATAGAGTGCATGGTGGTCAGGAGAAGATTCCTGGTCTAACTTTCTAACTTGAGTTAAAACCACAACTAGTACACCTGAGACTCAGAGGTCATTAAAATAGCTTAGGTGTGGCAGAGATTTTCTTAGTGACACGTTCTCATGTTTTTAGCTTCTTTATTCTTGGGAAACATTTATGTACTTTTTAAAAAGTCTGCTCCTTCTAATAATAAAGTGGTATGTCACTATCGTATCATAATTTTCTCTAATTTTTACTTGTATTATGAAGAGACAGTATAACAGAGATTTGATGACACACAGGTCTAGGCTTGAATCTTGCATTATCCCATGTCCTGTTAGGAGGAATGGATAATTTTCTCATTGGTAAAATAGGTATAAGTGTAGTTATTTCATAGAATTTTGAAAATTAGCTCATTAAGTGAAAGGCATTTTTTTCTTGATGCTATTACAGATACATTACTTGATAATGTCACATTTGGCAGCTGGAATCAGATATTTATTTAGCCCCTACCTAACTAAATTTTCTTTTGTCTTTGGCTGTTGTTGGTCTGGAGGCTCTTAAATGCCGTCATACTATATGTGTATCTTAATTTTTGTAACAATAGTAAACAAATGCAGTAAAAAATGTTTTTATACTGGATGGCTATATTTGAAATCAGAAGTTAAAATTTCTCTCCCTGCTTCTCAGTGCTCTGTCTAGGAGATAAGCACTGTTAAAGGTTTGTATCTTCCGAAAATCATTCTACATTGATGTGTAGAGGCCTACCTCAATCTTAATAGCTGCATATTCCATTGTATGGGTGTCTATAATGCCTTTAACCAGTCTCCTATTGTTAGGATATTATGTTCCTTTTAGGTCTTTGTATAACAGAGAACACTAAAATGAGCATCCTTGTGCAAATACCTTTGTATACTTAAGTGAATGTATCTATCGTACTGTTTCCTAGTACTGGGTCTGTATCTTTACATTTTTATGGATATTGTCAAATTTGCCTCCAAAAATGTTATACTAATTGACTCTCCCATCACAAAAATGCCTGCTTCTTGAGGCATTTGTCACTTTTTATTCTAAATGCTAGTTGGGTTTTTTTTTTTTTTTTTGCTACTCTATAGGTGAAAAATAGGAGATCATGCTTCAACTCACACTTCTTTAATTTTAAGTGAAGTTGAACATATTTTATATGTGTATTTATCATTTTTCTTTCTGTAAACTGCTGGTTTGTAAACTTTGCCTGTTTTTTACCAATTGGATTGCTTATTTTTGTACTTCCATTTAAAATATATTTACTTGAAGAAGCACAATTTTAAAGATCTTTTTATATATTTCTCTTTTAGGCATTTCATATTCTGGCATTGGGCTTACTAGAAGAAAAACAACAGCTTCAAAAAGCCCCTGAAGAAGAAGTGACATTTGACTTTTACCATAAGGCTTCAAGTATGTTTTAATCTGAGGAAATGATAATGTGTTCTTTTTGCACTGTCTTCACCCTGGAAGAACAGGATAAGTTCAGAGTACATTTTTATTAAATGCTAGCTGATTAAGACAGGTTTTTTTTTGGAGCACATTCCAGGGATATAGATTATAAGACCAAGAAGAGAAAAGCATCCTACTTCTGTTTACACACTATATTTTTTAGATCCTTGAAGACATCATAAATCTATTCAGTGTATGGATATAACTGCTCCCACTTTCATATTTTTGGAGTTTTGGTTCTTATTTAAGTATCTTTTACTAGACAGCCCTGTGGAAGAAAGACAAGAGACAGATTACTAAGAGTAGCTTTCTCTTAGCAGTCCCAGTGGAAAATAAATGAGAGACTGAAAGTAATTCCAGTTTTCAAGTTGTTTAATTTAGTACTTAGTATTTCATGTAATTGCAGATTCTTCCATTTAAAAACTTAATGTAGTTAAGGGATTGATTATAATCTTTGGTTATCAATGTGAATGCCAGTAATTATAAATTATAATTTATACATAATTATGAAGATATATATTGTGATATGTAATTTTTTGTGTTTTAAAAAAGGATTAGGAAGTTCAGCCATGAATGCTCAGAACATACAAATGCTTTTGGAAAAACTCAAAGGAATTCCCCAGTTAGAAGGCCAGAAGGACATGATAACATGGATACTCCAGGTAAACCTGGAAAATAACTGATTATATCTTAGTTTAATTATTTGAGAATCCTCTGCTTTCCTCCCAAATTAAACCACTATGTTCTTGTGAGATCATTTACTGGTGGTTTTTTATGATTACTCCTATGTTTTCATGTTAGTAATTATATTTTCACTATGTTTTAGTAAAGTATTTTTCCTTTTTTAAAAGATGTTATTTATTTATTCTTAGGAAGGGAGGGAAGAAGAGAGGGAGAGAAACATGAATGTGTGGTTGCCTCCATATGCCCCTGACTTGGGACCAGGCTCGAAACCCAGGCATGTGCCCTAAGAATCGAACCAGCGACCCCTTCGTCTGCACACTGGTGCTCAATCTACTGAGCCACACAAGCCAGGGCTTAATGAAATTTTTTAAAAAAATAAATTAAAATGTGTCACTCAGTTAACATGTATTGAATCTTACTATGTGCTGTGCTCAGTTTTAGACTCTGAATGAGACAGATAAAGTGCTTGCTGTCATGGAGCCACATATACTAATTGAGACACAGACAATGAGCAAGAAAATACCAGGATAATGCAGATGAGTAGAGAGTAACTTTAGATGGATAATCAGAAAAGGTCTCTGTTAGGACATGACATTGGACCTTAATGACATGAAGCCAGTCTTATAAGAATTTGGAAGAGTACTCTAGAAAGAAGGAATAGTAAAGTAAAAGCTCGAAGGTGGCCAGAAAGAAGTCTAGCATGACTGGCATACAGGGGGGGAGAGGGAGAGAATGGTAGGCAACAAGGTCAGGGGGCAGTCAGCAGCCAGATCTTATAGGACCTTACAAGTCAGGATAAAGTGCGGATTTTATTTTGAGTGCAGTGGGAAACCATTGAAGGATTTTAAATGACAATATCTGGTCTATATTTTTACAAGATCACTGTCTGCTATAGGGTAAATGGGTTATAAGGGGCAAGAGTAAAATCAGGGAAACCATAAGAAGACTATTGCAGTATTCTTGGTAGAAGTGAGAGTGACCTAAGTTAGGATGCAGATGGCAAGAAGCTGAACTGATTCAGGTATAATTTGATGGTAGAATCTATAGAACTTGCTAACAGATTTGATGGAAGGGAATAAGGGAAATCAAGGAGTCAGAGATGACTCCTGGATCTAGAACTGTTGAGTGGATGGCAATGCCTTTGGGAAGAGTGCATAAGGGGTGGGGAGACAGGCCAGGAGTGTTACTTTAATGGAAAGCCCTCCACATGGAGACATGAAGCCAAGGTTATAGAGTTTCCCCTCATTATATTTATTAAATATTATGATGTTATCAGCTAGATAATTGTTTTGGTAATTAGGATATAGAATGGTTGTTTTCCACATTCATATCAGTGGAGATCTTTGTACTGATTTGTGCTTCAAGAAGTCAGCTCTTTTTATTACTTAATCAGAGACACTCCTTAAGCAAGCCTAGTGTAATCAGATATGCAACTATAAAACAATATTATTAAGCCCTGGCTGGTGTAGCTCAGTTCATTGAGTGTGGGTTTGCAAACCAAAGAGTCGCTATTTGATTCCCAGTAAAGGCACATGCCTGGGTTGCAGGCCAGGTCCCCAACTGGGGGCCTCCGAAAGGCAACCACGTGTTGATGTTTCTCCCTCTTTCCCCCCTTCCTCTCTCTTTAAAAATAAATAAATAAACTCTTTAAAAAATAAGATATTATTAAGATTTCTCTCGAAATAGATTCTATGAGTATTTAGTATTAAATTTACTGACATATTTAAAAATACAAAATCAAAACAGAAACAAAAGTAGTAGTTGTTAACTACATCTACCTTTATTAAGAAAGTAAATTGAAGTCCCTGGCCAGGTGGCTAGGTAAGTTGGTTAGAGTGTGGTCCTGATACAACACCATGGTTGCAGGTTTGATCCCTGGTGTGGGCACATACAAAAATCAACCAATGAGATAAGTAAGTGGAACAGTAAGTCAATAGTGCGTTCTCTGTCTTTCCCTCTCCCCATTCCTCCTCATTATCAATTAATCAATAAAAATTTTAAATAATAATAAAAAAGTAAACTGAACTGTCATTTAGTTCAACATTTATATTCTACAGACAAGGTGTTATAAACTGAAGATTTATTCCAAGTATCTGCTCTTATAAACATTAGGTATTTTATCCAAATTCTTAATATAAAGTTGTGTTGTAAGTTCCTTGTGGGAGGACTTTCCACACGAGACTGAGGCTCCTTAAAAATGTTGGTAAGTTTATGGATATATCATCATAGTACTGAAACCTTGATATTTGGTAAAAAGAAGGAGGTAGCTGTTGTGGAAACAGCTCCAAAGATAAATGATTAAGTGAGAATGGGACAGAGAAAACAGCAATCCTGTATATAGCAGGATTGCTTTTTATGAGAATATAGTTAAATATAAAGAATTAATTTTTTTTTTACTTTTCCTGGCAAAAGCAAAGGTATGGTCACACCTGCAGACTAAATCAGTTGATTCTGCTACCTGCACTTCGACCTCCTGCACTGCGACTGACCCAAGAGCTGTCTGTCACAGTCAGGAGTCACTTTGTGCTCATGGGCATGTGTGTGTGTGTGTGTGTGTGTGTGCAGCTTAAGTCAAAGACGTTGGAGACTTGGTGACAAAATCAGCTTAGTGCATTTTTCTGTTCCTGGTCAATGTAACCAAATCTTTTAACACTTACTTTTCAGATGTTTGACACAGTGAAGCGATTAAGAGAAAAATCTTGCTTAATTGTAGCAGCTTCATCAGGATCAGAATCTATTAAGAATGATGAGGTAATAACATTATAATGGTGACATTCATCTGTCTTTGAACTTTGCTGATGGTCAGGAAGCTGCTGCTTTTTGTTAGAAGGAACCTGTTGTAAAGTATGTGAGATGTCCATCTTCTGTCGTTCAGCAATTAGTAGTGCTTGACATGTAGTTATCCAATATAATACATGTATTTTTACAGAGGCAAAGGAAATAGATGTGCCATGGAGCTCTGTTGGAAACACTTTATTAATTTAAACAATGTTTTAATATCCAAAAAATGAGATATGCCTTATATCCCACAGTTCCTTATAATTTAATCAGCAGCACTCTTAGTGGGGTATAAAATAATGATACAGCTTAGATTCAGTGAAATGCAATACTATTTAGTTACAAATTTCCTTAATATAATAAATAGAACTTTGATGACTTCAATTGTTTGAATATTATTACTTATAGTTATTTGCCATCTTTCATAAAAGGAAGACACTGGGCTTAAGTTAGACTATACAATAAAATAATGCCAGTACATATCAGTAATATTGTTCAAGTTCTCAGTCTTAGCAACATGTCTAAGAATAACTGTTGAACATCATCAGATTGGCTTAAGTTGATTAAATGTCAATGACTAAATGACTGACAGATGATTTCAAATTTTTGTTTTATTTTATATTTTTATTAATTTACCTGCATTGAGTTAAAAGGCAGTTTATTAAGTATTTAAGGTAGTTCACCTGTGTGTTAAATTATTGAAGTACTAAAAGAGCAATTAGTTGCATGATGTGATGGAGACTGTATGCTAATTTTGAAACATAAGATTGAACCTAAGCATAAGGGGTGCAGTAATCAATTGTATCAGACTCTTACTCTGGGAAATTTCTCCTGTCTGAACAATATGACCTTTTGGTTTGTGAAATGATACCCAACCCACTGAGCCACACCAGACAGAGCCCTATGCTTAGTTTTTAAAAATAAGCTTTCATGGCTCTTTAAATATATGTAAATTGTAACAGTAGCTCTTAACTAATTTTTGTGGTTTTGTCATACCCAGATTATTCATGATAAGGAAAAAGCAGAACGAAAAAGAAAAGCTGAAGCTGCTAGGCTGCATCGCCAGAAGATTATGGCTCAGATGTCTGCCTTACAGAAAAACTTCATTGAAACTCACAAACTCATGTATGATAATAGTGTATCAGAAATGTCTGGGAAAGAAGACTCCATTATGGAGGAAGAGAGGTAAAACAAAGCAAAACTAAAAATTAGCAACTCAGGCTTTTTTAGGAAATACTACATATTCACTTTAAATAATGTTTTTCCAAAATAAATTTTATTTTAGTAAGAGAAATTATACTCAGTTTGTGTTTTTAAGGTAGAAAAGGGACAGTAAAGGTTTTAACGTATGTATTAAATACAATTTTTTTTGAGAAACAGCTTAAGTCCTCAGTAAAGTTTGTTGGGAATCTTTGCACAAAAAGATATGAACATGGGAACAGAAGAAATAGAAATCAAACCTGTTATGTTATATACATGTGCTTTTTAAAATACACATTTACACATCAGTTCACATATTCCACATAATTTTTATGATTCTGATAAAAATGACTACAGTTATTACAGATTTTAAAAAATTCTTCATAAAGAACTCGCTTATATTTTCTTTCTTTCTTAAAAAGAAGAAGATAATGCATATAGGTATAGTCATGGATAGCCAGCCTATTGGAATGGGAATTCGTAAATGTGCTTTTCTGAGTCCTATGGGATACTCTTTGGAAAATCAATTAGCTTTCCAAGAGCGATGGTTTGTGGGATGTTATAGATATAACATAATGGTAGTTTGAAAAGCATTCCCATTAAAAATATTGAAAATACTTTCTGTGCTCGTTTTTTTTAATACTTGATTTATTTTTAGAAGGAGGGGAAGGAAGGGAGGAAGAGAAACATTGAATCATTGCCCAGCTGGGGACCTGGCCTACAACCCAGGCATGTGCCCTGACTAAGGCATTGAACCAATGACCTTTTGGTTTGTGAAATGACACCCAACCCACTGAGCCACACCAGACAGAGCCCTATGCTTAGTTTTTAAAAATAAGCTTTCATGGCTCTTTAAAACAATGTGTATTATAGATACTTTTAGTAAATAGTGGTTTTGCAGTAACAGTAGAAACTCTCCTATACATATGTCTAATTTTGAAGCTGAGTATGCTAACAAAAACTATAAAGAATGATAACTACATATTTTAAAGATATTTTAAAAAGATAAGTAAGTAAGCTATCCTTGGCTGACTGTGGTAATAAAATTAGAAATTAATACAAAACTTTAAACAATAAACAGAAAGTTCCAACCTTCTAGTATCAGTATGTATTAACAATGTCCTATTTATAAAGTAATGGAAAAAAAAGACTACTGTATATTTATCCATACAAGAAAATGCAAGCATTTTTGACTTAAAAAAGTCAAATGTTAGATAAGCTAAAGTTCTATTTCAGCACTGACCCAAAATCCTGGGCCTTCCTGCCCTTTCTCAGAGATACAAATTTTATATAGATGATGTCATAAGTTTTACTGTGTTATTTCATACAAGTATATGTAGCCATAGGAATCATACAGTGTCAACCTTTTGTTTTCTTTGCATAACTGATATTATGTACATATTCTGCAACTTTGCATTTTCACATGATAATATATCTTGGAAAATCTGTATATGATCTTAACACATGGTAAAACGAGCTCAGTGTTTCTCAGTCTTGGCACTTGGACAGCAGTTCTTTCTCATGCCCTGTGAATTGCAGGACATTTATCATTTCTGGCCTCTCCTCCACTAAATGCTGGTAGTGTCGTCTAGTGCTTATGACAACCAAAAAGTAAACCTTACCCACATATTGCTGGATGCCTCCTAGGAGGTAGTATCACACCTAACTGAGACCCACCTTCTAAAAACTGCATAGTATTCTGTCTCATGTGATTCCATTTACATCAATGATGAACATTTAAGTTAATCCCAGTTTTTTTAATAAGCCGTGACACTTCAGGGTGCTTCCTACACAGATAGAGAGGCAGTATTGCAGGGTGGTTCAGAGTATGGCCTGGGTTAAATCCTTTCTCTGCTACTTCCTAGTGATAAGTCATTAGGTAAGTCTGTTACTATCTTAAACCTCAGTTTCTTCATCTGACAAATGGAGGTAACAATAGTACCTACCAGATAGGATTCTTGGAAGGATTAAATGAGTTAATATAATGTAATGTAAATAATTTGAAAGAGTGCCTCATGTTATAATTAGTGCTTTATAAACATTTACTATTATTTATTATATTATTATTGCATACATTGACCCTAAGAAATGCTAAACCATTAAAGTGTAGCTTTTTTATTTTAATAGCTACCAAACTAGAATAGAAACTTAAAATGCCTAATAAGAGAGAATGTATAAAATTATTATAGCACATGTAATAAGAGTACTGTGTAGTCATTTAAAAATAATGTTTTTAAGTAAATTTTACACAGTTATATTAACTTACTAAAGAGAAAACAACTAAAATGCAAGTGAATAAAAGGATGCAAATATTAACTTACTAAAGAGAAAACAACTAAAATATTAACTTATTAAAGAGAAAACAACTAAAATACAAGTGAATAAAAAGATGCAAATCTGCATATGTAATATGATCTTAATTATGTAAAAAATGTTACAAATAGACTGTAAAAATACAAGTGATTATCTCTAGGTTGTGAGAGTATAATGTTTTTTATTTTCTGTTTTATACTTTTCTAGATTTTCTAAAATTTCTTAATAAGCATGTGTTACCTTTATAATCAGGAAAAAAGAGATAACCCAGCACCTTGGTAGAATAAATTTAATATAATTATACATTCTACTTTGCGATGTGATTTTTTGTGCACTTAGCAACACAAAATGTTTTTTCTAATAAGCAAATTAACTGATAAATGCCAGCAAAATCGGGGGGAGATTTTAAACTAATATTGCTAAATATAATTTTTATTTTGCTTTTTATTCTTATGTACCTGCCCTAGAGTACGTAAAATCTACCAAAATATAAAAAAAAGTGACCAAAACATGTGTCCTCATTTCTGGTCATTTCTCTTGGTAGCACCCCAGCAGTCAGTGACTACTCTAGAATTGCTTTGGGTCCTAAACGGGGTCCGTCTGTTACTGAAAAGGAGGTGCTGACATGCATCCTCTGCCAAGAAGAACAAGAGGTGAAAATAGAAAATAATGCCATGGTATTATCGGCCTGTGTCCAGAAATCCACCGCCTTAACCCAGCACAGGGGAAAACCCATAGAATTCTCAGGGGGTATGTATTGTTTAATAAATATCCTTTTGAACATTTCTTTTCATACTTACATAATTAAAAAAAATACTATTGGAAAGAAGTTTGGGAGAGAGATCGTATTTAGCCTTATTTGATCAAATCACAGTTTATCTATATGTAGAATGGACTCTTGGTTTTTACATGCCACGTTGGCTCCTTTGTTTTAATTTTTGTTAGCACTTGACTACATTGCTTATTCTGCCCCCCCCACCTCTTCCTTCACTGCCTCTCCTCCCATTCCCTCTCTTTCTCCCACATGTCCCCAATTCTCATTACTCTGCCATTTGAAAGTAGTATGCAGGCATCATAACATTTCATCCCTAAATTTTCCACATGCGTTTTCTAAAACTAAGGTCAATCTGTTATTATATCTATCATTTCATTATAACATTTAAGAAAATTAATAACATTTCAGGAATATCACCTAATATATTGGTAAAATCTATATTTGAATTTCCCTAAATACCCTCAGAATGTCTTTTGTTAGCTAGACTTTTTTATCATTTAGGATCCAGACATGTTTCATGTGTTGCTTTAGCTGTGTCTCTTTTAGTCAATTATAATTTAATCTGGAATAGTCCCTTGCCTTTTTTCTTTCTGTGATAACTTGTTTTGAAGAATGCAAGCCACTAATCATGTACAATGTCTTACAGTGAGGGTGTGTCCAATTGTTGTCTCATGATTAGGTTCATGGTAAGCATTTTCTTGGCAAAATACTAATTAGCTGATGTATTGTACTTCTTACAGCACATCAGTAGTTTTAAATTTTATTTTTTTATTTTGATTTTTAAAATATATTTTAAAAATACCCTTGGACTTATAATATTGATTTTGTTTAAAAACTAACATTTATTGAATAGTTACCATATGTCAGGCGCAGATCAAATTTTTCTGTGTATTTACTCACTTAATCCTTATAATAGCCCTATGAATTGGGTATCGATTTTGGCTCCATTTTATAGATGAAATAACTGAGGTACAGGGAAGCAGCTTGCCCCAGGCCAGGAGTTTAAGTGATGAAGCCAGATTTTGAATCCCATAGTCTGCTTTTATCCAGTAGATTTATAATGCTTCTAAATATCCCTTAAAATTACCCAGTCAAATTACTTGTAAAATTACAAAAGAAAATTTTCTTGAATTATAGAAAATAACTTCAACAACCAAGATAGTGCAACTTAAACCTAATGTTCAAAATAAAAATATAAATCAAGAGTAGAACTAGTTATTAATCCATATTAATTTTAGAATCATACCTGGAAGTCTAGCTTTATATTTTTCTCTTTTTACTTACTATTAAGAATATGAATCTTGCTATATGGATATTGTGACATTTTTCTTGGATGTTCCTTAGAAAGTTTATTATTAGGATTTCAGACCTGAAAACCTCTTGTTTTTTCCTTTTTATGACTGTGGGAGAGATGAATATAATACCTCTTATTTTTGTTTTCCTGTACCCAGAATCCCTAGACCCACTTTTCATGGATCCAGATTTGGCATATGGAACTTACACAGGAAGCTGTGGTCACGTAATGCATGCAGTGTGCTGGCAGAAGTAAGTTGTCCTTCTAACACGTTCTTGAAGGAAACTAGGAATATTGAAGTTCATTAAAGGCCACAAAAAGGCATGTCTTCCCATGTCTTCTTTCCTTGTTATTTGAATAATTGAAGCAGTTTTAATGACTAATTTTGTTTGCATGATACTCATTATGTCATCACCCTTAGGAATTGGTATGTAAAGTTATGAACTTAAATTCTTTTTTTTTACATTGGAAGTTGCAGTTTTTTATTTTTTATTTTTAACTTTATTTAGTTATTTTTCAAGTACAGTTTTCTGTTTATTTCTCTGATCCCAGCCCACCCGTGCTCCCCACCTCCCTCCCATTTCCACCCCCTTAGTTATTGTCCCTGTGTCCTTTATACTTGTTCTTCTAAATTCCTCCCATTTTCCCCTTAAATTCCCTCCCCTCTCCCCTCTGGTCGCTGTCCCCCTTTTTCTCTATTTCAGTGTCTTTGTTTTTATTCTGTTTGCTTGTTTGTTTTGTTGCTTAGCTTCCTGTTAAAGGTGAGATCATATGGTATTTGTCTTTCAATGCCTGGCCTATTTCACTCAGCATAATGCTTTCCAGTTCCATCCATGTTGTTGCAAAGGGTAGGAGCTCCTTCTTTCTCTCTGCTGCATAGAATTCCATTGTGTATATGTACCACAATTTTTTGATCCATTCATTTACTGACGGGCACCTAGGTTGCTTCCAGCTCTTGGCTATTGTAAATTGTGCTGCTGTGAACATTGTGGTGCATAGGTTCTTTGAAATTGATGTTTTAGGATTCTTGGGATATAATCCTAGCAGTGGAATTGCTGGGTCAAAAGGCAGGTCAATTTTTATTTTTCTGAGAAAATTCCATACTGTTTTCCATGAACTTAAATTCTTCACGTAATTCATCATTCCTTTTACTTGCTCTTTACAAACTAATTATTTGTTCAGTAGTTGTGTAAAAGAAGCTGTAATCTTTATAAAAGTCTCATTCCCCTCAAAACATTGAGTGGAAAGTACTTTAGAGATAGGATACGACAAGAACTTCTAGATCGACCTCTGGAAGAGATAGCAATTCAGAAATCTAATTCCTAGGAAATCTTTTGTATCATGTTCACATTTTTGGCATTGGAATAAAATGCATAATTTTTCTGTAATATAGGTAGTGGCACATCAGGTGATCATTGGAAACTGAAGGAAGTAGTGTCTACATTGTATCTCCATGTTGTTGAGGCAGGAGACAAGATTCAGTAAAATTATTAAAAAAATTTTTTTTATCCTAATGACTCTTCCAGTTTTACCCCAATAGAATGAACATCCTATTTCTTCTGTAATTATAACTGGTGGGTTTTTGCACGTGTATTTAAAAGATGTTTATCAAGGCAAAAACATAAGATTTTTCTCACTTTGATTAGAACAAAGATATATGTATTGTTCTGACCGGACCTATGTCTTGGAATTTTGCAGGTATTTTGAAGCCGTACAGCTGAGCTTTCAGCAGCGTATTCATGTTGACCTTTTTGACTTAGAAAGTGGAGAATACCTTTGCCCTCTCTGCAAGTCTTTGTGCAATACTGTGATCCCCATTATTCCTTTGCAACCTCAAACGATAAACAGGTATATTTTAATTTATGTTTTGGTTAATTTTATAAAAATCTGTCTTTAATCATGCCTGTTTCAGTTAGATTACTAGTTTCTTTTTTGCTTTTTAAAGTAATGCTTTTTTATTTTTATAACATTCTACTTAAAACCACGATTAAAATTAGCTTCCAATCTTTAGTCTTTGAAAGAACTGGACTATTCATTTACTCAAATCTATATGTTTTGTGTAAATCTTCCAACTGTCATTAAAGCAATAGAACTTTACTGTCTAATTTAGCATTCATAGAAAAGATGCAAAGAAGATTTATTCTTTTTATGTAGTCTTTTGTCACCAGTAGGGTTGCTATTTGGAGTTTGAGCTCTCTAAATGTCTTTGTAGTGTTAATTTTAATTCTGTTTTTCTGCAGATCTAAATGCTGTAATTTTAGAGACGTGGGCAAAATGTTACTTATAAAAGTAGATAAAAACATCAGAGTCATCATATACCTTTGAATATTTTTTGAGCATTTAGACTAAGTTTATATTCTGACCATCTGTAAATGCAATTTAACAGAAAATTCATCAGTTTATAATGATAACTAGGATACTCAATTGTATATATTTTTTATTTTCACTGTTGTACATGATGATAACAGTAATATTTATTGTTACTATTTCAATTTCTTTAAAATTCATTGAATTTGTAACAATGACCTAAGTTGACTAAAGAAAATTATTTTGTTGATAAAATACTTTTAATGTCTTCCTACAACAAAAGTATTCAAAGGTGATAGGTTTAGCAAGTAAGGTCAATAAGTACTTGCTCTTTTTGTATCACTCCATGCCATCAAAAAACCCAATTGGAAATTGTATTTTACTCAACATATTGAGACATAGAATGTGAAGAAGGTGGCATCAGAAAGATTTATCTTTTTTGAGTAATTGTTCTAGGCACTCAGCTAAACACTTGCTATGCTATTTTGTTAAATAATCTAATGAAGAATGTAGTTTAAAGATAAGGGATTGAAAACTATGAATAGTTCTTACTTATTTAAAGAAAGACTCAGGCTTTGAACCCAGACCTGACTCCAAAGCTGAATCTAACTATATACGTGGTAACAAAAATAAACTAAATCATAATAAAACATAGTGACTTTTCAACTTGTTAGCCTGTATAAGCCCTTTTTACACAGTGTTTCCCCAAGTAAAGATTATTAAACATGCAAATTATTCTCTAAAGAAATATTCAGCACCTCTTTTCTTGATGTCTTTAAGAATAGTATGCTTCAGGACATCCTTTCTCAAGTTAAATTGATCCTTACTACTGGTTCTCTTTGAATCCTGTGATGTTTTTAATCTATAGAAATAATTTTGTTACTTAGGATCTGAAATACATAAGCATACATAACATTTTTATTAGACGCTCAAACTTAGATATGTATTTAATTATATTTGCCACTTTAATTTTTGGAAAATCAGCATCAGTATAATCTAAGATATTAAAGCATATAAAAAGTTTATCAAAACTAATAAGCTAGTATTTTTAAAGAAAATTGGTTATAATCAGTCATAGTACACTTTCGTTTCTGAGAACTAAACAAATTTTTAGGTCAAGTTTGTGCCCAGATACGTGAATTTGGGCACAGTTATTTAAGTCCTTTTAATAACACCATTTGTGGTCCCCCTTGGTTATTAATAGTTTAGATTAAGTCCCTGCTGTTAATGGAATTTACATTACAGAGAGGAGAGACCAGCAGTAGACATATATATACAAAGTGTTGAGTGAGAAATACTATGAAAAAACTAAAGCGGCAGAGTAAAGGGCTGGAGACAGACCAGTGGATGAGAGTATTTATAGGCAAAGTTGTTAGGGAACTTCTCTCCCAGGTAGTGGAAATTCAGTAGAGCTGTGAATGAAGTGAAGGACAAGCAGTGCTACTCTGTGGGTGAAGAGAATTTCACACACAGACATTATCAACAGCAAGGGCTCTGAGGTAGGCACACAATTACCATGTTTGAGGCACAGCAAGAAGGCAGTGTGGGTGGAATGAAGCAAGCAAAGAGCCAGATCATAAAGGGGCTTTTGAATGAGATGAGGTTAGACATTGGAATTGTATTTTATGTGTGATGGGAAACCGTTGAAATGTTTTGAATAGGGTAGTGATATGATTTGGTTTACACTTTTAAAAGATGCTTCTGTTTCTGCTGTATGAGTACATAGAAAATGATGAAACCCCCATTGCGGAAGCAGGATGAACAGTTAGTTTACTGAACTAGTCCAGGTGGGAGATGAGGTAACTTGGGTTAGGTTAATAATGGTGGAGGCAGAAAGATGCAATCAACTTAGGATATATTAACAAGGTAAAACTTTTGAGACTGGCTGGTAAATTAGAGGGAATTAGAGAATTCAGTGGCAACACCTAGTTTTTGACTTGAGAAAGAAGAATGGTGATTTCATTTACTGACATTAACTACTTCCAGGTGTAGAGAATATGGATGGAATCTTAATCCTTGTACTTTCAAAATTCCCTCTCTCCCCAAACTACTTTTTTAGACACATGTATTCTATGATCTAGGCAGTTAATCTAGAGGAATTTTTTATTCAGTCTTTTATCCAGGGAGTTTAGAAAAATCTCCACAAGTTAAGATTTTCAGTTTGACTTTGTGCCAATGGCTTTAACAATTTTTAAATATCATTTTTCAGTGAGAATGCAGAAGCTCTTGCTCAACTTTTGACCCTGGCACGATGGATACCAACTGTTTTGGCCAGAATATCAGGTTATAATATAAAACATGCTAAAGGTTTGCTTAAAATTATTTTTTATTTAGCTATGTGTAATGTAGTCTCAGAATTTTTAATTATTTTTAGAAAATGTACTTACTGCTTTGAAATATGGTTTGCAAATATATATTTGTTAAATATCCAAAGATAGAGGTTTTTGAAGCCCTGGCTAATTTTGATTAGAATCACTTTAATTGAATCAATAAATATTTTATACTGGGAAGCAGTATAGACAGTGATTAATCTGGAGTCACACTGCTTGGATTTAAATCTTATATCCATAACCTAATGTTTATGTGATCTTGGACAAGCTAAGCTCTCTGCGCCTCATCTTTCTTATTTGTAAAGTGGGAATAATAACAGTACCTATCTCCTGGATTAAAGGATTGAGTTATCCTATGCAAAGTAGCACCATGTGTGGTATGTAGTAAGTACTATGTGTTAGTCATTACCATTACTAATATTATTAATATGTTGTCATTAATAATAATAAGAAAACACTTTTAAACTATTACCTCATGTATGTATTTTTTACAATTGAGAGATAAGACTACGTAAAGAATCCGAGAAATAAACAATGGCAGGCAGATTAGGAAGGGAAATAAAAATTTAGAGATTTTTGTTCCAGATGGTGACATAGTTAACACAGCTTGTCTCCTGGCACAGCCACATCAAAATTACAACTAGCCCTGGCTGGTGTGGTTCAGTAGATTGAGTGTCACTGTGAAGCAAAGGCTTGCAGGCCCAGTTCCCAGTCAGGGCACATGCCTGGATTGTGGGCCAGGTCCACAGTGTGGGGCACATGAGAGGCAACCACGCATTGATGTTTCTCTCCCTTTCTTTCTCCCGCCTTTTCCCTCTCTGTAAAAATAAATAAATAAAATCTCTTTAAAAAATTACAACTAAACCACAGAACAACCATTATTCAGAACCACCAGAAATAGAGCTGAATGGAAGTCCTTTACTTATAGAATTAAAGAAGAACCACATAGAGACTGGTAGGAGGGGTGGAGATGTGGAACAGGCTGGTCCTACACCCACCTGTGGTGAATAAAAATCTGAAGGGATATCTTGGGAGCAAGGGGTGCCAGCCCTATGCCAGATCACCCCAGCCCAGGGTTCCAGAGCCAGGACAGTAAGTTGCCATAACTTCTTGCAGTAAAAACCAGCAGGGATTGAGGCTAGAACAGCCTGGTGGACAAACTGCTGGAATCCCAGGCGCTTGCTCTTAAAGGGGCTGCACCGAGACTTAGTCAGACTCACTCCCTCTGAGCCCCAGTTGGGAAGACAGTAGATAAAGGCACTGGAAACATATGGGGTGGAACTGTAGCACCTGGCATCAGGGTGAGAGCTGGGGAGCAGCTTTCTCACAGACAGAAGTGTAGGCAGAGTCCACTATTCCTTTTCTGAGCCCTCCCCCAACAGAGCAGGCAGGTGGGCACCATACCTTAGATGCTTATCAACCTGCCTCACACTGTTTGCCTCACCCTGGTGATTCTGGGGCTCTGCCCCACCAAAGCTGTTTCCAGTGGTTTTTCCATAGGAATGGCTGGTCTTGGCTGATGCTTTGGATTTCCCTAAACTCTCTCAAACAAGTAGCATTTGACCTCAGCGTCCCCCATGCCTAATGCTAAGTGGCCCTAGGCCCAGCACTAGCAGCAGCTGGCCTTGGTTCATAGCTTGGACTTGGTTAACCACCTCCAAGTCCAGCACAAGTACAAGCCAGCTGCAGATCACTTTGCAGTATATGCCAGGTGGCCCTGAACAGAACACTGGCAGTGACTGACTTTGGCCTGCACTTTCTGGGAGGCCCCAGCAACTGACACCCAGTGAACAGCTACAGACCATGTTGGAGCAACACTACCCAACCACCTCCACAAGCAATACACTCAAGGGACAGATTCAGCGGGTACCAGAGCCTTGTGAAGTAAGTCCTGCTCTGTAGAGTAGGCCCCTGCACAGCTGAGCCTCCACAGTGGTCGGAGGTTAGTGGTCAGTGGTCACATCCAGTTCTTGCAACCAGTCAGCCTGAGTAAATCCCTTCCATTGAACCTGCTAACTGCAATGAAGGCTCAATTACAAGAGTAGGGTGTATACAGCCTACACAGTGGGTACATCTCTAGTACCCAGCTTGGGTGATAGGGGAGGCTGCGCCACTGGACCCTACAAGACAATGACTACATTAGGCCACTCTTCCAAGCCAGCAAGACACAGCAGCTCTACCCAAAGTATAGAAACAAACAGGGAGGCTGCCAAAATGAGGAGACAGAGAAACATGGCCTAAATGAAAGAACAGAACAAAAACTCCACAAAAAGAACTAAAAATGGAGACAATCTACTAGATGCAGAATTCAAAACACTGGTTATAAGGATGCTCTGTGAACTTAGTGAGAACTTCAAAAGCGTAAAAAAAAAGGTTTGGAAAACATTAAAAAAACAGTCAGAATTGAAGAATACACTAAATGAAATGAAGAACAATTTATAGGGAATCAACAAGTGGATGAAGCCAAGAATAAAATCAGCAATTTAGAATATAAGGAAGCTAAAAACATCTAAACAGAACAACAAGAAAAAAAAAATCCAAAAAATGAGGATAGTGTAAAGAGCTTCTGGGGCAACTTCAAACATATTAATATTCACATCATGGGGGTACCAGAAAGAGGAGAGAGACCAAAAAACTGAAAACCTACTTGAAAAAATGATAGAAAACTTCTCTAACTTGGTGAGGGAAATAGACATACAAGTCCAGGAAGTGCATAGAGTCCCAAACAAGATGAACCCAAAGAGGACCACACCAAGACATAACATAATTAAAATGCCAGAGGTTAAAGACAAAGAGAGAATCTTAAAAGCAGCAAGAGAAAAGCAGTTAGTTACCTACAGGAGAGCTTCCCTAACACCATCTTTTGATTTTTCAAAAGAAACATTTAAAGCTAAAGTATTGTTATGTATCAAAGTATTTATACATATCAATAATTGAATCTAAAAAACAAGCAAAACAGAAACAGAATCATAAATACAGAGAATGTTTTGATGGTTGCCAGATGGGAGGGGGGCCTGGGGAATGGATGAAAAAAGTGGAGGGATTAGGCAGTATAAATTGCTTGTTACAGAATAGTCATGGGGATGTAAAGTACTGCATAGGGAATATAGTAGCTAAAGAATGTATTGATATATGCATGACCCATGGACATGGACAGAGGTGTGGGGATGGCCTGAGGGAATGGGGTCTAGGTGGATAGGGCAAAGGGAAAAAAATTGGGACAACTGTAATAGCTTATACAATAAAATATAATTTAAATTAAAAACTAGAAAATAAAGGCTAAGAGAAAAAAGAACTCACAATTTAAAGAATGATTAGTATAGGTAGTGAGTTTCTTGGAGGGTTTTTTTTTCCTCTTTTTTTTCCCCAGCTTTGACCCATGGTAGCCTTAGTTACAGAACTGTGTAACAGACAGGAGCAACAGAATCTCCAAAAGAGGTGCTCTCTTTTTGGCCAAAGGACCAGGAAAAGGAAAAGAAACCCCTCAGAGCTGGAGAGTATAAAGGGAATTCCTGTTGTGGTTTTTACCCCCTCTTCTGACCTTCTCTGAAGCTAGCCCCCTCAAAGCTGTCATAGAACTGCCCTGCCTCAGTAGCCATGTAGATACCTAAAGTCACAAGAGCACAAACTAATCTCTCTAGCAGAGGAACTGGGAAAAGTGACCCCTGTTTTCCAAAGAAGCAGGGTGAATCCTTATTTATTTTTTTCTTGTTGCCTCACAGCTTCACACCAAAGACCAGCTGATGACAGTGCAGGGGACTAAAACTGAGAGAAACTTGTCGTTTTAACCAGAGGAACTAGGGGAAAGGGCTTCTTGAAGCTAAAAAGTAGAGGGGGAATTCCAGAGAGGGAAGAGTTGTAGAAGGGTAATCTATTTTTGAGACCAACACAAATTCTGGGGTAACTTCCCAGCTTCATGTTGTGCAGAACAGGGCCTAAGAAGCATAGCAACAGCTTTGAGATTGAAGCTGCATTAAATCACCATTCAAGTCCCAAACTCACACCTGAGTAGATTGTGTCCTGGCAGCTGCTAACAGCAAAGGCACTGAAAATTAACATCGAAACCACCAGCAGTGAGACAGAACTTGTGAAACCTAATTGGGTTAATTGCCTAACAAAACATAGCACATTTTTCCAGAGAATTTTAGCAGGTGCCAGAAGCTCACATAATACTCAAAATATTCAAGATATAGTCCAAAATTATTTGATATACCATAAATCAGGAGAATCTGACCAGCTCTCAAGGAAAAAAAATCAAATGCCAATCCTAAAATGTTTAAATGTTGAACTTTTCAGGCATAAAGTTTAAAGCAGTATGTAATTATGAAATAAGATAGCCCTAGATAGGTGGCTCAGCTGGTTTGAGCATCATCCCATACACACCATAAAAAGGTTGTGAGTTCAATCCCCAGTCAGGACACATACCTAGGGTACAGGTTCGATCCCCAGTCAGGTACATACTGGAGGCAACTGATCGATGTTTATCTCTCACATCAGTCTCTCTCTCTCAAATCAATAAACAAATCCTTGGGTGAAGATTTTTTTAAAGTAAGGTATTTATCTTGAAATAAATGAAAAGATAGGAGTTAGCAGGAAAAGAAGTATAAAAAAACTAAATAGAGATAATAGAATTGAAAAAATGCTACATGAAATAATAATTAATTAGATGATCTCAATAGTAAAATGGAGATGGAGAAGTAAGAGTCAGTACATTTGAAATTAGATCAGTGGAAATTATCCTATTTGTAAAAATAGACAGAAAAAGCCAAGGAGTAAAAAGAAATGGCTTTAAGAACAGATAGAATCATTTTTTCCTTTAATTCAACATCTGTATCATTGAAGTTCCAAAATGAAAAAGAATGGTAAAGAAAAAAATTTAAAGAAATAAATGGCTGGAAACCATTTACCAAATTTGGTGAAAGACATTAAAAATACAGACTTAAGAAATTCCATAAACCTCAGATAAAGATAACTACACCCAGATAGATCTAATGCAAACTGCCAAAACCAAGGATGAAGACAAAATCTTCAAAGCAACCAGAAAAAAAAAATTCACATAGGGGAATAATAATTCAAATTTGATGAGGAAATGGAGCCACAAAGAGTTTTAATATTTGCCATGGTCTTCATAACAGTTAATATTAGAGTTAGGATTCAAACCCAGACAGTTTGGCTACAAATCCTTTGCTATTGTTTACTACTGTGTGATGCCTTACTATTAGAATAGTATACATCCATTAAAAATGAAAATAGAGATGCAGAGTTACTGATGTGGAAAGACATTTTCTGATTCATTGGTGAAAAAACAAGATACAGAACGGTACTATATATGTTCTTTAAAAAAAATATATGTGTGTTCCATGAGAATGCCAAGATAACATGTTCCCAGGAACTTTACCAGAACTCAAAATGAAGTGACAAAACAATTTAAATAAATATGCAATGTCTATGGACACACACACAAAAATATATGTGTGAAACAGTTATAGGGAGAACAGAAGAATATCACATAGTGTTATCTATATGGAGAAATTTTGAATGATTGTTCATGGCTTATCATCATTTTCTGAATTTTAAAAAATAGTCACATATAATTTTTATAAGCTGCAAAGGTGTGCATCACACTAAACTTTCATGATTTTTTTTCCTTTTAATTTATAAGGAGAAAACCCAGCAATTCCAGTCCTATTTGATCAAGGAATGGGTGATTCCACTTTTGAGTTCCATTCCATCCTGAGTTATGGAGTTGAGTCTTCGTAAGTATCTAAATTTTTAAATGTTTGTGCAAATACAATGGAGAACAGAGTCCTTCCTTGCTTTCATACTTCCTTCCTGCTTTATTTGTAAAATTGTTTCTTTTTCTCATCTTTATCTTTTTCCCTGGAGTTTTATTTGTATTAAAAAAATTAAGTGGCTTGAGGTATTAGAGTAATATATTTTAGGGTGGACCATGCCTATCATTAACTGTTTTTGAACAACAAAAATGCCATTTATATTTAGTCCAACCTATAAAAAAGCAGAGTTTAAGAGACCTCAGTTTAAGTCACATCTGATTTGCTCTGTGACTCCTGAAAATCTTTAAGTCAACTTTCTCCCTCCCTAACTCATTATTCTTGTTTGTAAATTTGAGACAGTTCCTTCCTAACTTACCTCATAAGATTATTGGAAAGATATTTATGTGAAAACACATTAAAAATATATCTCAATCAGGTATTATTTAATGCACAAGTGGCAAACACAAGGCCCGCAGGCTGAAACTGGCCCTTCACCTTGTTTTACCTGGCAGCTGCACCAAGCTCTAGCTCAACTCTTAAGGACTAGTTACATTTACATAGTCCTAAAATTCCATTCAGCCCTTTGAAGGCAACCGAGAGGCCAATGTAGCCCCCGGTGAAAATGAGTTTAATGCGTATTATCTGAGGTAAATATTTCTAGTTATGATCCTTGTTTATATTATGTATCCCACTGCTACTGAAAATACATGTTAACTTATTACAGATGGAAGTTCAGGAAACCAGAAATTATCCCTCCAAATACATGGTATTACTACCACCTGCCCCTTTCCCTCCCCAAATACACCTTATTAACATAAAAGTACTTCTTGGGCCTTTTTCCAGACACTAAAACTTGTTATGTCAGATCTGTTTCCTCTGAATTTTATTCCTGCACTGTCTGGTCTGTCCCTTTATTTGGGCTGAACCCTTTTCTGCTGTGATCATTTACTGCATCTTTCATAGTGAAGTTATATGGATCATTACCATTTTGTAAGAGATTTTTCTGGTTATAGGAGACACAGTTCTGCTTTTCCCATTTCTCTTCTTTATTTCTTTAATCCTCACCCAAGAATATGCTCATTAATTTTGGAGAGAGGGTAAGGGAGGGAAAGAGAGAGAGAAACATCTAGAAACATCTATGTGAAAGAGAGACGGACATCCATGTGCTGCTTCTTGTACTCATCCCGACTGGGGACTGAACCTGCAAACCCAGGCTCAGTCTGTAACTCCTGAAAATCCATCCTTAAGTCACCTCTCTGGGAATCCTTAAGTGCCCTAACTGGGAATCAAACCCAGTTTGGGATGTCCCAGTTTTATGGGAAGATACTCCAGTCAACTGAGCCACACCAGCCAGGGCTCCCATTTTTTCTTAATAAATTTTCTGCAGAGGCTCTAATCTATAACTTGACAAAGAGCAGTTTACTTTGTCAAAAAGAGTTAAATTGTTTATTGCTTCAGTGCCTAATTAGAATTCTCAGTAGGTAGCCCCTTTTACTAAATCATGTTATATGTTTTTCCTGTTTCATTTTTAGGATAAAATATTCTAATAGCATTAAGGAAATGGTCATTCTCTTTGCCACAACAATTTATAGAATTGGACTGAAAGTGCCTCCTGATGAAATGGACCCTCGAATCCCCACGATGACCTGGAGCACATGTGCTTTCACTATTCAAGCAATTGGTATAGCCTATAAGAGAACTGGTTTGGAGGTTTTATAGGAACAGTTAACATTGACTGACTAAAAATTATTCCTTTTTTTCCCTGATGGCTTCGAATAGTTATTTGTTTGAACACACTGTTAGTATTTCAGTAGATTAGTGTAGCCTGATGCCATTTAGTCTGCGAATTTTTGTATTGAGCTCTTTTTAACTACAATAATGTCCATAAGCAACATAAGCAAAAAATGTTTGAAATGGACATCATGTAGCAAGCTAGATTCAAAATACAGCAGATTTGCCATACTAGAAGGCCAAGAAGAAAAGGCTCAAAGGAAGAAGATTCACTACAGAAAGAATCAGTTAATTATTATTTCTTTTACATGTTAAGAAAAATAGAAAGGGATCCCCTAAAGAATTTAAGAACCTAAAAATGGAAAGGAAGACTGACTGAGGTGGTCAGGAGAGACAGATTAGCAGGCAGAAGCTCACCAAGTCTGAAAGGAAGCCTACTTTAAAATTACCTACTACATTAAAAGCTTTCTATAGAAAACATAGCAATCAAAGCAGCATGTTATACATCCTAAACTTACATTGGTTTGGCCAAAATGTCTGTTAATGCTTTTTCTGTATAATACTCTAGTAGTACTTAGTTGTTTTTAATGTCATTTGAAACTATTTTGTTAGACTGTATTGTAACAGCTGTCATATCAGTGTGCATTTTTAAAAAACATATCAAAATTGGTGAATTTTTGTGCAAGAAGCCATTTTAATATTGAAGATGAATGAAAACATAACATTTTTTAAACTGAGAACATTTTATAATGAATGAGATTCTGTCATAACATTATAAAGCTACATTTAATACAAAGTAAAGTCTTAGAAACTTATTCTTTATGTACATAATCTTATATATTTTTAAAAAATATATTTTATTGATTATGCTATTATAGTTGTCCCAATATTTTCCTCTTTGTCCTCCTCCACCTGGTACCCCCGTTCCCTCCAGCAATTCTCCCCCTGAGTTTATATACATGGGTCATGCATATATGTTTTTTGGCTACTCTATTCATATACTGTTCGTAACATCCCCTGTCTATTTTGTACCTACCAATTATGCTTCTTATTTCCTGTACCTTTTCCCTTATATTTCCCCTTCCCTCTCCCAAAGGATAACCCTCCAAATGATTTCTATCACTGTGATTCTGTTCATATTCTGCCTGTTTGCTTAGTATATTATTTGGATCCAGGTATTGATAGTTGTGAATTTATTGCCATTTTAATGTTCATCATTTTGATCTTCTTTTTCTTATGTAATTCCTTTTAGCACTTCATATAATAATGGCTTGGTGATGAACTTATTCATCACCAAGCCATTGTGTTTACCTTGTCTGGGAAGCGCTTGATGTGCCCTTCAATTCTAACTGATTGCTTTGCTGGATAGAGTAATCTAGGTTGTAGGTTCTTGCTTTTCAGCAAGAACTGTAGGTTCAGTTTGAATACTTCTTGCCAGTCCCTTCTTACCTGCAAAGTTTCTTTTGAGGATTAGTAAAAGGATATCTGATAGAAGGAAACCAAGTATTTAGGCTTTATTATTTTTTTTCTTATTCTTTGAGAAAACCTCTTGGGAGATGAAGGAAAACCTCTGTTTGGAGCACTTCAAAATAGACAGGTATGTGTGTTCTTACAGGGTACATGTCACTCATGGTGCACTTTGCTAGGGAGTCCACAGTTGGTTTATCTTTTCAAAAATTCTTTATTCACTACTTTTTCTGTAAAAATAGCAGAATTCTATGTTTGGTTGTTTCTTAAGGAGCTACTTCAGTCTCATAGAGAGTGAATGGCCACTGTATACTTTAGGGTTTACTCAGTCTTAGTGGTTCAATGTAATTCAGAGAGATTTTGGATGAGACTGGTTGGTTTTTCTCCCCTTCTCTGTTTATTGCCAAATTAGAAATCTACATTTTCCCTTTTCACTAACTTTTCATCCTCATGTAACATTAATTATTAATGCTGGCTTAGCTTTAAATAAATCATCACACTGAATTCAGGAAGAAAACTAAGCCATGCTTCCTTGATGGGCCTATCCTGACACTACAGGACTATGCTCAGGCCTAAGCCTCATAACATATGGGCCCGCACAGCGGCACTCAAGAATGTGCTCGGGAGCCCTGTAAGCACAGGATGGGTAACTGAGGATTTCTCAGACCAACCCCTTCCTAGCCAATTACCCTCTTATTTTTCTGATAGCTGGCACAGGTGACTTGAAATCTACAAGGGGCTTCTGATCAGTTTTTTTTTGGGGGGAGCGGGAAATAGGAGCACTGTTTCCCGAATTCAGGGTTTTTTGGTCATAATTATAGAAGTTCTGTTAATATATTTATTTGTATAGGTTTCAATAGACTAAATTACACCAGGCATTTAAGAAGTTGACTCTGGAGAAAATGAATACTTCAATGAGAATTTAAGTGATTATAGCTTTAATACCTCTTTGTTATGGGAAAGCTGATAAAAATTTGGCAAGGATATAAAACTTTTTAGAAGTATTAAAAATATTGAAATTTATTTGCAAGAATGTTCAGTATATAATAAGTCTGCAACTAATTCTTACAGACTGGGATTTATTTTTACAGTGAATGACTTGGGTCTTTTATCTTCCCCTTTTATGTTCCTCTCTTTTACAAATCAGCATAATGGTCTGAAAGCATTAATGCAGTTTGCCATTGCACAGAGGAGCACCTGTCCTCAAGTCCTGATACAGAAACATCTGATTCGTCTCCTATCAGGTAGGGCCTACTCTGAATTACTACTGCTGCTGCTGCTACTACTACTGCTGCTACTACTATTACTACTACTACTACTACTATTACTATTATTATTTTATTATATACATGTCTTTTCCATTGCATTTATGGAAGTGTATTTTGTTAGGAAACCACACACTGCACTCATTTTGAATGCTCACAAAAACAAAAAATAAAATAAAACATAAAGTTGTCTCTGTAATACCTGATTTTTTAAGTATCAGATATTTTCAGCTTATATCCTTTGTACCCACCTAAAGATTGTTGAACAAGCATCCACAACCACTAACATCCTTGTATCCCAATCTGGTTAGAATAAAGGGAGGTAGGGAGCATTGGAGGGGTGGCCTGGGATGGGAGTAAAAGAAAACTACTTGAACAACATTAAAGTAAATTTAAAAATAAAATAAAAAGAACTAGAGATTATATAGTAGTAGAATGATTTGGCTCTCATTTTGGTTATCTGCATTTTCATTTGGGTATTTGTATTACAGGAGCTCCTCTGCACCTAAAGAGGTCAGGCTTAAACATGACTATTTATAAGTCTGCTTGTTCATAAGTTCAGAATATCATAGGCAGGGTGGTTTAAGCTTGCCCTTTCTAAATACATTTCCACAAAATAAGATAGTCACTCAGTTTGTTTACGCTTTAAAGCCAGGCAGTTTTCTGCCAGCTGATCTAGCAGGCTTTCTTTTCTTGTTTTCAAAACATTTTAAAGTCTGTGGAGACAGGTCACTTTCTTATCTGTTAATTATTCCTCACAAGCCTCTTAAGCAACTCTTCCTGAGCAGCTTTCTGCTCCCTCTGATGACATAGGGATTCCATGGCGCCATCCAAGGCTGGCACCTGTTTCATTAGAACTTCCAATATGCTTAGCTTTTATATTTTCAAATTAACTTCCAGCTATATCCTGAATTAACCTCATACTAATAAGTAACTAATATTGATACTTTTCTCCTAACCACACACTTAAAAATTTTTTCCCTTTCTTTTAAATTTACTCTTTTTCTTACTGGTCAGTTGGATAGGCTTATGTAACATGTACCTGCCTTTGCTATGTTGAACAGTTTGTCCTATTTGCATAGTACTATTTTGGTTTAGTTTTTAATTTTTTGATATCTCTTTTCATTTCAGTCATAATTTGGATACCTTGTTTTACTAGTAGTTCCATATAATCTCTGCTTTTGTACTTACCACACATTACAGGATTAATGATTTTTTTAATACCTCAAAATAAGGAGCAAACAAGCAGACTAATTTACATCATTATGGATGGCAGGGACTATAGTAGTAGTGCATAATCTCTAATTCAAAGTAACTAACAGAATTGATGTGCTTTTGCTCTGTATTGTATGTGCCTATATATATTTGTCATGTGAAAACTTGTTAGCAGCAGGATCATTATTTGCAAAGTGTTAGGGTTATAAACTGTATACAGGTTGAAGCAAAAATATGTTTATAGTTCACTTGGGAAATACAGTAATAAATAATACAAGAATACACATGCTGACAAGTACAAATACATGAAACACAGTGTATGCTTGTATTATTATTAATTGGTTATTGTATTTTCCATGCCAACAACTTACTTTCACCTCATCCTGTATGCAGGGGTAAGACATGGTTCCTGCCATAGGCATCTACTTGAATTACAGAAGTAGAACCTCTGTGAAAACACTTTATAATGTAGCCAAATATCAGATATATGCTGCAAATATGTGGTTCAAGAATTGAGACATGGAAGGGATCACTATAGGACTCTGCTATTCTCTAACAGGGTGGGTTTTGAATTGAGTCTTGCAGGGATGGTTTATGAGAATAGTTTGAGAGGATCAGAGAAAGCAGTCTAAGCACAGGGCACAGTTCGAACAGAGATTGAGGAGGTAGAGAAGTATGTGGTGTGTTCAAATAGACAAGTTTGATAGGAGTAGTGGCACCTGTAGGTAGAGAAATGGGAAGTTGTTTTGATAAAAATAACAAGTCTTAAATGCCCTAATAAGAAGTTTGAACTTAATTCTTTAGTTCATTAGGACTTTTTGAAATGTTTTGGGCAACAGTATTCTAGGGTTAACTTGATATTATATACGTTGGATTGGAAAAGGAAAAATTAGAGGGATATATGTATGGAAAGATTCTTGTGTATATGGGTGTAGTCGCAGAAATTAGGGAAGGAGATATATTGGGTTACACAGGAGCAAGATTTTGAATTAAAATGAGTAACAATAGTTGAGACCTGACTGGTGTGGGTTGGGCGACATCCTGCAATTGAAAGGTTGCCTGTCTGATTTCCAGTCCCTGGATGGGGTTCGATTCCCAGTCAGGGCACGTGCCTGGGTTGCAGGCCAGGTCCCCAGTTGGGAGCATGGGAGAGGCAACTGATCGATGTTTCTCTCCCTCTCTTTCTCCCTTCCTTCTCCTCTCTCTAAAAATAAATTTAAAAAATTTTAAATTATTTAAAAATAGCAGTGATTGAAAGATAGGGAAGTCCATAATAGAACTGCTTTGTGTGAAAGCTAATGAAAATTGTTTTTAGTATATTGATTCTGCAGTAGCAATAGGACATACAGTGCTCACAGCCAAGTACATGCTAGGCACTGTACAAGGATCTTTTTATATAATCTTATTTCTTCATTCTTCAAAGAAATCATTATCCCTATTTACAGATGAGGAAACTAAGGCCCAGAGAAGTCATATGACTTTGACCAAGGTCATAAAACCAGTAAGAGGCTGAACAAATGTTTGAACCCAGCCTTGATTATAAAAGCTCCTGCTTTCCCCACTATATCACATAAGCTTTGCTAAGGTATTTAATTTTCTATAAAGAGAGAGTTTTAGTACAGATAAAATGAAACTATGCATGCCAAAATTAACTTTTCATTTCAAAGGAACTTAAAAATAATACATTTAGCAGCCAGGAAAAGTAATTTCACAAATGCCTATAAGAAAAATTGATGGCATCCCTTACCCATGATGCTCAGTTATTTGGGTGGCCTCCCCTGAGGCGAGGGGTCTCCCATTTGATTCCTGGTCAGGTCACATCCCTGGGTTGCAGGTTTGGTCCCAGCTGGGGCATGTGCAGGAGGCAACCTATCGGTGTTTCTCTCCCTCTCTTTCTCCTTCTCTTCCCCCTCTCCAAAAAAAATAAAATCTTTAAAAATAAAAGAAAAATTGACGGCAGATAAAGTAGCTAAAAAAGTGATAGAATTCAGGAGGAATTAGGAGTTATTAAAATGTCCCAAGAACAAAACAATTTATAGTACAGGAGCAAACAATATAGGTAGTGTTATTAGAAATGTTAACTGACATATCAGAAATATTAGTGAAAAGTCTTAACAGAGGAAATGAGAGCTAGAAACCTCAAGTGAATTTCAGGAACAAAGAGCTAGTTAATGACAAAGTCCTATGATCACTTTAGTTTGTTTTATAAGGCCAGTATCAATAACATTTATCAAATGGTTACTATATGCCAGGCTTGGGATAAGTGTTTTAAATGCATATGTTAATGAACCTCCCCAGTTGTGTGTATACTGTAAATTTAGTTAAGTCCCTTGCCTATGACAAATAATCACAACCAGCACTGGAACCCATTCTGACCCCAACATCTATGGTGTTAACTTGAAGGCTTTTGGTTTAAACTCTTGGACCTGGGGTTAAGAAATTGACTTAATGTGGAAAAAATCTTCTCTGCTCCCCACCTCAAATTTGTTCACATATTTTATCACAGAACATTTAGAAGTTTGTAGTTAAGGGGGAAAAAGTACTAGAGAACATTGTATAAAACTAATTCTTATTCATTCAGCAAATATTTATTGAACAATCTCTATTTGAGTTATCTTAATTTATTTACCTTTCCTCCTCTATCTTACTGTTTAATTCTTAAATTGAATCTAAGTCCTTCTAGGAGCCTGTTCTGTTAAGTTTATATTTAATTATGGTTCCCATATTTCAAAGGTGTAATGTACCAGTCTGTCAGTTTCTTTATTTTATGAACAATTTTTGTTTTAGATGTTTATATTTTGCTTTATATTTAACTACATAGCTATTTTACTGACTGAATTTGATTATTTATTTATTTATTTATTTTAGTTGTTCTTCCTAACCTAAAATCAGAAGATACACCTTGCCTTTTATCTATAGATCTATTTCATGTATTGGTAAGTGTTCAATAAAATTTTATTAAAAGTCACTCAAGTTTATAATTTTATGTGTTTTCCTCATTCAAATTGATGCTGCTGTTCAATATTGTAAATTATTGGTGTTCAAACTATGAATTTTTCTCTTTTGTCCATTTTGTTTACAGATAGATACAGATTTCACTGAGACCATCAAAATCACTTTAAAGATGAAAGCACGTTTACTCTTTACTTTATAATAAGTCCTACCATGGTTGATTATGACTAGCTGGTGTCTGTACAAGCAAATTTTTTCTAATAGATAATGCTTTCCCTCTCCCCTTCTTCCTAATTTATTTATATTATAAGAAGGGAATGCCACCATTAGCTATCTTAAAACTATTAGTTATTTGGTGCTAGGGACCAACCATGGACACAGCCAGGCTTCCCCCAAACACCTATGGATGGGTGGCAACTGTTTTGTGAGTTTCTCTAGGGAGAGCACAGTGGTAAGATTGGGAGCATGGAGTTTTTGTTAACCAGTATCCTCATCCCTCATTGTCCAGGCCTCTGCCCAGTGCTGTCACTAAGGGTGCTAGTAAACTGGGCCCTGACCCCTGAGAATTTGATTTCGCTGGACTGGGGTGAGGCCTGTGTATCAGTGTGACTTTAAGAGCTCCCCAAGTGATTGTGATGTTGAATCTCCTGAACCCCACAGGGTTTGAGACCACTATCTAGAACTTGAATAAGTAGACCCAGCAAAGGGATAACCTATTTAGTGATGACTTTTGTCCTTTATTTGTGGTACAATATATTATAAGGTATTCTGTTGAGTAATTTGGAAAAATATCGTGGTTCTTTTAAACACCATACAAACACATTGTATCTTCTGGTGCCCATTATATTTAATTATGAGATTAATTTGTGTTGCTCTCTGTTGTTACCCATGTTGATACCATTTTCTCTCATAGGTCGGTGCTGTGTTAGCATTCCCATCCTTGTATTGGGATGACACTGTTGATCTGCAGCCTTCATCAGTTAGTTCTTCCTATAACCACCTTTATCTCTTCCATTTGATTACCATGGCACATATGCTTCAGATACTTCTTACCATAGACACAGGTAAAGTTCCCATCATTTGTTAACTGTACATAACATTTGCCCATGATTTATTGGCAAAATTTAATTGTGCTTGTGGTTAATTGTATATTGCTAAGTTCTATTTTATGTCTGTTGCTGAAGGATCATTCATTTCTTTATGGATGCTATTTAATATATATATAATTATAAATTCTTATATAATAATAAATATCTGTTAACTATCCATGTTTCACAAGGCTATGATTTAACTCTGTTTCTCCGCATAATATACTGACAAAGTTTACCTAATAGTTTTACTATCAATCAGTGAGAATAGACTGAGAATCAGTGAACCTCACTTGACTAGACTTTATTTATTATCCTGAAACCACTAAATTGAGGTGTAATTTTTAAATTGAATAGCCAGTTTATAGATTTATCTTTCAAAATTTCTTTTTCAGGCCTCCCCCTTGTTCAGGTTCAAGAAGATAGTGAAGAGGCTCGTTCTGCATCTTCGTTTTTGGCAGAAGTTTCTCAGTATATAAGTGGGTGAGTAGTGGCAGTCTGTGCGTTTAATCTGCCTCAGTATTGTTTTGATATTTCCATGTCTTTGTTTAGTTGTTTGACAGTATAACTTCGGAAACATTTAATTCCAATTTTTAAAAAAGGACTTAAGGGCTTTGGGAATAACAGGTAGCCATTTATTTGTTCTAAGACTTGAAACAAGTTCTGGACATCTTTATTCTTATAAACTGCTATAGGGATATAGGCAAAAGATGATAGAATTTTTAACAAATGATAGCATTTTAAATTTAAATAAAGGTAGAAAATAGAAAATAGGTCGTCCTTTTAAAGCAATTCATATAGTTGATGAACTTAGCTAATTAGAGGGTTGTTTTTAAGGCCATTATGAATGATACGTGAAATATATTGGCAATGTAGAGGTTAAAACCTAAAGTGAGATAGGAATGATCTGCTGAGCTTCACCTGTTGTCAGGGTCTCCTCTTTGTTTTCCTCTTCCTCATAAGTCTTTTTTTCCCCTTACTCTGGGTACCGAATATTAGTAGGCTATTTTTTACAAACCTCTTTTAGGTTTACAAAAAATCTGAACAGAGAGTATAACATTCCCATTTATTTTCTCCCTCTACCAAGTTCTCCTATTATTAATGTCTTGCTTTAGTGTTACACATTTGATAAAAACGATAGCAGTACATTGTTGTTAACTGAAGTCCATAGTTCATACTAGGGTTCACTCTTTGGGTCACGCCATTATCACACCGTTACAATATTACGTAAAACAGTTCACTGCCCTACAAATCACCAGTTATTTTAATATAGGAATCAAAAAGGTATTAATTATTTTTAGCTAACTTAGCTACTTTGGTTAGTTATGATAACTATATCTGCTCCCCATTTCATCATAAGGATTAGGAAAAAGAAGAAAGTAGCTTTTAGTCTTAATAAGTAGCTTAAAAGTAGCTTTTAGGCTAAGCTCTGGCCAGTGTAGCTTAGTTGATTGGAGCATCATCCTGTAGACCAAAAGGTTGTGGGTTCAATTCCTGGTGACAGTACATAACCCTGGTTGCAGGTTCAGCGCCTGGTTGGAGTGCATAATGGGAGCAACCAGTCAATGTTTCTCTCACATCGATGTCTTTCTGTCTGTCTGTCCCTCTCTCTTTATCTTCCTCTCCCCATCCCTCTTCCTCTCTCTGAAAGAATGGAAAAATGTCCTCAGGTGAGAATTAAAATAAAGTAAAATAAATTAAAAGTCTACATGGTAAAAGATGCAAGATTTGTGGTTTTCTTTAGGAAACTATTAGGTTCAAACTGAATCTATAGCTAGTTAAATATTCTGTTTTAAAAGGATAAAAAATTATTGAAAATATCAGGGTGTCCAACCTTTTGGTGTCTCTGGGCACACTGGAAGACTTGTCTTGGGTTACACATTAAATATATTGTGACACATAATCACAAAAAAACTCAATGTTTTAAGTAAATTTATGATTTTTTTAAAGTAATTTGTTTTTAGGTTTTATTTATTTATCTTCAGAGGGGAAGGGAAGGAGAGAGGGAAAGAAATATCAGGTAGGGTTGCCTCTTGTGTATTTGTTCCCTGCTGGGAACTGGCCTGCAACCCAGGCATGTGCCCTGACTGGGAATCAACCTGTTTGATTCGTAGGCCAGTGCTCAACCCACTGAGCTACACCAAACAGGACTAAATTTACGATTTTGTATTGAGCTGCATTCACAGTCATCCTGACCTGGGGCCGCAGGTTGGACACCCCTGATTTAAATACTTAGCTATGTTTTTGAAAGGGCGCTTAAAGTCTAGGGTTTTAGTCTCATCAGTATTCTGTTCTGTTCTGGAATTATTGCCTCTTAGCTGCATTGGATGTGATATTCCTGGCTGGTATTTGTGGGTCTCACTGAAGAATGGCATCACCCCTTATCTTCGTTGTGCTGCATTGTTTTTCCACTATTTACTTGGAGTAACTCCACCTGAAGACCTGTTTACCAGTAAGTAGAAAATGATATCACAGCAGTAAATGAAAGGCTTTTTTCCTTAAGTTCAGCCTCAAGAGTACAAAATGAGAGCACACAGTACCAGTCCTTTATCCCTTCACTCTGAACACGTGTGCCCCTGCCCTGGTATAGGAAAGGTCAGGCAGAAACCCAGATTATAATCTGTAAAACCTACTTGTGACTACTTTCTCTGTATAGTTAATATGCTAGAATTTATAAAATGCATGCAGAGTATAACTGATAGGGTGAGCTATACAAGAAATTAGAAACATTGGTTGACCTTAGGGAGGAGAACTGTTTGACTAGGTTAAAGGAAAACTGTACTGTATACTGTACTGTATACTCTCCTATTTAAATTTTGAACATATGTTACTTTTTAAAAAAATTTTGTTTTAATTAAAATGCTCCCGGGAAAAGACTACAGTATCAAACCAAGGCCCAGTATATTTAACAGAGTCATTTTCTTTCTCCTCTACTTCTTTAAATCTAGATGCAAGTAGAGAAGGCTCCCTTGTGGCTTTGTATAGGTAAAAATCAAACACTTGTGATTGGGGAAGAGTCACCAAAATGGCTCATAGATTCTTCCTTTTATCCTTTGAGATTATACTGACCAAGTCAGATTTACTGGCTATCATTTTTTTTTTTAATCTTGAACTCAGTTTAGTAGGGTTTATGGATCTAGGTTTGTCCTGATCCTATATAAGAAAGAATGCTACTTTCCAAGTAGTTACTACCATTACAGATCTGTTGTTTGCAGTTTAAAAAATTTATGTATGTTATTATATAGTTGCTGCTGTAATATGGCAGTTAAAGTTCTTTGTTTTATTGGGAGGAAACCAAATATAAACAGGCAGATTAATAGGTATGTCAAATGGTCACAAGTGCTACAAAAAAAATAAAGCAGATCATGGACATAGAGAATGCTAGAACTAGAATGGATAATTCTTTTAGGTAGGTAGTCATGAAAGGATTTTTCTGTAAGGAGACATTGGAAAAAGAACTGGGTTGAATTGTGTAGGTTAATGGAAGAGTACTCCTGAGCAGAATGAAAAATAAATGCAAAGGCTTTGCTTTGATGAGTCAAAGGACAGTAAAGAGAAGAGTGTGGCTGAAGCATAATGAACAGGAGGGAGGGTGGTAGGAAATGAGGCCCAGAGGCATCCAAGGCCAGGTCATGTAGGGCAGGGATGTCAAATTCATTTTCACCAGGGGACACATCAGCCTTATGGTTGCCTTCGAAGGGCCAAAATAATTTTAGGACTGTATGTCTGTAACTACTCCTTAACTGTTAAGGAGTTGAAATTACATTTCACCCTTTGAAGGCAAATGCAAGGCTGATGTGGCAAGCGCAAGGCTGAAAATGAGTTCGACACTCCTGATGTAGGGTCTTTATGCCACAATAAGGACTTTGTATTTCATATCATGTGGTGTTTTCACATAGGAGACATCTCATCAGGAGAATGACTCAATTAGATTTATGTTTTAAAAGGATCCCTTTAGTTTATTTGCCACCCACTGTTTTAGAGAGTATAAGATACACTCTATAGAGAGAGTACAGAAATGAACATAAACAGTGAAGAAACTATATTAACTGGTTAACCTGGTGAGAACAATGTGCTTATTAAATGTATGTTTATTCTCTTGCAGATTCTGCAGAAGGAGAGTATAGTGTACTCTGTAGCTATCTATCTTTACCCACAAATTTATTCCTACTTTTCCAGGAATATTGGCATACCGTAAAGCCCCTCCTCCAGAGGTACTGTGGGGACAAAATACTATTATTGAGTTAATTGTGCAGTTTGAAAATTTTAAATTAAAATTACTTGCCAGCTTTTAAATTGATTAGCGTTGATTGAAGGGAATGGCAAAAATATAGGAGATTCCTAATTCACCGGCTAAAGGAATTGGGGATAAGACTAACAGCCATGGGCAGCTGGAATTCCTTCCTGCTCCACCATGACTAACATTCATTATAGTTATTTTCCCCATAGCTACTGTCTCATCATTCATTTTAAATTGGTAGGGGGCCCGGGGTGTGTTGGTGAAGTCATGTTGTCAGCAGCCATAGTGTTAAAACAGTCCCGTTTGGGGCTCTGTGCAAAACCACAGCACATCTCTCATGGTAGCACACATCTCAGGAAGGTGCCTGAGGAGGAAAGAAATGTCATTTGGTAGATCAAAGAGTGTCAGTTAAACTTCCCCTGGAGAAATGTGTTGTTGTTTCAGAAAATTTTTTTTCTACTCTGTTACTTTTTGGCCTTCCTGGTCACTCTTCACCCTCCAGTCTCCTCACCCTAATCTTCGTTGCCACCATTTTCAGTCATTTTTATAAGCGGTTTTGTCTTACTCTTACGTTATTTCCCCCATGACTTTCTTTAGTCTCTTTAATTTGTTTGCCTTTTTCTTTAACCAGTGGTCTTTCCCCTTCTGTGCCCAGCTCAGGGTTTGTGTGTCTGCCCGTCTCGTCACCCATCTCTGTGCTCTCATCTCTTCTGTTAGGTTCTTTCCTGTTTCCTGCTTTCTTATGAGGTGTTCCGATCTCTAGTATGTTAAAAATAAATCAAAGTGGGTCAGAAAAATTAGTATTATTATGCTTTGTGTTGAGTATGATAATCACAGTAGGTTATACTAATTTTACTTTTGTATTCTTGAAATTGATACATTTTGAACTTGCTATATCTAGTATAGTAAGTGATAAAAGTTTAAACTTTGAAACAGAAAGCCCTTGCCCTTTATACCATTCCTGGCCCCGCTTGCCTCAAAACCTTTCCTCCTCATCCTAAGCTCTGTAATGCAGGAGACTGACCCTGGTAGGCCTTCCCAGTCTCCCTTCCCTTGTCAGTTGGCTTCTGCCTGTGTTCAGTCAGTGGGAGACAACTGGCAGGATATGGGAAGCTAGGAGGATGAGAGAAGCCTTGGACTGCCTCTCTCTGCCTTGTGGGGGCATCTCTGGCAGTGACTATAGCTTTTCTCTGGCTCCATTACTCATCAGACAAGGCTGCTATGGTTCCAGCATCCATTGGTGACCCTAGCCCCTGGGCTTCAGTAATACCATTATTTTCTTTTCTTCCTCTAGTCTAGGAGAGGTGGGAGCCTCTGATTATTGGCCAAGTTTTTAATTGCCTTGTCTTTTTGTTTCCTGGTTGTCTTCTCAGCCCTTCTATCACTTTTTATTACCAGTCCCTGTTATTAAAGACCCTCTTGTTGAAGTACTTAGAATGTTTTTTATTTTCTGGCAGGACCTTGATTGATAAACCCTTTTAAAAAGAAATTAATAAAAAGAGGGGGTAAATAAATAGGAAGATACAAAAAAAAGTAGGGGAGAAAAGGGGCAAGATATAAAATAAAAGAAGTCTAGAAGAAGGGACAGAAAGATTTGGAGAGAGAAGTTCAATGATGAATTTTATACTAAAGTTGTGATGACTCATTTGCCTTTTCTCTTGGCTCCTCATGTAGGTGGTGTGCGGATCCTGCCTTACTAAACTGTTTGAAGCAAAACAGCGCTGTAGTCAGGTTGGTTTTACTTTTCAATTACTTTCCCCCTATCAGCAAGTTGTGTTTCCAAAACTAGTTGGCTTTTTGAGCATGCTTTCTAGTTTGTCTTCTTCATTCTCACTCAGTACGTTGTTTCCTTTATTTCTGTTATGTTAGGTCTTTGCCAGAAATCAGATTCTTCCTACATTTGTTCTTTCTTGGAGTGGCTACCCATTTCCCAAGTAGTTTGATGCCACCAGATCCTCTTCCTTAAGCTAGTGCAAGCCTATTAAAAGGCAAAAGAAGAGATGGCATCTTGGAGCAGTTGGCATATTAGAATCAGAGGGTACTGACATTATTCCTATAAAGTATTTTTTCCCTTTGAGAACACAGTAAGATATAAATAGAACTATTTCCTCTCCTCTTCCCTTCCTATCTGTGTGCTTTAAGACGACCCAACAAAACTTTTCTTTAGCCCTCCTATCTCCCTTAATTTATGGCTCAGTCAAAATCCACCTCTTCTTCAAGAACCAGTTTAAACATCAGCTCCTCCGAGAGGCCAGTCCTTGCATATCGTCTCCTATGTATGTTGATGTGTGAGCATGTGTATCTGCCAACACCCTACATCACTAAGGGTAAACTCAACAAGGGCCAGAACTACATGCTTATCTTCTATGTATGCCCTCCAGAGCCTGGCTTACATGATGTACAGTGTCTAATTTTTATTCAGATTGAATTGCATCAATAAACAAGCAGAGGAGTTGACTCCCCAGCCTTAAATATTAACACCAGTACCATTCTTCTATGGCTAAAGCAAACATTGTGTCACAGTCTGCATTTACCAGCTTTTCTTATCTTTTCTCACCCCTTGAACATGTTTACTGTCCCTGTAAGTGTGCTTATGCTACCCACCCTTTACCGAGCATCAGTGATTTAGAGATTATAGATCCAGCTCCTGTGCTCAGATGTAGTAGTATTCACATCACCAGAAAAAGAAAAATCTTGAAGCAGAGAGAAAAGTTTAAAAGATGAGTACGTATTTTACAACTGTTAATCTCATACCATTTTTCCTTTATTCCAATTCATTGTGTGCCTTTTAGATGTCTGCTATTTCCCCAAAATGGTACTTAATACTCTGGGAGAGTTCAAAGACATAACACGTAGAGCTTTTGGTGATGGGTAGTTTACAAATGAATTATGTACATAAATTCAAGGCATAAGATAAAGTATGATAATGCAGAGGTGGGCGAAAGTAGGTTTACAGTTGTGAGTATGTGAAACAATTTATTCTTTTATTTATGTATTCTATTATTTATTTGTATTATTTGTCTTATTATTTTGTAGCCTTACTTATTATTTATTTTTTAGGTAAAGGTGGCTGATAACCTACTTTTGCACACCCCTGTATATGGAATATACTGTTAATGCTATAGAAAATTTTTTTCTTTTTTAATATATTTTATTAATTATGCCATTACAGTTGTTCTATTTCCCCCCTTCATTCCCCTCCACCCCGCATACCCCCTCCTCCACCATTCCCCCCTTTAGTTTATGACCATGTGTCTCAAATTCTTTAGATTCTGTATTTCCCCTACTATTCTTGCCCTCCCCCCTATCTATTTTCTACCTACCATCTGTGCTACTTATTTTCTGTACCTTTTCCCCCCTTCTCCTTCTCCCACTCCCCTGTTGCTAACCCTCCATGTGATCTTCATTTCTATGGTTCTGTTCCTGATCTAGCTGTCCTCTTAGTTTGCTTTTGTTTTAGGTGTGGTTCTTAATAACTGTGAGTTTGCTGTCCTTTCACTGTTCATCTTTTTTATCTTCTTTTTCTTAGGTAAGTCCCTTTAACATTTCATATAATACGGGCTTGATGATGATGAACTTCTTGAATTTGATCTTATCTGAGAAGCACTTTATCTGCCCTTCCATTCTAAATGAAAGCTTTGCTGGATAGAGCAATCCTGGATGTAGGTCCTTGCCTTTCATGACTTAGAATATTTCTTTCCAGCCCCTGAAAGGTCTCTTTTGAGAAATCAGCTGACAGTCTGATGGGCACTCCTTTGTAGGTGACTGTCCCCATATCTCTTGCTGCTTCTAGGATTCTCTCCTTCATTTGAATCTTGGCTAATGTAATTATGATGTGCCTTGGTGTGTTCCTTCTTGGGTCCACCTTCTTTGGGACTCTCTGAGCTTCCTGGACTTCCTGGAAGTCTATTTCCTTTGCCAGATTGGGGAAGTTCTCCTTTATTATTTGTTCCAATAAGTTTTCACTTGTGGGTGTTCCTCTTCCCCTTCTGGTACCCCTATAATTCAGATGTTGGAACATTTAAAGATGTCCTGAAGGTTCCTAAGCCTCTCCTCATTTTTTTGAATTCTTGTTTCTTCATCCTTTTCTATTTGGTCATTTTTTTCTTCCTTCTGGTCCACTCCCTTGATTTGAGTCCCAGTTTCCTTTTCATTACTATTGGTTTCCTGTGGAATTCCATTCATTTCAATTAGTTTAGCCTTCATATGTTCCTGTAATTTGTGACTAAAATCAACCAGTTCTTTGAGCATCCTGATCACCAGTGTTTTGAACTGTGCATCTGAAAGTTTGGCTATTTCTTCATCGCTTAGATTTATAAGCTCTGGGGCTCTGAGTTAGTTGTTCTTGAGCCATGTTTTGATCTGTTCGTGCCTGTTACATATGAGGAGCAGAGCCTTAAGTGTTCACCAGGGCGGGGCCACCCAGGTTGCTGTTTTGTGATGCTGTATGTGGGGGCGGGGTCAGAGAGGGACAATGGCAGTTCCCTCTGCAGCTTCCTGCCGCTTCCTGCCGCTGGGGCCTTCGGGGTCTGCGGTCCATGTCACCGCTTGCTCCTTCATCGGTTTATCTGCGTATGAATGCGTGACCGCGATCAGCCCTCAGTGGCTTCGCCAGGTTCTCCACACCTGGGATCCACCCACGGCTGCTGGTGCACCTGGGTCGTGCGCCCTGGTCAGTCTGGTGGATCTTTCCTGCCCAACCCTGCTCTGCTGCTGGCTCTGCCCCTCTTACCGGTTTGGCTAAAGGGTTCATTATTGTCAGACTTCCATGTAGTTCAATTTTCTCAGGTTTGGCTGCATTTTTGTTGCTAAAACTTTGTTGTTTTTAAACTTAGTTGTGCGAGAAGGTGCAGTGCTTTCACCTACGCCTCCATCTTGGTGGAAGTCTCTAATGCTATAGAAATTTAAAGAGTAGAAGATTCTTAATGATACAAGGTTAGTCTTAGAGATCATTTTTAGCTGAACATGGAAGGCATTATAGACTTTAAATTGCTCGAGGTTTTAGAAAAGAATTTTATGTTATTCAGGTGACTTTCCCCAAGGCATGTAAGCAAGGTTTTTGTTGTATCTACTGTGATGACTGACAGTGAATAATAACATTTGCAAATATTCGAGTACTGAGTATATTATGTTTCATTTCAGTTTCTTATTGAGCCTTCAACAGCTCCTTGAGGTTCTTTGATATTCATATAAAATTTCTTAAATCATCATGAATCTTTTATGTTCCCCCAAAATATGTTGTTAAATTAATGGTATGCCTTATGTTTAAGAAAGTATATTAATTCTCAGTTTCAGACTAGGAAATACAGGCTTAGGTTCAGTGATTTATCAAGTGTTACAGAATTTAGGATTTGTAACTGAGTCTGTCTGATTTCAAAGGTTGCATTCTTAACCACTACTTTATGTTGCCCTCCTAGACAGCATAGAAATCTAGTTAGTACAATTTAGTCTTAAGAAATAGTGGAAATTGAGTTGGAAGAGGAAGCTAGCTGATGAAGGATTTGGAATTCTAGGCTGAGAAATTTGGGAAAAAGTAATCTAGCCAATAGTGGGAATTACTGTGGATTGCAAGTATAGATCCTTAAGACATTCTTTCATTGGCTAATTTTTGATCTGGGCTTATTTCCTGATAAATAAAATTGCCTTTTAAATTACATTTTTTAGGTACCCTAGAAAAAGAAATAGATTAATAGAGCTTCCTGATGACTATAGCTGCCTCCTAAATCAAGCTTCTCATTTCAGGTAAGAAGAAATATATATTTTAAATTTTTTGAGCTTGCAGTTGGTGTACATCACCACTAGCAAATTTATTTTATTTTCTTTTCTCCTTTAATTTTCTTATTGATGCTATTACAGATGTCCCCATTTTCTTCCCTTTTGCCTATCTGCACCCAGCTCCTGTAACCCCTTCCCTCTGGCCATCACCACACTGTTGTCTGTGTCCATGGGTTATGCATTTATGTTCTTTGGCTAATCCCTTCCCCTTCTTTCACATAGTCCCTCCTCCCTCATCTTCTGTGACGGCTGTCAGTGCAAGGGTTCATCTGTACTCCACAGTTTCAAAATAGTTGCTTCAGACAGTTCTTGGCAGATCAGTAGTTGTTTCAGGAGAGGAACTGATTCCTGCGTTCCCTACTCCACCATCTTCTATGACATCCCTCCTCAATTTTTTTAAAGATTCAAGAACTTTCTCTCTCTGTTTCTCTAGCATTCTAAGAATGATAGTTTATTCATATATCTTTAAACACTGCTTTTCATGTTTCACAGTGTGATGACCACATTCATTCACTGAAATAACACTGAAGAATCTTTTTTTTTTCCGAACAAAATCTATATAGACTCCCATTATAACAGTAAAACAGCTAATAGCATTGTAACTCAGCTTCAAGTCTGGATAATGGAAAGAGGGAGGACACCCCCTTGGCCTTTTTTGGTACCACGTCTGCTCTACTTCAGTCAGTTTAAACACTACTATAAAGCAGTGTTTCTCAAATTGTCCTTTATCTTCCTCTTCCTTTTCACTGTTTACTTTCAAATTAAAAAAAAATATATTGGCCCTGGCTGGTGTAGCTAAGTGGATTGAGCGCGGGCCTGCGAACCACACGATCGAGGTTTGATTCCCGGTCAGGGCGCCTGCCTGGGTTTCAGGCCAGTTCCCGGCGGGGGACTCACAAGAGGCAACCATACATTGATATTTTTCTCCCTCTCCCCTTCCCCTCTAACTATAAATAAAAATAAAAATCTTAAAAAATTAAAAAAAATATTGGATAATTGGGACTGATGAGAAGCAAAATAAACAAGTTACATTCTACTTATTGCTAATACCAGGTGTGAATTACCTCTCAGTTACTTTTGTAAGAGAACAATATGAGCTTAAACACTTGATTCTCTATGATAAAATAATGTCCTGTAAAGTTAATGATAATTTTTTTACAGTAACTCACTATAAGTTATTTGAGTAGCATAAATTTGTGAGCATAACACCACCAGTGAAATGTCACTGTGTGGAGAGGTATATTCATACCTCATAGTTGCTTTAGCCATTGGTATGTGAATATGTCATATTTGAATCACAATGTATCATGCCTTGAAATAATAAGTCAAAATTACTGTTGATGCAGTTATGTATCCTTGACACTCAGGTGGCACCACACTACCACCCACAGCAAACCAGATTGATTATGATGACACGAAACCAGCAGTGACTTATGATTAAAAGGCAAGAATCTCGGCAGGCTGAAAGTCAAAGCCCATTCAGCACTTTATTGATGATGTACTGGTAACAGAGCTTCCTTTTCCCAAATTGCAGGAATTCCAAAGCTCAGTTAAGAGTTTTGTAATGCTACTAAACATTGTCCTGCAGCCAAACTTCTTCGTAAACTTAGTGTACAAGGTAACAATTAGTAGTCCTTAAGTCATAGGTTAAATAACCTGCTTTCATTTCAAAGAACCAAAGTAAGGGATTGCAGTTTAAAATTATTCTGAGGAAAAAATAAAATAAAATCATGTTGAGGGCTTGAAGAGGCTTTCTTTGGCCTACTTTGAGAATCTCTGCCCTACATAAATGACTAAGGAATGCTTTGAGCCATGAAGCCAGGGGGTTTAAATGGCCTAGTCAGGGCTTGGGCAGCTTATATTCCAGCCTCTGTTACCAGGTAGAATTGATCTTGGTGTTGTCTCCTTGACACCTGTCTCACACAGGATTAAGATCAACCAGCTAAAGAAGTGGTTGAGTCACTTTATCTCTCAGCCCTCAAAAAATTACCTGGCTTAGTTCAGAGATTGCATCTAGCTCTAGGATCAGTGATTGCCCTAATCTTAGTGTTGCATTGCCACTGTGGAAGCCCAGTGAGTAGGTGTTATCTCCCAGACATTAAAAGGTATCTATCATGCTGTTGGCTCTTAGGAGGATCTGAAAAAGAGTTAGTCATTAATCATAGGAAGATCCTCCTGGATGATGTTACTACTTACTGGTTTCAAGTAAAAATGAAAATAAACCTTATGCTCTCTTCCAGTTTTATTGTCACCACTGGTTTACATTAAGACTGTGCCATCTCTAGTGTAGGCTGACCACTTAGTTATTATATTTTAGACATCACCCTCATTTTCCTCTGTAAGATGGCTAGGGACTCAGACTTAGCCACCCTCTGCTAAAGGTGAAAGAAGATGTTGGCTTTATTTTTTTAAGCTATAATTACATTCTGCAGCAACCCCCTGGAAATGAAAACAGTCCGATCATCTATAGGAGACAGGAAGGGAATGACTGTGCATAGAGCCCCTTTACTCCTCTGTGGACAATGGTGGTTTTCTTATCTTGCCTAAGAAACTGGGGGTCAGGGAAAAAATTGCTAATACTCTATTGGAGAATCTGACCTCACTGTGGGCCTTTCTGGATGTCCCCTGTGGTTTCATTTACTTTTTACTGCCCAAATTAAGGAACTGTTGATGTTTCCATTAATGTCCAGTATGCAACAGAGATAGGAGCATAGGAAACCCCTTTTTTAAATTTTTATTTTCTTTTAAAGATTTCATTATTTATTTTTTTTAGAGAGAGGGGAAGTGAGGGAGAAAGAGAGGAAAAGAAACATCAGTGTGTGAGAGAAACATCAATTGGATGCCTCTTACATACCCCCAACTGCAACCTGGTCTGCAACCCAGGCATGTGCCCTGACTAGGAATTGAACTGGCAACCTTTTAGTCTACAGGATGCCCAAATCCACTGAGCCACACCAGTCAGGGTGAGAAGTTAAAAGATAAACATTATCACTTTGATTCAGAGAGTGGTACCCCCTTTGGGGCATTATAGCAATGCTGTACCATGCCACTGTGTAAAATGGTTGGATCTCAACATGCTACTTAGTTCAAGTAAGTTACCTCTATCACTTACTCTTTCCTAAGAATTACTGTGTTTCCAGATGGGAGGGACATCAGCTCAAAGACTGCAGTTTCTTATTTAAATCCTAAAGATTTCAATACCTCAAATAAACGGGGGAGAAATGTGTTTGAACTCATACTATAAATTGTGATTTTAAAAAATTATGCATCTACAGTTCCTCCAAAATAGGACACAAGCTTGACTAAACCAGTCAAGAGGAGGCAGTTGACTATAAATTGGTCATGTCAGATGAAGACTGGGTTCTATAAGTACATCTCAACCAAGCCATATTTAATTGCTGACCTTTATGAGAATTGTCAGGACATTATATTTAATAATACATTTTCTTAGTATGGATTAATCGGGAGATTTTTTTGTTAAGTCTTTTTAGAGGGAAACGTTAAAGAGGAATCATCCATTCAATATTTCCTTGTGTTTTAAGAGCTTTCTTTGCTACAAAGCATCCAGTGATGAAACTATGTTTCATTGCTAATTGGATATATTATGTTTTTTTTGGTTTCTCCACCGTACTGAGTGTTTTCTTCCCTTTTGAGATGCCCACGGTCCACAGATGATGAGCGGAAGAACCCCGTTCTTTGCCTTTTCTGCGGGGCCATACTGTGTTCTCAGAACATTTGCTGCCAAGAAACCGTGAATGGGGAAGAGGTTGGAGCTTGCATTTTTCATGCACTTCACTGTGGAGCTGGAGTCTGCATTTTCCTGAAGTGAGTAGTGCATGATCTGGAAGCCTCATACTAAATTTAGGAAATTTGGATTCAATATGGAGGACAGTGTGTTGGTAGGAAAAGATACCAGAAGTTAAGAGACCAGTTTTTCACACGAGTTTGCATTTGAGAAGATATCGCAGAATAAGTAGTAAAAAATAAAAAATAAAGTAGAATTCTACTCACATTTTCATTATTTATAGAAAGTCTTAAATAAACATGATAAACTTTATATTGATTACTCCGATATTCTATAATACTCAGATATAGTGAAAGCGGTTAGAGTCCTAAAACTTACATTTTAAGATAACATATAAGCCCTGGCTGCTTATATGTGGCCCAGTTTGTGGAACCTCGTCTGTAAACAAAGTGTCATAGGCTCAGTACCTGGACAGGACACATGCCTACGTTGTGGTTCAGTCGCCAGGTAGGGCATGTACTGGAGGCAACCTATTGATGTTTCTCTATCACATCAGTGTTTCTGCCCCCCTCTCTCTCCCTCCCTTCCTTTCTCTCTAAAATCAGTAGGCAAGTCCTTGGGTGAGGATTAAAAATAATAAAATAAAAAATAAAAGTGTATGTAAATGGTTACTTTAAGTTGTCCTTTGAATATTTTAATTTTCTTCATTTCCTGTATCAGGCAACTATTGTTTTCCCTAGTCTCTCAGCAAAAGACTGAGAATAGAACAATAGTCACTTATTTAATGAAAGAAGAATACAAGTTGCTCTTGTAAGATAAAATTCAGAAGGATTCTTGTGCTTCCCCCCCCTTCTCCTCATGTAATATACTTTTTATTTACATAAGAACTGCTACCCACTGCCTGTGGCGTATACAGTCACTGAGAGCAGGTGTACATTGGAATAACGGGGAACGACTCCACGGAAGCCAAGCCCCAACACCTATTTACTTTTTCTAGGGGCCCTACAGCTAGTTCATCTCTTCATTTTATAGTTTCTCTGTTTAGTAATTACCACCTCTGTACACAGCATTTTTATTTAAGATTGTATTTATTTTTAGAGAGAGGGGAAGGTAGGAAGAGAGAGAAACATCCATTGATTGCCTCTTCTGTGAGCCCACACTGGGGACCTGGCCTGTGACCTGTCACTTGTAGGACAACACTCAACCTACTAAGCCACACTGGTCATGGCCACAAGCATTACATTTTTATGTGTACATTTCTCTGCTGTAAGATCCCAAATACCTGCACAGTGGCAGTGGTTCTTTATAATCTACACTGTCAGAGGCTGGTTCTAACCAGAAAGCCTTGTCACTTCACTAGCTGACCTGTCTGACCTGAGGTAATCAGACTGGGAGATAAGGTTCTGCAGTTAAGCCCCTTTCTCTAGATTAACTCTGATGCAGCACCTATTATTTGCACACATGCATTATTACTATTTCCTGTTGGTGGTTCTGTGCTCCAGGATCAGAGAATGCAGAGTGGTCCTAGTTGAAGGGAAAGCCAGAGGCTGTGCCTATCCAGCTCCTTACTTGGATGAATATGGAGAAACAGATCCTGGCCTGAAGTAAGTTTTTTTTTTTTTTTTAAGCTTTAGTCACATTATTATATGTAGATGGTAATAGTTCTTTTACGCAAAAGCTACTGCTAAATATTGAGGGATTTATAAATAGCTACAAATTAAAAATATCAAATATGTCATCCTAAACATAATACATAATTTTCAACAACTTGATGCTTCTCTAAAATGTTTAAAGATACCAAACCATTCTAATGTGTTGCATGCTCTGTTTTAATCAGCTGTTCTTCAGAATACTTAGGAGGTTTAATTGACACTGACATATGAAAGAAAGAAATCTGTAGTGTCCAGTGAGGGACTTTGGTTTAAAATTGATATTCATTGTTTCTACTGCAGTACTTGAAACTTTTTATTAGCAAGCTATATTAGCCTTCTTAGTAGCTTTAGCAAAGCAGAACACTTATAATCCTGTATTTTTCTGTATCCTTCCTGGTGTTGGGTACTGGAGGACTACTTACTACTTCTGAGAAAGAGGTGATAAAGGACACTGATCCCAAACGTACATATAGATAAAGACTAGATCTTCTTACCATAAATTGTGTCTTTGTTTAACTGAAATTTTGTTCTTTTGAAATACTACTTGGAATAAATAGGCTTACATGATGGAACTTGAAACCTCTTTGATCATACAGAGATTTGTTTTTATTGTGACAGCACTTGGCCACCTATAGAGATACTCTCTAGATTTAGGGAGAAATAATCTGAGTCACAAAAATTGTTAATGACTAAGGATAAGAGGTCTGAGCTATTCCAGAAAGGTATAAAGAAGCAGAATTTTTAAATTAATTAGGCAATTAAAAAATACCCAACTGAGACACTTGAGTTCCTCTGTGTTACAGAACAGACCCATGGGGTTTGTGGGGGCGACCAATGAATGATACACTATTACCAAATGGACCCACCCTTGTGCTCCAGGGTCCCCACTCACTACTAGGTTCACCTTGCCTGACACCAGGGAAGAACATCTCTCAATGCCAGAGATTGGTGAAAAGGAAAGGGAGTATTTATTTTAAAAGTTATACAGACTTAAAGTAATGACTTAATGTCTTCATTAAAAATAGTTAAGTCCTTTAGAATACCCACAGACACACAGTCCTTCCTTCTCCCCTCTGCCGGGGTACCATATCTCAGGAAAAGAAGGAGAAGTCTGTGGCTCAGGCAGCCCCTCAGTTCCTGCATCATCAGCTGTGTCGCTGCCACATTCTCCAGTTAATCCAAAACCATGTGGCACCTTCTCATGGCCCACCAGCAAGAATCCTTTCACCCCTTTTCTTCCAGGCAAAGTCTCTCCTGCTTCCTAAGCCATTTTGCCAAAGGGAGCACCCCAAAGCCATGTGGTCCCAACCTTCCTTCTTTCCTCTCTCCCAACCTTTCTTCTTTTCTCTCTCATGTTGGCGGCAGCGCTGTAACCAGGGGGAGTTGCCTCCCAGTTACATCCTTGGTTGAAGTCACTCCCATCCCCCTGGTTCAAAGCATGGCTACGGCTATGTAACACATGTATGAAACCAGTTAAAGGTTATAGATATGTTAAATGTTCTAGAGGTTATCTGCAAAGCTGTTGCTATATAGAACAGCTTTCCTTGGCCCTGCCCCATGTGTCCCATCCCCCAGCTCAGACTTGTGGGGGTGAGGACATCCTATATATATATTTTTTCCTAATATTTCCTGGACACCCTGAGTTCTGGACCCCATTACAAATCCCCATTTGGGGGCTGCCCCTTGGCTTCACCCTGTTACATCTGGAATGAGAATCTTGCAGTTCTCCATTATCAGCAATAGCTAACCTTAGTCATTTTGGATTAGTTGTTACAGTGTTACAAACTATGCAGCCTTAGAATTGTTGTGGAATAGTTTGACTGAAATATTTGGTAATCACCACCAAATTTGTTATGTCGTAGTGTTACCAAACAAAAGTGGGGTTCAGCTGCCCACCAAGCACAGGTGTAAAACATATGTTGCTGGGGATGGAAAAAGGCCTTTATTAAGAGTTTTCACAATTTCTGGGCCTGGGAACTCCCTGACTCCAGGTTCCTTTCTTCTGCAAAACACAGAAATCCCCCAAAAAACTGAAACCCAAGACCAAACCCCAAAATTCCACTCCATCCTTACCTGCCTGTCCTGGAGCACGAGTCTGGAGGCTGCGAAGGCGAAGGCTGTCTGGCTTCAGGCTCCCTCCTGGGAGTCTGTACATGTGGGGCCAATTGCCTTGCCACAGTTTCCCACTTTAGGGCCCAGGGCCATGGCCAACTGCTGCCGCTGGACATGCAGGAGCTCCATGTGGGGCCTGGCACCTGAGGCTGCCGCAACACCCAGGGCTTGCAAGTGCCTCGGCCTGTGCATCTGTGCACAGGTCTCAGAGAAAGAGAAGGGGTGAGTTTTTGCTCCCCCTCCATTTAAGTCTCCAGGCCCAAAATTCCATTTGCTCCAGAAGTGTCTGGTTTCCACCGGCAATCCCTTCTGCAGGTTAGACTGCATATTCCCCTGCTGCCTTGTTAACCTTTTGGTACACGTGCCTCTTGGACCTTTGGTTTCCCCTTCAATCAGGAACTGGAACAGGGTAGGAGGGCTAGTGTCTGTCAGTCACTCTTCTAGATGGGGCAAGACTTCTCCTACTGAGTTTCAGCTCCCTGGTGGGGGAATCTGTCATCTTGTGCCACAGTAGCTTTGTTGCCAGGGCAACATGAGCAGCCACACTGGCTTGTTTACCTTTTACCTGGGGAGTATAGCCTGTCATGGGCACTGCCTTGGGGTTTCCTGTGGCCCCTCCCTCATTCTGGGCATCACACCGCTATTAATAGTAAAACTATAACCAAGTATTTCTGAGGAGCAGAATATAATTTGAGGGCTTAGTGATACATTTCAGATCAAGCCTGTACTATGAAAGTCAGAAATCAGAGCTAGGTAAACTATACGTGAACCCAGAAACTCATTAAGAGCTCTACTCAGACTAACCACCCAGAAAAGAATATAGCTGCTTCAAGTTATTGACCTCGATGACCATTTAAATGAGGTCCCATAAGGATCATGGTATACTTGACCTATTTTCTGAATAATCAAGGAGTAAATTTCTGCTACATTAGCTAAATAACTTATCAAGTTCTTAGTGATCAATGGTGAAGGAAAAATCTCCCTTTTAAAACTCCTTGGTGATTCCTCTCAGTTCCAAGAATAACTCAGGAGTTCACGCTAATGTAGGCAATAAAGTGTGACAGTTATTTGATCAAACTTACGTGTCATTTTTTTTCCCTGAAGGAGGGGCAACCCCCTTCGTTTATCTCATGAGAGGTATCGGAAGCTCCATTTGGTGTGGCAACAACACTGCATAATAGAAGAGATTGCTAGGAGCCAGGAAACTAATCAGATGTTGTTTGGATTCAACTGGCAGTCATTATGAGCACCAGCTCTGCCTCGGGACAATCACGAATGAAGACTATGTTGAAGACTGATTCAAAATTATGGAGACCTTTCTGAGGGCTGGGGAAGGGTTGGAGGGTCTTTTGCTCCTTGTCCAGTAAGTTGTTTATATTGATATATCAATAAAATATTCCTTAATGGAGTATTGCTTTCAATTAGTGAACATATCCTTAAAAGGAAAAAAGAAGATAGACTAATTTGTTTTATGTTTTAGAACACTAAAGGAATGCTTCTTTACCCCAAATGTCTGATTCTGCTAATATATGAAGAAAACCCATTTCCCTTCCTAATCTTTCCCATTTCATTTCATCTCCCTGATCATTGAAGTTACATCAAGCCGTTTTGAACATTTTTATGTGTTAATTGGATCACCAATAAAATTCTAGTAATTTGTGATTTACTTCCTATGAGGTAAGAGAAATTGCAGAAACCATGCAGTATACTTTGAGAAAGTTCTGTAGCTCAGAAAATTTTCAAAAAAGTACATTTTTAATCATTTTTCTTTTAAAAAAATACCCCTAATGTACCACTTATTATTTCAGTCAGAAATTAAATCAAATCTCTATATGGACAGAGTTGTCATTTCTAAGGTAAATTTTTGCCAGCAAAGAAAAGCTTTTTCCCCCGCTGTAGACCTCAGTAAGCGTTAGGATAGTGCATTCATTATTCATTCCTCATGAGACAGAGTCTACCTATGATCCTCACCTCTGACCTCAAATAGCTTTGTGGGGTTTTGAAATTACACTTTCCATTTTCCAAAGGCAAGTTTCCAAAATGAGTTCACTTGTCTCTTGATGTGGTATCATCATATTTGATTCTTAGAAACCTGATGCAGTTCTGATGTAAACTATCTACAAAACAAAGAAAATTCCCTCAGTGAATAAAGCATGACTGCTATAAATTAGAACAATCAGATTTAAGCCTATTCTGCAACCTCCTGTCTTTGTACAAGACTGATTTCTTCGTTTGTTATCTGTGTGTACCTTTTCATGAACTCCGGTTGTTATGACTAATACAAACAACCAGAAAAGCCATGTGATCCATAGTCTGTGTCCTGCTGTAACGTGCTGTGGTTGAGCCATTTTGTTTATAAATAATCAGACTCTCCAAAATCTGTTCAGTCTTCAACTTTTATCAAGAACGTGTGTTATAAAACAGCAGACAGAAGATAAATTGAAATCTTCCATTTTAGCTCCTGTTATCTCTGGGGTAATGATAGGGGTTTGAAAGATACAAAGACCATCTTACTTTGCCTTTGGTGATTACTGTCATGTGTGTGTAAACGTTTCCATGCCTCCTTCTTGCTCAGCAAAGGCAAGCAAATAAAAATATGTTTGTGAAGTGACTGATGATGCACATTTGGGGTTAGTTTTTTTTTTTTTTTCCTATTACTACATAAAGTAAAAAAGGTGGATTTTGCAGTAAGGGATTGAATCACAGAATCATAGTCATGATTGAATCACAGTCATGATTTTCTACTTGAATAATTATTGAGACGGTATCGGGAAATAGATTCAACTGCACTGAACAATTTGTAACAAGTGCTGGGTGAGGATCAGGAAATTCAGTATTCAGTTTGCCAAATTTGCCAATATGATTAAGTGATTAGAACATTTTTCTTTATTTCTTAAATAATTTTGTTGGATGGATTGGCTGACTAGAAAGCCTGAGCCAGAGTAGGCAACAGAAGACTCTGACTTCTGCCCTAATTGATTGCCCCCAGTTTAGCAAAGAGAAACTGACTTTTTATTTCTAGTCTTTTTCTACTCACTTCATAAATTCTGGGGTTAAGCTCTCAAACTGCCAGGGGGACTATCCTGCAATGGCCAGTCAGACCTTTACTGCCAAAGAACCTATTTCATACTGAGTTCTGCTTGTTGAGACTGATGCAGATCTCTGCACTGTGGATGAGTGTGTGTCTCTGTGCTGCCCCAGCCCAAGGGATTTCCAAGTATCCTCAAATACCCTAGTGGTCTGCTTGCATCACTGGAAGCAGTTTAATTATGCTTATGAAGTTTACTGACAGTGAGCCAAAAGTCACTTTACTTACCTTAAGGTAGAATGTGGAGGAACTAGTTCAACAGGATGGCTCCAAAACTGTGTTGTATTTTTTAATGTCTGATAAGGGGCTGGCAGGACTTTTTATGATAGGGTGAATAAAAACATATCTGTATAGATAAATTATTATGTTGGTATATGGGCTGTGAGTTCACTGTTTAGTGGTCATTTGTCATTTCATAACAACTATGCATTTGGTTCACTGTGATGATGATCTGTATTTAGTGACTGCAACATGTTTATACCACTGATTCAAATTCCATCCATGATGAAGTTATACAAATAATGCATATATTGATATCTTTTATTGCAGAATGTAAATTTTAAACTTGTATAATGTTCTTGTGCTTTTTGAAATAAAATATCTAATATGTGTATATTTAAAAAGATAAAAAGGAACTTCTCATGTTTGGGGATTGGGTTTTAAATGCTAAATCTGTACCTTTTGAGCTCCTTTAGAAAGGAACTCTGAACTTCAAAAGTTATTGTCGTCAGCCCAGACAAATTCTTTTTTTTTTTAAAGGACTTTATTTATTTTTAGAGAAAGGGGAAGGGAGGGAGAAAGAGTGGGAGAGAAACATCAATGTGTGGTTACCTCTTGAGTGTCCTCTACTGGGGACCTGGCCCACAACCAGGCATGTGCCCTGACTGAGACTCAAACTGGCAACCCTTTGGTTCTCAGGCCAGCACTGAATCCACTGAGCCACAGCAGCCAGGGCCAGACAAATTCTTTAAAAAACATAGATAGTTAGTGTAATGGTCTCCAAACTTTTAAACTATATATTCTATCAGTAAATAATTTTTCTTTTTATAAAAAATATTTTATTGATTATATCGATACAATTCTATTTCCCCCCTTCATTCCCCTCCACCCTGCACACCCCTCCCCCACCATTCCCCCCCTTTAGTTTATGACCATGTGTCTCAAGTTCTTTAGATTCTGTATTTCCCATACTATTCTTGCCCCCCCATCTATTTTCTATCTACTGTCTATGCTACTTATTTTCTGAACCTTCTCCCCCCTTCTCCTCCTCCCACTCCCCTGTTTCTAACCCTCCATGTGATCTCCATTTCTGTGGTTCTGCTCCTGATCTAGCTGTCCTCTTAGTTTGCTTTTGTTTTAGGTGTGCTTGTTAATAACTGAGTTTGCTGTCCTTTCATTGTTCATCTTTTTTATCTGCTTTTTCTTAGGTAAGTCCCTTTCACATTTCATATAATAATGGCTTGGTGATGATGAACTCCTTGAATTTGATCTTATCTGAGAAGCACTTTATCTGCCCTTCCATTCTAAATGAAAGCTTTGCTGAATAGAGCAATCTTGGTTGTAGGTCTTTGGATTTCATGACTTGGAATACTTCTTTCCAGCCCCTTCTTGCCTGGAAGGTCTCTTTTGAGAAATCAGCTGACAGTCTGATGGGAACTCCTTTGTAGGTGACTGTCCCCTTATCTCTTGCTGCTTCTAGGATTCTCTCCTTCATTTGAATCTTGGCTAATGTAATGATGATGTGCCTTGGTGTGTTCCTTCTTGGGTCCCACTTCTTTGGGACTCTCTGAGCTTCCTGGATTTCCTGGAAGTCTATTTCCTTTGCCAGATTGGGGAACTTCTCCTTTATTATTTGTTCAAATAAGTTTTCCACTCATGGGTGTTCCTCTTCCCCTTCTGGTACCCCTATAATTCGGATGTTGGAACATTTAAAGATGTCCTAAAGGTTCCTAAGCCTCTCCTCATTTTTTTGAATTCTTGTTTCTTCATCCTTTTCTGTTTGGTCATTTTTTTCCTCTTTCTGGTCCACTCCTTTGATTTGAGTCCCAGTTTCCTTTCCATTACTATTGGTTTCCTGTGGAATTCCATTCATTTCAATTAGTTTAGCCTTCATGTGTTCCTGTAATTTGTGACTAAAATCAACCAGTTCTGTGAGCATCCTGATCACCAGTGTTTTGAACTGTGCATCTGAAAGTTTTGCTATTTCTTTGTCACTTAGATTTATTGGCTCTGGGGCTCTGAGTTGTTCTTGAGCCATGTTTTGATCTGTTCGTGCCTGTTATGTACAAGGAGGTGTTTACCAGGGCAGGGCCACCCAGGTCGCTGGTTTGTGACGCTGTATGTGGGGGCAGGGTCAGAGAGGGACAATGGCGGTCCCCTCTGCCACTTTTTGCCACTGGGGTCTGCACCGTCTATCTCACCGCTCTGTTCCTTCACCAGTTTATCTGCACTCGACTTTGTGGCTTTGGTCAGCCCTCAGTGAGCCCTCAGTGGGTCCTCCCACTACTCCACACCTGGGATCCACCCACAGCTGCTGGCGCTCCTGGGTTGCCCACCCCGGTCGGTCCAGTGGATCTTTCCTGCCCGACCCCAGTCTGCTGCTGGCTCTGCCCCTCTTACCAGTTTGGCTGAAGGGTTCACTGTTGTCAAACTTCCGTGTAGTTTAATCTTCTGTGGTTTGGCTGCATTTTTGTTGCTAAAACTTTGTTCTTTTTAAACTTGGTTGTGTGAGAAGGTGCAGTCCTTCCCAATAAGTTTTCAACATGCATTACGTATTTCTATATTCATGGATTACTTACTGCACTTATTCGTTAAGTACATTGCCCCAAAATGGAAATTTTTAAAAATCATTTGAAAAATAGAGTATTTCTATTTAAATATTTTTCAGGTAAATTTGTACATCCCTTTGGGTAGCACAACATAAGTGGAGACAGCTGTCTAAAGCAGCTCTATATACAGAAGAACTCTGCAGTGATGGAAATGTTCGCTGCATTGTGGTGCTGTATGTGGGGGAGGGGTCCGAGAGGGAACAAAGCCACTTGCTGAGCTGCTTTCAGTCACTTGCGCCGCTACCCACAAACAAAGGCCCTTTCTGGTGATGATTCCTGGGTGAGTGGGTTTGTGTCCATTCTAGGACCCTGTGGTTCTCTCCAACGAACTCTCCTGTGAGGCTAGGAGTTTCTCCCCCTGCTGCCTCAACTCCCACAGGTGTTTTTGATCGGAGGTTTGAGGCTTTTATTTCCCCATGCTGGAAGCCTTGGTTGCACAGTCTGTTTCACTCTGCATTTGTTCCTCCTGGTTTATCCACACAAATGTGGGACCACCCCCTCAGCCATCCGCTGCCTCGCCCACCTGGTCCTCCAGCTACTGCCTTAACACTCGGCCTCTCCACCCTGACTGCCCATCTCCACTCCTCCTACCAGTCTGGATGAATGTTTCTTCTTTAACTCCTTGGTTGTTGGACTTCCATACAGTTCAATTTTCTGGCAGTTTTGGCTTTTTTTTTTGGTCTTTAAGTTTGTTGTCCTTTTTATTGTGCAGTGAGGCAAATTGCATCTACCTATATCTCCATCTTGGCTGGAAGTAATAATAGTCCCCTTTTTAAAAAAGTACATTTTATTGATTATGCTATTATAATTTTCCTGATTTTTTCTTCTTTATCCCCACTCCACCCTGCACTCCCCAAACCTCCAGCCTCCTCCCTGCTTAGTTCATGTCTGTGGGTTGTACATATAAGTTCTTTAATTTCTGTTTCCTGTACCATTCTTAACCTCTCCCCATCTATTTTATGCTTCTTATTCCCTGTACTTTTCACCCCACCATTCTCCTCCTCCTCCCCACTGAAACCCCTCCCTGCGATGTCCATTTCTTTGATTCTATTCCTGTTCTAGATGTTTGCTTAGTTTTGGGTTTTGTTTTCTCGATTATTTTTTTAGGTTCAATTGTTGATAATTGTGTTTGTTGTCATTTTTCTGTTCATAGTTTTTGATCTTTTTCTTACATAAGTTCCTTTAACATTTCATATAATAAGGGCTTGATAATGATGAAATCTTTTAACTTGACCTTACCTTGGAAGCACTTCATCTGCCCTTTAATTCTAAATGACAGCTTTGCTGGATAGAGTAATCTTGGACGTAGGTCCTTGCCTTTCATGATTTCAAATATTTCTTTTAGCCTTTTCTTGCCTGTAAGGTTTCTTTTGAGAAGTCAGCTGATGGTCTTACAGGGACTCCTTTGTAGGTAACTGTCTCCTTTCTTGCTGCTTGTAAGATTCTTTATCTTTAATCTCAGGTAACTTAATGATTATGTGCCTTGGTGTGTTTCTCGTTGGTCCAATTTCTTTGGGACTCTCTGAGCTTCCAGGAAGTCTATTTCCTTCACCAGATTGGGGAAGTTTTCCTTCATTATTTGTTCAAATAAGTTTTCAACTTCTTGCTCTTCTCCTCCTTATGGCACCCCTATGTTTCAGATATTGAAGTGTTTCAAGTTGTCCCAAAGATTTCTAAGCCTCACCTCAGTTTTGGTGGAAACACTGTACCTCCTCGCACAACCAAGTTTAAAGACAACAAAGTTTTAGTAACAAAAACGCAACCACAACACGGAAAATTGAACTATACAGAAGTCCTACAACAATGAACCGTTCAGCCAGACCAGTAAGAGGGGTGGAGTCAGCAACTACTGGAGTGGAGTTGCACAGGAAAACTCAACCTGACCAATCCAGGCACGGGAGGCGGTTGGTGGATCCCAGGCGTGGGGGTGCAAAAGGCAGACCCAGTGAGGGTGCAAGGCAGCAGCCTGACTGCAGTCACACATTCGCACGCAGATAAACTGGGCAAAGGAGCAAGCAGTGAGACAGATCTCGCAGGCCCCAGCAGCAGAGGGGACCACTTTTACCCCTCTCTGACCCCACCCCCACATACAGTGTCACAACCCAGCAACTGAGTTGCCCCGCCCTGGTGAACACCTAGGGCTCTGCCCCTCATACCTAACAGGTGCGAACAGACCAAAACATTATGGCTCAAGAAGAACTCAAAGCTCCACAGCCAGTAACTCTAAGTGACCAAGAAATAGCCAACCTATCAGATGCACAGTTCAAAACACTGGTCATTAGGATGCTCATAGAACTGGTTGATTTTAGTCACAAATTAGAGGAACAAATGAAGGCTAAACTAATTGAAATGAATGGAAATGCACAGGAAACCAATAGTAATGGAAAGGAAACTGGGACTCAAATCAAGGGAGCAGACCAGAAGGAAGGAAAAGATGACCAAACAGAAAAGGATGAAGAAACAAGAATTGAAAAAAATGAGGAGAGGCTTAGGAACCTCCAGGACATCTTTAAATGTTCCAACATCCGAATTATAGGGGTACCAGAAGGGGAAGAGGAACAGTCACGAGTGGAAAACTGATTTGAACAAATAATAAAGGAGAACTTCTCCATTCTGGCAAAGGAAATAGACTTCTAGGAAATCCAGGAAGCTCAGAGAGTCCCAAAGAAGTTGGACCCAACAAGGAACACACCAAGGCACATCATAATTAGATTATCCAAGATTAAAATGAAGGAGAGAATCCTAGAAGCAGCAAGAGATAAGGGGA